AGTGTGAAGCGATTGCTCACAATGGCAATCAAATCAGCAAAATACCTTCTGAGACTTAGTTGAGGGGACTGGCCTTTGTAGGAGGGCAACTTCAGCTCCTAAATCAAGAGGAACAGCATTTAGTCTAAATAGCCTGTAAGAGAAGTATTCCCACAATGCTAAGATGACATTTTTTCCTAATATATTAGTGTTAAAAGTGCCTAAAACACACTTTTATTGAGTGAAACACAAAAATGAAAAAGCTGAGTGGAAGGATAATAAGTGGTATCTAAAATTTAAAACCAAACTTTTCTCCTTATTCTTAACTACCTCTGACATGGCCAAGGTGTTTCCTGCATTACTGGATATATTCCAGAAAGATTTTTAATAAGGGAATCCTGTTTTTCCTACGTAATGTTTTCAGAAAAACATCCTAACCAAAGCTTTTGGTTAGAAGGCAACAGATAAGTAGATAGGTTCCTCCTGTGTCACATACTATATCAGGCTTGCAGGGATGTGGAAGGTAGAGACTAGTATTCAGCCACTAGCATCTTCTAATCATGTTTCCCTTTCAGCAGTTTTATGATCTCTCCTTTGCCACCATCCTTTCATACACCTAAAATTTTTCCCATTGTCACTGTTCAATCTCAGAACTATATGAGCTCATTGTCTAAGAATTAAAAAATTTCTATACTATTAAAGTATTTCCAGAGCATAGAGAAAGACAGAAAAGTTCTAAATTCATTTTATGAGGTCAGCATAATACCAATACTAAACTCGACAGGTATCACAATAGAAGGAAGTAACACGGATATGACCCTGAAAGCGTAGGCAAAAAAAAGAAAGAAAGAAAAATGGAGAAATTAGACCTCATCAAAATTAAAAACTTTTGTGCATCAAAGGACAATATCAACAGAGTGAAAAGGCAACCCACAGAATGGGAGAAAAGACTCGCAAATCACATATTTGATAAGGAGTTAATATCCAGATTATATAAAGAACTCTTTTATATATATAACTCAACAACAAAAAACAAACAAGGCAATTGAAAATTGGGCAAAGAACTTGTATAAACATTTCTCCAAAGAAGATAAACAAATGGCCAATAAGCACATATAAAGATGCTCAACATCACTAATCATTAGAGAAATGCAAATCAAACTCATTATGAGATACCACTTCACATCCATTAGGATTGCTATTCTCAAAACAGAAAACAGAAAATAAGTATTGACAAGGATGTGGAGAAATTGGAACCCCTGTGTATTGGTGGGAATATAAAATCATGCAGCTACTATGAATAATAGTACCAATTCCTAGAAAAAATTAAACATAGAATCACCATATGATCCAGCAATTCCACTTGTAGGTATATACCCAAAAGAACTGAAAGTAGGGACTAAGATACTTGTACATCCCTGTTCATAGCAGCATTCCTCGTAATAGCCAAAAGGTGGAAACAAAAAACCTAAGTGTCCATCAGTGAATGAATGGATAAACTAAATGTGGTATATACCTACAATGGAATATTATTGAGCTTTAAAAAGAAATGAACTGATATATGCTACAACACGGATGAACCTTAAAAAACAGTATGCTATGCGAAATAAGCCAGACACAAAAAAACAACTATTGTGTGATTCCACTTCTATGTGATACCTAGAATGGTCAAAGTCATAGAGACAAAGAGTAGAATTGTGGTTACTAGGGGCTGAAGGGCAAGGAAAATGAGGAGTTACTGTTTAATGGATATGGAGTTTCAGTTTGGGAAGATGAAAAAGTTCTGAAGATGGACAGTGGTGATGATAGCACACGGTGACTGCACCTAATGTCGGTGAACTGTACCCTCAAAATGGTTTAAATGGTAAATTTTATGTTGTGCACATTTTACAACAATAAACAAAAAAAATGGAAGTTACACATCAAACTTAATAAGATATAAAATTTTAGATCAAGTATTAGCCAACGTAATTTAGTAATGTATCCAAAGAATACATCATCAATTGTAGTACCTCCCAGGAATGCAAAGATGGTTAAATAGGCACAATCATCTTGGTAGATGTCAAAACAACATCTGGACAAAGGTGACCCTGGGAGAAATAACAGACATGTATTTCTCTGATGAAAGAAGGGAGGGAAGGTGGGAGGCAAGCTAAAGGAATCTCAAATGTAAGAGCCAGCATCTCAGTTGGAGGTGAAATAATAGAAGGATTAGCATTCAAGGGCCTACTATTGCAGTATTATTTAATATTGTTCTGTGAATACTAACCCATCCAAATAGAAAAAGGAAAGAAAAGGTTTAACTATTGGAAAGCAAGAATTGAAAGTCACTTTCAGGAACAAAATTATTATTTTTCAGATGATAGAATTTATATCCAGAAAAAAACAAGAAAAATCAACAGGAAAAAAAAGAAACAGTAAGAATTCAGTCAGGTGGCTGTTTACAAAATTAACTTAAAAAATCAATAGCTTTTCTGTATACTAATAACTGGTTAGGAAATAGGAGATTCCATATACAGTAACTATAAAAATCAAAACACCTAGAAATAAATTTATATATGCTAGCCCTATATGAAGATAACATTAAAATTTTGAAGGAATAAGGAAGAATTGTAAATATGGAAAGACATTCCTTTTTCTTAGATAGGAGAACCTATTTGATAACAGTGGCACTTCAAATCAGAGAAGAACGGGTGAATTTAATAAATATTTCTGACACATAGGACAAAGTACTATTTCTTTATTATTTAGAGAACTCTTACAAATCAATAAGAAAAAGGCAACAATTATGAACAGACAGTTCACAGGAAAAATAAAATAGGGCCAAAAACATAAAAAGATGCCTCATCTAATTCCAAATTAAAGAATCATAGTTTTTCACTTAGCAGTTTACATTTTATTAATTATTGTTTACGCTATCAAGAGTGGAAATAGAACTCCCACATATTACTGGTCAGGTTGACAACTGATATAACCTTTTGGAGGGCAATCAGGTAACATAAATATTTTAAAATGCAGCTTGCAGATATCCTTTAACATAGCAACACTAGGCCTAGGAATTTACCCTACATATAAGGAGGTCCTTTGCAGCACTATTTTTAATAGCAAAATAGTGGAATAAAAAAGTTTGATGTCCAAGAACCTGGGTGGATCTCCAGACAGTTACGCTGAGTGAATAGAGCCCATCCCAAAAGCTCACATACTGTATAATTCCATTTATATAGCATTCTTGAAACAAAATTACAGAAATGAACAGATGACTGGTAGTCAGGAGTTAAAGTGGGGAATGAGGGTGGGAGGGAAGTGGCTGTGGCTATAAAAAGATAACTTTTATAATAAAGGTTTTTTTTAAAGATTGGCACCTGAGCTAACATATGTTGCCAATCTTTTTTGTTTTTGTGGGGTTTTTTCCTTCTTTCTTCTCCTCCAAAGACCCCCAGTACATAGTTGTATATTCTAGTTGTCAATGCCTCTGGTTGTGCTATGTGGGATGCTGCCTCAGCATGGCTTGATAAGCGGTGCTATTCCGCGCCTGGGATCTGAACTGGCGAAACCCCAGGCCACAGAAGCAGAGCGTGTGAACTTACCTACTCAGCCACGGGGTCGGCCCCTATAATCAAGTTTTTAATGAAAAGAGTGTGGCTATAAAAGAGATCCTTGTGGTGATAGAAAACGTTCTGTGTCTTGACTATATCAATGTCAATATCCTGGTTGTAATAATTGTACTATAGTTTTGGAAGATATTACCACTGGGGGAAACTGGGTAAAGGGTATAGGAGATCTCTCTGTATCATTTCTTACAACTGCATGTGTATCTAGTTGTTTAAAAATAAAAAAAGCTTGATGTCCATCAACAGGGAACTGATAAACTATGGGACATCAATTCAATGTGGACATTAAAACAAAAGAACAGTAGACCTTTATGTGTTGATATGGAAAAATTTGATAAAGTGAGTGAAGCTGGAGTGGGAAGAGGGTACGGAACACTAAAGAGATATTTATGACCTCTTATATCAACAAAAAAATAATATTTGCAGATATACTAATTTATTGAGTATCTTTTCAGTAAAAAAACTGATGGTGGTAACCTTAGGGGATCAGGGAATAGTGACTGTTGGGGAAAGCTTATTTTAAACCCTCCTATACTATCTGAAAATTTTTTTTAACCACATGCATCACTTAAAATTTTAAAAAAATAGTAATAGGAGTTACTTGGGAGATAGGCCAATGGACCATTTTATGTTTTAAATTTTTGCATAAGTAAGAAAAGCATAAACAAATGCTACTGAGGGAAAAAAAATTGGCTTAGGCTTGCTTGGCCCTTTGAAGATAAGAGAAAAAAATATTAACTTCTCTAAATAAAGGGAACATGCTGATTTCTCAAGCAGCCCCCAGGATTTTTTTCTTCTTTACCACTTCTGGAGATCTCTGCAACAGTATAAATGAGCTATAATTTTGAACTTCACCTTTCTTTGCTGTCACCACATGACATTTATTGAGCATCTCCCATGCAGCAGACACTGTGCTAACCCCAGGGATAAAAGCTGGAAAATGGTCTGAAGCTTTTCTCTAGCAGGTGAACCAAAATACAGAAATTATTATAATATAGTAATCACAGGGTATTATACGAACACTGAGAAGGGAGATCTAACCCAGCTCAGGGGGTGGGGTGTTGGGAAAAAACAAAGCCAGAGTTGGCTTTCTGTAAAAGAGGCCTGAACAAGGTCGTAAAGACTCACTGGGAAACATAGCTAGAAAACACTGATGGATTTTATTTTTAACTATGTCAACTTTCCTAAATGAAGACAAAACAAAGGCAAGGCCATCACTAGGAGAATTTTAACAATGTGTCCAATACACTCTCTTTACATTATTTTAAATGATAAAGTACAAGCGCTTACCAGATGGATGTCAGATTTAGTTCTCTTTGCACAGGTAATGCAGTTATACAAGCATGAGAAAATGACCTATGCTTCTCTCAGCTTATGAGCCTTTTCTAATGTTTATTCTCGATCCTCTAGAATTGAAGATTCTTGTTTGATCTGCTTCTCAGGGTCCCACAGGACCAAAGCACACAGAGAGAACATGTCATCTCCATCTCCAGTCTCAAGTCCTCATCAGCTCACCACCCCAAATGGCATCCCCTTTCCAGAATGAGTTAACTGTCCAGCCAGATGGAAATAAAGGCAGAGAAGGAATATTCACAAGTGTTAAGTACAACTCTGAGGTATACTTTCTTAATGTTTCTCACAAACATTGTTCCCATCTGTCATAAAGACTTGAAAATACTTCCTCAAACATCCTGAGACCTAGTATACACAGCAAAACAATGAGAAAAAAAAGACAACGACACAAGGGTATAAGAAAACAGCTGCCTGGTAGAGTTTTTCTTTTTTGGGGGGGATAACTGTATTTTACAAAAACAGTATAGTTGGCAATTGGGATTGAAGAAGATTTCTATTTGTTGTAATTTTTACTCTTCCCTAGTAGATACAATGCTACTTATACCAATTATTCTTCCATAAACCTTGAGTCTAAACATAGAACATCTTCCATGGTGTCCAAATGGCAACTGCCCAAAGGAAGACTTAAATTCAGATGCTCTGAATTATGAGATTAGACTCCATAAAGGCAACGATCATGTCTGTCTCATTCACTGTTACCACTCTAACACCTGGCATAGCACCTTGTACACTGTAGGCACTCAAATATGTTAAATAAATAAATAAGCATATGATTATCCAACTAAAACACCTAACTAATAATCTGGAATTAACAAACTTCTCTGAGAAAAGTTCATTTCAACTTTCCCTGACTTCAGTGTACTACAAACAGTAGTCTCTCCAGTTCCATATATTCAAGTTTTGCTAATTAACATACATTTTTAATAAGCGTGGCCATTGTGCCAAATCACAAGAAATGTGGCTTACACATGCTTAAAGATAAAATAAAGACAACCCCAGGGTAGCAAGCCACAGGTGGCCCAAGATACCTTTCAGTGGCATTCCTTTAGACCCTGCAGTGTCTCGTCCTCTCATAGTTCGTAAGCAACTTTATACAGGGTTGTGTCTTAGTCCTTGGATCCTCCCCAGAGTCTAATATACAAAAGTATTCAACAAATCTGCTGGGGGAAAAAATCCACCTTCAACCTCAACTGACAAAAGTAATTCAGGCAATTACTCAGGATTAAAATTACACATAAAATATCAGAATCAAAAATGACGGAAATCACCAAGAAACATCTTTTAAGTTTCATGTCAAAAAAAAAGTATCATTAACATCAAATAATTTCAGCACATACTAGAGGGGTAAAAAGCTGACACAAAAGGAGAACATTTAAAACTGAAAGATGACATCTGCCAAAGAAAAAAAAAAATCAAAAGTATCTGGACAATTTTCAAAGTGGAAAACGTGTAACTCTCTCAACATTCCAGAGAACCATTCCACAGCTGAGACTTTTCTGTGGTACAAACAACCTCTTAGGGGCTGATGTGTATTTAGTGTGTCTAAGAGACTGAATGTCAGAATTAATGCGTAGCATTTAGAAATCTCAAACCTTAGAAAAGGATACAATTATAACAATGTACGAATTAGGTTTTCTAATCTACTTAACCTGGTTAAAAAAAATCAAGATACAAGTTCATTATCATCCCAGGATCTCTTATTTCCAACAATCAGTATCCTTTTTATTAAAGAGTCAGCTGTTCTGCTTCTTTCATTTTCTATACATAACGAAGGGCTCTCTCTATCCATGGTGAAACTACTTCAAGTTAGAGATATTTTGGATCTGGTGTCTCTTCTCGTTATCAAAGGGGCAGAGCTGACCCATTTAGCTGAGATGTGACGTACAGTACAGAGTAAAACTGTTACTTAAGAGCAGCAATACACAAACTTTGCATTGTGCCAGAAAAGTGTGTTTTTTCCCCAAAATCTTTTATACTAGATCTACTTTCTGCCTTTGATATTAGCTGGAAGAAACAGTTAACTTCTTCTACCTTAAGGATTTGTAAACAGCCCTAAATCTTGCAGTCTCCAGGGTGGAGAATAATGAGAGTTATCACTTTCTTAGTGCTTACTACGCCAAACACTGTTCTAAGCATAGGTACAGTCTTAACTTACTTAATTTTCACAATTGCTCCAAAAAGCACGTTCTATTATTATTCATTTTACAGATGAGAAAATTGGGAAATAGAAAATTAAGTAACTTGTCCGAAGTCTCACAGCAAGTTAGTGGGAAGGCTGGGGAATTTATCTGTGTACAAACGTGACATAACAGACAGCTGCGCAACAACTATAGAACAAGGAGGGTTGCTCTGCCCAATAAAAAGCCAGCGCACATCTCTTTTGAAATACAATATCAAATCCATGTTCCACCTGGAAACAAGATCAGAATGTCCCTTCCGTCTCCCAACTACCACGCCCCACCCCCCTCCTCTTTAGTTGCAGGTTCTGATACATCCTAGGCAAGAACCTAAGAAGCTAATTAACCTCGAGCAAATAAGCAAACTCGCCTTTTCTGGTTAGGAAAATAGTAGTTAAAGAATGCGACGGCCTTCCCAGGGGGCCGAGATTCATACCCACGGGCACGAGACACGGACGGAAAAGTGAGGACATCAGGGTTACCTTGTACCGAAGCGCTTGATGAATATCGGCAGCCAGCTGTCCCCGCCACCACTGCCCCTCCAGCTCCATGGGACCGGGCGGCGCGCCTGGCCAGACGCGGCAACTTCAGTCTGGAAGACACAACCCAGACGCGGTCACGGCCAGCTCCCTCCACGCGACCCCTCGCGCCCCGTCCCCGAGGGGTGTGACCTCAGGCCACCCTGGGCGGCTGTTCATCTTCACCTGACTCTCCTAAAACCAGCACCGCTCCAAACAACTCCCTGACGCCGCACGGGAGGCCCGAGCTACCCAGGCCGGGGAGCTGGCTCACCTGGGGAACTGCCCGACTGGGTGCCGGGCAAGAGGCGGCCAACTCGGGCCGGAGCGCCCAAGGCGCGGACCGGGGGCGCGCTCGGGAGAGCGGGAGGGGGCGGGCCGGCTTCGGCTCCCCGTGTCCCGGCCCGAACTCTCCTACCGGCCCTGAGGAGCAGCGGGACCTGACACCAGTCACAGCCCCCTGAGGGGAAAACCCCCCGCGGAGAAAGCCGGAGACGAATGCCCGCCTGGCTCCGGTCCCCGCGGCCAGACGGCCGGGCGCTCCTCCTCCCCGGGAGCCTCCCCGCGGCCCGGCCGGGCCCGGCGCGCACCCAGGCCGCCGCCCTCTCTTCCTGAGGAGCGCACGGGATCGCGCGGCCCCAGAAAGGCGAACAAAAGGCCGGGCCAGGCGGGTCCGGTGCCCCGCGCCCAGCCCAGGCCTGCCGTCCCCACGGCGGCCTCCCTTACCCGGAACCGCGGCCCTCACAGCCCCAGCCCCGCTGCTGTGCGGGGGACGCCGGCCCCGCTCATGCTGCGGAGAGTCGGCCGCGAAGCGCCGGCCTCAGCTCGGGCCCAGCGCCTGGGCGCTCGCGCCGCCCATTGTTAAAGGACCGGCAGGCGGCTCCGCGTACAAAGCCAGCGCGGGGGCACATGCGGCCCCGCCGCTGCCAATCTCGTCTCGCGATACAGCCGGGTCACCCTCCCCCTCCCCCCAGCCGTCCAATCGGCGGCGGGCCGGGCCCAGGTGCAGCGCCCGGCGGCGGCTCGCCGGCTCCAGCCGGGCCGGGGCAGCATCTCTGGCAGCCCCGGCGCTACCGCGTCTCGTGTTCCCCGAGAGCCCCACCACCACCTACCGCGAAGCCGGCCTGAGGGGCGGGCGGAGGTCAGAAGAGAACGCCGGAGAAATGCTAACGTGGATCATCATTCCGGTGGCCAATCCGGTCATGCCACTCACCTGCTGAGAACTTTGGATGGCTCCCCGAAGCCCGCGGAGGAAAGTGATGCCTCAGCTTGGCGTTGAAAACCCTTCACAGCAGGGATTCAATCTGCCTCATCTCACATTACAACAGCCTCATGCATTCTAGGGGCTGCTCAATGGGATTATCGGTCCATCCATATGTGCTTTGGCTGTTTCCGCAGCCCCTAAACTGCTCTGAAATTCTACTCTCTCTTAAATTCCACCTCAAAACCTACTCCTCCTTCTAGAAACCTAATTAATCTCTTTTCCGTCCTTATTTCCTTTGCTTTAGACATTCTCAAGAGCTTTGAATGAACCTTTAGTAACCTAGTTTGTCAAATCCGTAGTCGATGTAGTTGACTATCTGAGGTCGTAAATCAGGACACTACAAAACTGTGGAAACACTCCAACATCGATTAAGGTGGTGTGAGACCTGACATGTGATTAGCAGAAATCTAATCCATTGTATTTTAACCTGTTTGGTGGGATAGCACAACAGAAGTGGATGGCTAGCCCAGGACAGTGATCTTCACTTTTCTGAGAATGAAGATCAACCTCTTTTAATATTAAAAAAGAAATCACGGACCCCTGTTCCTTTTACTCGGAATCCTTTGTCCCACAAAATGCATGATAAAGAGCTTCTATAAAATGCTGAATACGTTACGTGAATCTGAGTTTTATTTATCACAATGACATCTTCATAGACTTGAAGAAGAGCTGCAGATTTGTATGTGAGCCAGGTGAGACCATCCTTACGCCCAGGAGAACAGGGCTACAGGAACAAAGGCAAGATAAGGAAAACCCAGAAACATAGGCAGAGTCCAGTCTAGCCCAGCATTGTCCAGGGAGAGGCTGCCCTGGCCTATCTCAGTTGCAGGGGTTCCCTAGAGAGGAGATGGACACTTCAGGCTAGAAGCTCCATGTCGTTTACAATGACTTTTAAATAGTATCTGCCTCCTCAAGTTGCGATTCATGTGCACTAAGCAACTTTATGACAGTAATTTGGCTTCCCAATAACTTAAATGTCCAGGGCCCCTGTAAGAACCCTTTCAGAAAAATGGGTCACAGACTATAATCATCAGTGTAATAAGCAGGTTGCCTGTCCTGGTTTCTACTTTGAAGATGTTAAAGTTATTCACTGGGAGATATTCGGAAATCATTCTCACTATTTTCTGGATTTGCCTCATATGATGAAAGAACTTTAATTTCATTCATTTTATAGATTAATGTGTGTGTGAATATATATAATTTGCCAAGTGTGTCTTAGATTATAAATCCCTAAAATACAAAATTCAGGTTTATTATAATTTCTTCATTAATTCCTTTAGGGCAAGTTGGACACAATTAGGTATGTACTTAATTCCTATATAAAATAAAGTCTGCTCTCATAGAGTTTATATTCTAGTGGGGAGAGGGAAATAAATTAACAACAACAACAAAGTCACATAGTGACAAATACTGTGAAGAAAAATAAATGGAAAAAGGGAATAGAAGTTGACAGTAGGTGAGCATTGTTTTATGAAGGTGAGGTGTGCAGAGCCTGAGGGAGGTGAGGGAGCATGCAGATATCTGGTGGCTAAGTGTTCCAGGCAGAGGGAACAGCAAATGCAAAGACCTAAGGAGAAAGCATGCTTGGAATGAACAGGAGGCTAGTGTGTGCCTGGAGTGAAGAGGAGATAGGAAGGACATTCCAAGTCTAGGAAGTAGTGATCAACAAAGGTATGAAAGGATGGAAATAAAAAAGGCAGAACTTCTACATAAGGCAGAGTAAGGAAAGAGGCCAGTGTGCCTGCAGCATAAGGCACAAGACGGGTTTGGCAAGAGATGAGAGTGGGACCAGATTCTTTGGAGATTTTTTGTAACTCACTGAACCTTAGGCAGTGAAAAGCCACTGATTTTAAATTGTTTAATTTTTTCAAATGAATACATGCAAAAGGTAAAACAGTCCAGACGGTAGAAGACTGTCTACAGAGACGAGCAAGTCTCCCTCCCTCCCTCATCCCAGTCCTTCCTGGAAGCAACATTATTACTATTTTGTGCCCTTCCAGGGATATCTAGGTATTTATAACCATGCATGTATATAACCCCTTTGCCCCATTTTGTGCACAAATGGTAGCACATTACACTCTCTGTTGTGTACTCAGCTTTTGTCACGTAATATATTTTGGTGAACATTCCATAACAGAACACCCAGGATTCCTTTCAGTGGTTACATAATATTCCACTGGATACAAAGGACTGGAAGCCAGAAGCCCTGGGCTCTGGTCCTTGGTTCTTGATTTGCTGCTTCCTAGTGGAGTGATCTTAGGCAGGTCATTTCCCTCCTCTGAGACTCAGGTTCATCATCTATAAAGTCAACTGAGTGATGAATGAGATTGCTTCTGACTAACATTTTAGGTTCTTTGCTCTTGCCTCACACATGTTGCAGACTTCTGTAGGCAAAGAGGCCCAACACTCCCCATAAGGCTCTGATCATTATCCAGTTTTAAAGATTTTAAATTTAAAGTGCATCAGGGTAATTCATGTACACCCATTAAGAAGTCAAATATTTCTGGGGACCAGCCCCATGGCCTAGTGGTTAAGTTTGGTGCACTCAGCTTTGGTGGCCCAGGTTCTGTTCCCCAGCGCAGACCTACACCACTCATCAGCAGTCGTGCTGTGGCACTGACCCACATACGAAACAGAGGAAGATTAGCACAGATGTTAGCTCAGGGCGAATCTTCCTCAGGAAAAAAAAAAAGTCAAATATTTCTAAAGGCATATAATGAAGAGCCAGAGTTCCTTGTTCCCTACCTCCACTCCCAAGTCCCATTCCAAGGTAGTAACAACTTTGAACTCTTTTAGCTATTTTTCACAGTGTTTGCTATCATCTTTCAAAATAACATGTTTATATTATGATTTTGATTTGTCATTTTTAACATATTAACATATTGTCCTGGAAAATGAAGATTTAGATGCTTTACATTACCTTTCACAGACACATTTCCCCCTTCCTCCATCTCCCTAATATGACTTTGACACATTTTTGTTTACATCACTTTTCAGTTGTTTGCATTGTGAGGACTACATAAACATTGTTCACAGTTGAGTCACATGGTGTCCTATAATTATTACTTTGCTTTTTGTTTTCCTAAAATCTTTTCTCTTTTCTTCTTTGTTTGGCTTTCTTCAAGTCTACATCTAAGTTTCCTACATCCTCCGATAGCTCTGTAAAATGCCTCAATTCAACTTTCAAAACAGTAAGCCTATCAGATAATCTACTAGTTCTGTCTCTCCCTTCTTGATTTATCCTCCAGGACTCATCTATCCCGACCCTCCAGCTCCAATATTGAGGGGTTCTCTCTAGAGCTGATAGACAGCTGCCTATCCTGGGGTAGGTCCCGTTTCCAGGATCCTGTGTTTTTCTTTTCCTTGGTTTATATACCCTAGTAGCTTTCTGAGAAAGAGTGCCTGGGAGGCAAATCTTTGAGACCTTGTATAACCTGAAAATATCTTCAATCTACCCTCACACTTGGTTGTTTGGCTAGGTATGAAATTCTAAACTAGAAACCATTTCCCTTCATAATTTTGAAAGCATGCTCTAATGTCTGCTAACTTCCAGTGTTCTTATTGGGAAATCTGATGCTGTTCTGATTCTTGTTATAAAAAACCTGAAACCTATTCTATCTAGATTTTTCTATGTCCTCAGTGATCTGGTTTTACAATGATGTATTTTGGTATGGGTCATTTTTCATTCATTATTCTGGGCACTCAGTGGGGTCTTTAATCTGAGACTTAGAAACTTCAGTTCTGGAGATTTCCTGGAATCATTTCTTTAGTAATTTGTTCTCTTCCATTTTCTCATTTCTTGCTTTCTGAAATTCATATTATTCAGATCTTGGATCTCCTAAGCTGATCTAAATTTCTTATTTTTGCTTGCCTATTATCCCTTCCTTTGTCCTTTTGTTCCCTTTTGGGGAGATTTCCACAACTTTCAAAACATAAACTCTTATTGTGGACTTTTTAATGGATTTTAAATTTTCTACTATTTTCCAATAGATTTTTCATGTTCTCAGATTATTTTTTTATTTAGTATCCTATTCTCGTGTTACAGATACAATATTTTCTCTTATTACTCTAAGCACATTAAAGTTATCTTTTAAATACATTTTTCTTGTCTCTACATTCATTGTCTCCGTTTCATCATGGTTTCTTTTATTTGTTTTCATCTTTGATTCACATACTAGAGGGTTTCCTCAGATGTGTGGTGATCTTTGGCTGTCAGTTCAAATTTACAAGTGAGGCTTTAAAAAAGTTATTAGAATCTCTGAGTGTATTTTGGGAAATCCCTAGATAAGAAATCCTCCCACCCCAAATCTTTTCTCCTTGATAGGTCATTCCCTCCAAGCAGAATCCTCTAATTTTCTGCCAGGGGATAGGGAGGGGGTATAAGACTGGCTGATAACATTTGGAGGCTACATGGAGAAGCAGCTTAGAAGACTATTGTCACTATACAGTAATGAGACTTTCACATAATCTCTCTGTTCTCAGTAGACTACCCCCTTCTCCACAGTCCAACCACTTTAGAAAATAAGTTTCCAGTCTTATAGTGTTGGTAGGTGGAGTGGCCTGACTACAAAGGGTGAAAGGGAGAGATTTTATGGTTTAGTCATTCCTTTTAAAGACTTTTAACCAATCCTTCTATTTTCAGCTCGCCTCACATCTCTACTCCTACCTCCATGTTTAAAGTGTCCTAGGGCTTGAGTCTTTCTGAGGTTCCTGTTGCTTTCCAATACTCCCAACATCCCAGAGGCTGGAGGCACTTTATTTTCAGCTTTCTCTGGTCTGGCAAATTGGTTATCATGTATCTATCTACTTTCCAGTTTCCAAGCTTTTATTCACCCTTGTGGTCCACTTGAGAAGGAGCAGAGATAAAATCTGTGTTCAATCTGTGATATCTAACTCAACTGAAGTTGACTTATTTCCAAAGAAAATCTGGCATTTCTTCTTTACTTTTTTTTTTTTTTGATATTTCAGAAGTATTTTTCATGTGTATAGCTCTGTTGGTTCTACCTCCAACATATATCTTGAATTGGTTTATACTGTATTAGATTCCTATAAAACTGAGTGGCTCAAAACAACAGGAATTTATTCTCTCACAGTTCTGGAGGCTAGAAGTCTGAAATCAAGGTGTCAGCAGGCTCCTCTGAAGGCTCAAGAGAAGAATCCTTCCTTGCCTCTTCCTAGTTTGTGGCAGCTCCCAGGAATCCTTGGTGTTCCTTGGCTTGTAGCTGCATCCTTCCAATCTCTGCCTCCCTCTTCACATAGCCTTCCTCTCTGTGTCTGTGTCCTGTCCTCTGCTTGTAAGGACACCACTCATTGGATTTAGGGCCCACCCTAATCCAGTATGACCTCATCTTAACTAATTACATCTGCGCAGACCCTGTTTCTAAATAAGGTTACATTCTAAGGTTCTGGATAGACACAAATTTTGCTGGGGGCACTATTCAACTCACTACAACTACTATTGGTGTCCACTCTGGACATCCTAGCTCAAGGCACCATCATCTCTCACTTGGACTTGTACAGTACTTTCTTAACTGGTCTTATTACCACTACACCTGCTCTTCTCCAAAATATTCACCACCTAGCAGTTAGAGCGGTCATATAAAGATAAATCATACCTGTTATGAGCTTCAGAGGGAAGAGTTCCTAGATCACATTCCCAAACTGCCTTAGTAGAAGGCAGAATGTTAAGGATGGTTTTTACGGCTATTTTTTAAAATGGGGGCCAGAGTACGTAGAAATTTATAATCTGAAATCTACAAAGAGGCATTCCAAATTTTAAAATACTATATGATAATGTTCCAATTCTGGGTAAGATAGTTGTGATGGTTAATTTTACACATCAACTTGACTAGGACACCAGGTGCTCAGATATTTGGTCAAACATTATTCTGGGTGCATCTGTGAGGGTGTTTTTGGATGAGATTAACATTTGAATCAATAGACTAAGCGAAGCATATTGCTCTCCTACTATGATCTGTTTTTATTCACGACACTTTTTAGACTAAATATGTAGGTTTTTTCCTCACACTAACCAATTCACCAACTCTCTAGACACCAATTGAGGGTTCTACAATTCAATTCAGTTCTGACACTATCTACCTGGAGTGTCAGATCCCACAAATTAAGAACTCAGTTCCACAAGACTGCCTACTCTAGACATGAATTCCATGTCCTGGGCCTCCCATACTTCTGACTGACCAGCTCTAAATCAAGGGTTCCCATCACACCCTACTTCGGTTTGATAATTTGCTAGAACAGCTCACAGGACTCAGGAAAACGCTTTACTTACTATTACTGGTTTATTATAAAGAATACAACTCAGGAACAGCCAGATGAAAGAGATGCATAGGGCAAGGTATGTGGAAGGGCTGTGGAGCTTCCATGCCTTCTCTGGGCAGGTCACCGTCCCAGCACCTCAGTGTGTTCACCAACCCAGAAACTCTCTGAACCCCGTTGTTTAGGGCTTTTATGGAAGTTCCATTATGTAGGCATGATTGATTAAATTATCAGCCATTGGTAATTAACAATCTCCAGCTCTTCTCCCCTCCCCAGAGGTCAAGGGATAGGGATGAAAGTTCTTACCCTCTAAACACATGGCTGGTTCCAGCCCCTACTCTGAAGCTATCTACGGGCCCACCAAGAGCCACCTTATTAGCATAAACTCAGGCATGTTTGAAAATAACTTATTATGAATATCAAAAGATACTCCTCTATCTTTCCTATCACTCAGGAAATTCCAAGGGTTTTAGAAGCTTTGTGTCAGGAACTGGGAACAAGGACTAAATATGTATTTATTATATCACAGTATTATACCTCCATAATGTAGGTAGCCCTCATTCGATCAGTTGAAGGCCTGAATAAAACAAAAAGGCTGACTGTGAGTCAGAGGGAACTCCTCCCGCTTGACTGCTTTGAGCTGGGACATAGGTCTTTTTCTGCCTTCAGACTCAAGCTGAAACACTGGTGCATCATGGGTCTTGAGCCTGCTGGCTTTTGGACTAGAACTTACACTATCTGCTCAGTGAATGCCACACATGCCTACCCAATAGCCATCCTCCCTTCCTTCCTCACTAAGAGAACACTGATTTCACCAAGAGAACACTGACCCAAGAAGAGCAATACATCCATTTAAAATACTTGCTCTCCCAGCCTCTTTTGTAACTAGGAGTGACGCAATTCTGGCCAATGGGATATAAGTAGAAGTTACTGGGCATGGCCTCCTCAGAAGCTTTTTAAAAGAGCCAAATCAGCTGCAAAGTCTACCCCCTCCTCTCTTTCTGCATTTTCTTGCCATGAAAATGCTTGTGAGGCGAGAGCCAAGGTTCTCAAAGTGTGGTTCCCAGATCAGCAGTCTCAGTATCACCTGGGGACTTGTTACAAATGCCTATTATCAGGCCCCACCCCAGATCCATTGAATCGGAAACTCTGAGGGTAGGGCTGAGCAATCTGTTTCAACAGGCTCTTCAGGTGATTCTTATGCATGCTGAAGTTTGAGAGCCACTGAGCTAGAGGACAGAAGCCTCCTTAGAGATGGTCAAGAAGATGGATGAAGACTAGCGCACCATTGCCATCATAAAGTCTCTGTACCGGGCTTGGACTGCCTCCTCTGGACTTGGCAGTTCTGTAAAAAAGTAATCCCTATTTGGTTAAGCTACTGTGATTAGGTTTCTGTTACATGCAACTGAATGCAATTCTAATTGATAAATCATCTTTTAAATCTCAGCACAAACATTTTCTGTTTTGAGAGGCCTTTCCTGACTATTCTGCTTATGCCCTCCATCTCCACCAAAGTCCTTCTCCATCATGCTGTCCTATTTGTTTCCTTCATGGCACTCATCCACCCTGAAATGATCTCTCTTACTCGTGTTCATCTCCTTATGGCCTGTCCCCCCGTAAGAATGGAAGCTTTGCAGGGGGAGGACCTTTGTCTTTTCACTGCAGTACCCAGCACACGCTGAAGTGGCTGGTACATGGTGGATGCTCTGTAATTATTTGTGGAATGATTTAAAGAACATTAAAATTATATGTTACATTTGAAATCATGTATTTTTAAAACAGTCAAATGAAAAAATGGTTCATTACAGACAATACACAATTTTCAAGAAAAAATTTTAGTTGAGAAACATAGACACATGCAAAAAAAAATGCATATAATACAGAAAGGTCCTCTGTGCTTGCCTATGAACATTTTCTGCCTTATGCTTAAGGGACCTATCAATTCTGAAACCATAACCAACTAACAAAATAGCTATGTAAACATTCAAAGTGCCACAGAAAGGAACTACATGAATTCAGCATTTCTTTGGCAACCTCGTCTCTCCATAGATATAATTTTCTGCTACCCCAATCAATATGGGAGACTTGTTAACAACAAAACTTCATATAGCGTTTAGACACAAACATCCAAATAAAAACAAAAATCCTAATCCATTTTCTTATGCATGCCAGAAGACACAGACTATTAGGTTTTAACCTTGGAGAAAAAACCTTCTCTTCACCCACATCTGTACTGTTTTTTACTCTTCTAGTAATCTTAAGTTTGGTCCAAGATTAACATCACTGCGAATAAATGAGGTCTTCTTTGGCACCAGCCTATGAAGGTGTACTGGGGGAGAGGTTACAGACTGAGGGTTCCTTAAAGGTGAATTTGGGGCCTCTGCTGTCTGCTTGTGAGAGTGACCCAAGAAACCCCATGCTCCTGCAATGGGAGAGGTGAATTTTCTTTCTCTTACCACTACCTCATATAAAACTGCTCTCATCAGCCTTTGGAAATCTGTATCCTTTGATTAAAAAAAAAAAAAACAAAGTTATGTAACATTTAAGTAAACTATATAAATACTTTTCTCAATGAAGCATGAACAATCAAATACAAAAAAGTACAGTGCTTCCTTCTTAGGTCCCTGTCCACTCTTTCTTGAGGGGCTCCTAGGATCTAGACAGGCCTCTTTGGGGCCACCCTTGGGAAAGGAAAGCAGCAGAAAAGTGCCAGAGGCAGAATGGGGGTGCCACTCACTAAGGAAAAAAGGAGCCCTGAGATTTAGTAAGAGCATTTTCTCACAGAATCAGGAAAGCATGTTGATCGTTTCCTGGGAGTCTCTTCCAAATACTTGGAGCTGAAAGGACTTCAGGTCAGGAGCATCCCAAGTGAAAACTTTTGAGAAGCCTCCGGAAGCTAACCTCAGCCCTCAACCCAACATGGCAGATCTTCCTCCTATTCTTAACCAGTGAAATAATCTTTTGAGAGGCAATGACCTTACGTTTCTACGTGAATAACTTCTCCCTGGAATTGCACCAGAACCAACATCAAATGTACCGGCCTCATTTTAGTAATGACAACATTCTATAATGCAGGGTGCTCACTCTCAACAGGTCATCAGAATTACTTGGGGAACTCATTAAAATAATGTAGGTTCTGGAGCTCCACTTCCAGAAGTTCTGATTCAGCAGGTCTTGGGTGGGATGTGGGAATCTGTATTTTCAACAAGGCTCACCAGGTGATTTTGATGGAGGAGGTGTGAGGCCCACAACTGAGTAATATTGTCTTTAAATGGAGAGGCCAGAATTGCTTCTTTCCCAGAATAAGATCTACTGTAGAAAGTGACCCAAGGCTGCTAGACCTCCCAAAGGGTCCTCCATGCAGAGGTCTCCAGTGAGGAGGTCATCTAGACTTGTCCCCAAAGACTCAGCGAACAAGTCTCCATGGTGTCCAACTCTGTAAGTGAACCAAAAACTGAGCTTGCACTTGGCTAGGCTTGAGGATAAGTAGCAAAATCCCAAAGTTCCAGGAAAGTTTTCTTTGATCCTGGGTTGCGGGCTCATAGTATTATCTTTTCCTTTTTCCTTCTTCCTTTTCACTGATGTCGAGCTAAGGAAGCCAAATAGACCCACACAGATAATATGTTGTTTGGATATGGGTGAATGTATACAGCTAGAGCAAATTCTGTCTGGGGAAATTCAGAGGAGTGAATTCCAGTTTGATATACGGCATCAATAACTGACTGTACATCAGTGTACGGCATCTGGATAGGAAATCCTGCGACCTAGACCAGAGACAGAACAACATGTAAACCCATGTTACAATCATGTAGGTAACTGGGAATTACTGTATGCAAAAAGATGACAGAAGCCTCAAGAAATGATAGTCATAAAATAATAATGATGTTTCATGGGTGCTTACTATATTCTAGGTACAGTGCTAAATGCTTTATATTCATATCTAATCCTCAAATGACCCTAGGAAGTAGGTTCTATTATAATCCTCACTTTACAGTGTATCTGATGCTAGGGCCTGCACACTTAGCATTCCACATACTTGCATCCTTTCTAGAATAGCAAACTGCCAAGGAAATTACTTGATCCTACAGATGAGGGATTTAAGTGAGCATTTCAGAAGAATTTATTTAACATTGATGCAGTTTATATTTATTAAGTGGCAACTATGTGACAAGATTAAAGGATTATGGAATAAGGTCCTCTGTAAAATTATCTATTTAAGAATACACAGATAGGAATCATCAACTTCTTTCAAGCCTGATCTTTAGATCTGTTCATGTGCTCTTCCATATGGTTGTATAGTACACTGTTCTTCCTGAGCTTACTTTATACATGTTTTCTGGTCTGTCTCTCTAGCCCGTAGTCTCTGTGAATGCACAAGGCTGTATCTATCTTGTTTACTGTCATAACCCCAGTGCCTAGTACAATGCCTGGCACTGTACGACACAAATAAATAATTAACATTTATTAAACGCTTGCTAAGTGCTGGATGCTATGGTATTAGCTCACTTGATCCTCACCACAACCACGAAACAGATAACTATTTTTATCCCTGTTTATCTTGCCCAATGGGGTAGAAAATATAGAGAAGTTAGGTAACTTGGTTAAAGTTGGTGAGTGGTTGAGACAGGTTTTGAACCCAAGCTGCAGGATGCAGCCCAAGCTTATGATTGTGTTATTAAATAGTCGACAATTTTACAAAGGAATTCCAAATTTTAAACTTTGGCTTAGATTTATGCTTTGCTTGTCGGTTTACCCCATAATTCTATTAAAAGAAAGCAAAATAAAACAGCTTCCTCCCTATTCATGAATGAGCAGTGCCTGCAGATCCGTCCCTGGCAGCCTAAGTCCCCAACTGCCAACAGATTCCTTCCTTCCTTCTCTCAGAGGGTTTCCTTAGGAGACATCTTCTAGTTTATGGGATGGTAGGGGAAGGAATCTCACTCTTGGGAAGCTGAGGCTTTCAAAAACCTACTGGACCAGTTCATAGGGAAAAGTTAGTGAGAGGATTCCCAGCACTGGGGGTAGGGTAGGGAAAGAAAAGAAGGACACTAACAATACACCAAATGCCCACCATGTTTGGTTATAGACTTGTTGAGTTTGAAATGCCTTTTTACCATCCAGGACGATATCAACTGTGTTGGTGAATATATCAGAGAGGAGGTCAGGAGAGAAGTCCAGGCTGCCTGTACAAATTTGAGAGTAATCTGCATACAGAAGATATTAAAGCTTGCCTGGAGTTCTCTTGCCCAGAACCAAGGATCAGGAAGCCATTCTATTACTACCATCTAGAGATTATTTTTTTTAGTTTCGTAATTGCAGATGGTTTCCTTTTGGGCATCTCTTTCCAAAGCTTGTGGTTCATACATCATAAAACACATGGCTGATTTCAAGAAAATGTCATGCAACGTGGTCAGGGTAATAGTTGTTCACTACATTTGAAATTTCTCGGTCCATAAGTAAATGCACTTCAATGCCATAGTATCCATTGTCTAGGATCAAGATAAAAGGCATTTCAGGGATACTAAAGATTTCTATTATCTGACAATTAACAGCATTTATAAAACAATGTCATTAACGCATTAAATCATATACAAACCCAATAAAATTGTAGTAGTCTTTCAAATTCACTCTTTTCTTCAGATAAAACCAAGCTTCCAGCACCAAGTTCTAGCTTAGGAAGGATTTGTTGTAAAATAAAAGTACATTGCCGATTCCAACGTGTTGGCTGTTTGGGTCGCCATTCCATTATTTTACATTTCAGAGTCCTTTCAATCCTAAGGTAAGAATGCAAAGATTATTTCATGACAAATTATAACTCATTTAATAAATGTGAAAAGAGTTTTTGTCACTTGTACTCAAGCATGAGAATGAAATTTTTTTGACTTAGGAGGAAACCAGACCACTATGGCTAGGGATATCTGCCATCATTCACATTGGTCAAGTCTGGGAGAAGCAGGCTGTTGCTTAGCTTGGGAAAGCAAGAAGCTGCCCGAAGTAGCTAGTAATTAGATCTCAAAGGCACATCTCTTTTCCAGTTACCTGTGTGTAGGCAGCTGCCTACTGGTAACACCTACCGTCTGATTACTGGGCTGACATTTCTATTCTCCGAGACTCTCCTCTGACATAAAACACTGTGTTTCCAAGAAACTGCCTTTACAAAAATTCAGACATCTGGTCTAGGATAATGTTAGCAGGGATAGGTTTATTAGATCAGCTAATTCAGCAAGCAGAGTTGGGAGGAAATGAGGCACTGGACGGATAAGTACGATGATCAGTTTCCCCTACCAGAATGGAGGCTCCATAAGGGCAGGGATTTTTGCCTGTATAACCAGCCCCTAAAACAGTCCCTGATAATGAACTGTTCTGGGGAGGGGAGAGAAGTGGAGCATAGTGCGGGTTGGTTGATGGGGCCCTCCTGGGAAGCCTCTCCTCTGTGCAGGAGCAGTGTGTACTGCAGAAGAAGCCCCTGGGAGTCTCCTCTTGGCTGAGTCTATAGTGTAACTGAGTAGTTTGGAGTTCGCAGAGAGTCTCAGTAGTGGCTATGCATCAGAATCATCTGTAGGACTTTACCGAAATGTTTCACCTCCAGATATGGATTCAACAGGTCTGGTCTGGGAGCCTGGCACCTGTGTTTTTAAATAATTCTAGAAGCGATTCTGATGAGAACCAGAGTTGGAAACCATTTCCCTACTGCATTTCTTCCTTTTTTGTTAAGAACTGGGGAAGAGGAAGGAGACTAAGAGGTGGGGGTTGTGTGCTAGTGAGAGAAGCGAGTGGCAACATGATTTTCGTCTTCCTCTGTTTTGATTAGCTAGTAGTGGCTTACATGCCAGCGTGCTGAGTCAGCATGAGTCACTGGAGGCAGTCAGATCTAGAAGCTTCTGACACATCTGGAGTAGGAGTGAGGCCTGCTGCAAAGGTTGTAAGCCTTTGGCTTGACAGAACAACTCCGTAGGGCACTTGTGTATGTGCGTGTGTGTTTGGGGAAGGGGGGAGAGCCTAGGAGGGCCAGTTTTGACATTTCTACCTCCCAACTTGGATGTTTTTACCATACCCCAACTTGTGGGCCATTTATCTTCATGTCCTTTCAAAAAGTATTAGCTACTGCATTATTATTACTACAGACCCAACAGGTGTGTGTGTGGGGGGGCTTCCCTACAGTTGCTCACAATGTTGTTCAAAAGTGACCATTTTTAACTTGGTCTGTCTTTTCAGGAGTGTCCTGATTGGCAGAGGGGCTGTTTTTCCATGCCTGTACCAAGAGACAGATGACTCACTGGAAGTAAGGATTATAATCTCCATTTCATGCTTCTGTTGCTGGATCTAATAGGTATTTCGAGAGACTGGGTTAGAGAACTGCAAGTGGCTGAAAGAGAGGTTAGGGAGAAAACGTGGTAATCATAATGCGTAAAGAAAGATCGTACCTGTTCTTCAGATCTTCTACCATGCTTTTATTAGTATCAGAATAAATTATTTCTTCAGGCTGAAATACAGAAAACTGAAAGTTAGAAAATATCCTCGGGAGACCATTTTTATACCACAGTCACCCCAGGAGTGCTAACTGTAATGAGGGGGAACCCGAATCAGTCTCATGTGGCAAAAACATTCAATCCAAGAGGCACAAACACAGATCCCAGTGTTTTCTTTGATTTTAATAATACTTCACCAGAGCACGGGAGGGGGAACAGATTTACAAAAGATACTTTTCATGGGTAAGACAGATCTGCTGCCCCCACTCATTTATTCAAACAAGCATTTGCCAGGCTTATTGATTCTACCAGATAATCTCTGGCAGCTGCACTGGCCTCTTCTACTTATTAACTGTGACCTTGGTCGAGTTACTTAACCTCTCTGAGTCTCAGTTACCACGTCTCTCAAAGACGGACAACAATAGTGCCTACTTCTCTGGGGTCTTGTGAAGATTTTAAAATAAACTAATACATGTAAAGTCCGGCACATGTTTCTCAATAAACATCAGACATGATTGTTATTAATACTCTTGTAACATAACTTATTATCTTCTTTCTTTGATTGAGTATTCATTTCTTTCAGCTGGCAGGAGCCAGGTCTTTGTGTTCGCATGCATGTGCACGCGCACACACAAACACACACATACACACAAACACATACACACAAACATGCAGACACACAGAGTCCGTTTCAATCTCCCTTGTCTGCCCCTTTGCTCCAGCACCCCACCAACAGCAGACAGCAATTCTCTACCATGTCCCCCCATGTTCTCCCCCTGAGCAAGATTTGCTGGGAGGAGGGGACGACTTCTCAAGTCCACCACTACCCCCAACCCAGCCCTCCCCTCCCTGCAAGGCTCACATAGACCAGAATGAGGGGCTAGGTTTCGGTTTAGACAGTTTTTACTCTGGGTATTTCTGAGCTGAGAAAGGAGTGATTTGAAAAGTCTCGGTCGGTCAGGTGATGCTCTAAGCCACTGGCTCCCAAATGGTGGCCCCCAGACCAGCAACCTCAGACCTGGAAACTTGTTAGAGATACAAATTCTCGGCCCCCACCTCAGACCCACTGAATCATAAACTCTGGGGGTAAGGCCCAGCAATCTGTGTTTCAACGAGCCCTCCAGGTGGTTCTGATGACTGCCGTGGTTGGAGAACCTCTACATTAGAGAACAGGCTCAGACACAGGGAGTTTCCCCACAATAGAACACGGCAGGAGATGAGAGACACTGAAGAAAGGGAAATATGAACTCCAGGGTTATCTTGCAGGAGCCACCAACTATCCCAGACAGGACAGGGAGACTGAATTCCCTGACTGCTGTCACCAGCTATTGTCTGCCCCTCCAAAATACTTCCCTTCCCCTAGGTGACTACCCCCACCCCATCCTGGCAACTCCTGTAGATTAATTAGGCCACATTTAGGCCTGAAAAAGAGGCCTGGGTTATAATGACTTGATAAGTTAATGGGGTGTTAGTCCACTTTCCTTTTCTGGCAAAGGCCCCTTTCTTTCAGGGAATTCATATCCTTTAAAACTTCAAGAGGATTTCCCTGTTAACTCCATCTCTGAATACCTATGTTCTCATCATACACACTCAAATTTGTGTTCTCAATTGTGATAAAAAAAACACAGTGTTTACTATAGATAGTGGTTTATTCTGGTATGTGTGTGGCAAGGCAGAAGACCGAAGGCCATTAACCCACAGGAAAGAAATCAGTAGAGATACAAGTCAAATGCAACTATGAGTTTTACATTTATAGACTCAACTTGGCAAAAGGGTTAGCTTCCACCCTCAGCCAGAATGGCTTTTAAAAACACAATTTTGGGGGCTGGCCCTGTGGCCGAGTGGTTAAGTTTGCGCGCTCCACTGCAGGAGGCCCAGTGTTTCGTTGGTTCGAATCCTGGGCGCGGACATGGCACTGCTCATCAAACCACGCTGAGGCAGCGTCCCATATGCCACAACTAGAAGGACCCACAACGAAGAATATAAAACTATGTACCAGGGGGCTTTGGGGAGAAAAAGGAAAAAAATAAAAATCATTAAAAAAAAAAACAAAAAAAACACAATTTTGATGGTGACAGCCCTTGCCTTGGTGACGTTGGCTTCTGACTGCCCTGAGGATAAAGGCCACAATACTTAACAGGTCTCTGCTCACCCTGAGCTCATCTCTGCTCACTCCCTGGCAGCGCTGGCCTTTCAGCTCCTTGACAGACATCTCCGTGCCACTGCAGGTCTTCCTGCCTGCTGTTCTTGCTCTCTGCTGGGACCATTCCCTCTAGGCCAGCTCCTGCTCACCCTTCCTCATTCTGCTGCTCATCACCTTTTTTTCCAGGAAGCCCCTGCAACTCCCCTTCCCTTCAGGTCCTCCTGCTGTGTGCTTGCTCCCCAAAGCACAATTCATTTCTTTTGTAACAGCACTCATCACTCTGTACTGCCAGTGCTTGCTTCCTTCTGTTTCCTCGTCTACAACACAAGCCCCGAGAATGCTGAGACACATCTTTTTCCTTGTGGTACCTATACCCAACATAGCGCTGGCTCAGAGCAGGCCCTCAAAAAAATTACCTGAATGAATAACAGATTGAGTAACAGTAAACAAAAAACCTCATCTCTAAATATATCATTCTCCTTCTAGGGGGCAGCAGTGCTTCAGTCACAACTTTGGGATGGGAAAAGCAAAGCATGGCCTGTGGATGCTGTAAATGTGGTTTGCTCAAGAGAGATAAGCATGATTCCCCTTCTTTAAAAGGACTTTACAAACAAGAAATATATAAAAATGTATGTATATGTATGAATGTATATATTACATATATGCTTGCATCTGCATGGAGAATGTTTAGAAGGATGCACAAGAAACTACTGACAGTGGTCATTTCTTAGAGAGTGGGGAAAAAGACGTTGAAGAAGCAAGAAACTCCATGTTATACACTCTGGTACTGTTTGATTTTTCTCCCCCTACAACCAGCATGCATTCTTTCTGATGTTGTGAACTGCCACAAAAATACAGACAAGCACAGAGAATAACGTACTGAACAGCCACCTGACATACCTACCACCTAGCTATATCTAATCTTTGCATTCTTTCGTGTTTGTTTTAGATTTTTAAAGAAGCAGTAAAACCCTACAGATAGACTTTAAGTACTCTGTATACTGCTCCCTGATCTCGTTCCTTTTTTTCCTCTCCCCAAAAGTAAACTTTAACCTAAATTTGCTTTTTATCATTCCTATGAATGCTTTTATACTATCACTATATATCTATATATACATAAACAACATATAGTTTTCAAATTCCATATGAATGGTTTTGTATTATATGTTTCACACATAATTTTGCCTAACATTACATTTTTTATATTCATTCATGTTGATATACATGGCTCTAGGTCAATGCTTCTCAACCTTGGCTGCAAATTGGCATCACCTGGGGAGCTTTAAATACTGATGGGTGGGTTCTACCCTCAGAGATTCTGATGTAATGGACATACAATCAAGTTGAGAACTACTGTAAGTTGGTTCAGACTTTTTTTTACTGCTGAATAGAAGATTTCACAGTATGAGTACTTCACAACTCATGTATCCATTTTCTGGTTGATGAATTGTTTCCAATTTTTTTTTGCTATTTCAAGGAATTCTGTAACGAACATTGCTGTACCTGTCTCTCTATGCATGTTCCTGTAGGGCATATAATTAGAAGTTGAATTTGTAGATCAAGGGTTCAGCATCTTGAGCTTTACTAGACATCACCGTGCTGCTTTCCAAAGTGTTTATAGCAATTTATGCTCCTGCTATTTCTCTGCCTCTTTGCCAGTATTTGGTATGATCACACTTTTAAAAAGATTTTTGCCGATCTTACGCATGTGAAATAGTGTTCTATTGTTTAAATGGTATTTCCCTGATTATGAGTGATATTGAGCGTTTTGAATTTCTGCTTCTATGAATTGTCTTCTGCCTGTTTTTCTACTGTTCTTTTTCTCTTCTCATCCCCTCTCTCTCTTTTCCTCTGGGCTTACAGCTCCTAGTTTTTGGATTTTGCAATTGCCGGCACCCTGCTAAACCATGGCCTTTGATCCAGAAATAGCTGTTGAAATGGAATTTGGGATGCCTTCCCAAACCGATACTGAGTACCTCACAGATTCACTGGCTGAGCCATCTGGTGACTAGGTTGGCTCCTGATCTCAGGTCTGTGCTTTGGTCTCCTGCTTCCTGAGCCCCAGGCAGTGAGTCTGCAGTTTTTCTGCCCCATCTTCTTTCAAGAGGAGCGAAGTAAGGGAGCCCTATCATGGTCCCTGGCTTCAAAAAGTGAGACAGGCTCTGGTTCCCTGGATTTCATGAAGCATTTTCAGACCTTGCTGCCATCCCTCTTTCAGCCCTACTCACTGCTAGTATTTCTAACCTGTTTCTATACCATGAGATAACTATCATGGTTTGGAGCCCAGATAAGCCTTTTGTTTTTCGATTTTTGTATTATATCATTGCCATGGATGTGGAGCAAAAGGGCTAGGCCAAAGTAAGAACTTACTATACTATCTTGACATTATATTTTATGTTTTCGGATGAACACTTAAAAAATTTTATTTCAAAATCTAAATTCACACTTAAGATGATAACTTCTTCTCAATTCCTCTTTTCTGCAAGTAGAGGACAGGGATCAGAAGAGCCCAAACTTGGGCTGGATGGCAGAGAAAACTAGATTTCACTAATATTGCCAAATAATTCAATAACCAATCAGCTATATAAACATAACAAGAGCTGTCACAACTAGTTAAGATAAGCACCAATAGTAACTTTGATGCAGACACACCTGGAAAATTATTATTTACCTGTATGCTTTGTGCTTTTGTCCCTTGAAAACTTTTTGGAAGCAACTGTTTCCAGAAACTTTCCTTTGAATAGTCAAAATGTACAGCCACTGGTGTATTATTTCGTTGAATATTAAACCAGACCTATAAAAATATTTACATAAAATCAGTATAGGCCCACGGGAGCACAAAGCCCATAGCTGGTTAGGATGGAGCAAAATTGTATAGTCCTACTACGCAATGAAGTGGCGGAAGCCAAAGGAGGCTTTGAGGTAGGAGGTAAAGAGACTCCACAGGTATGTGAACATTCGACTGCTCATTGGTGCTCAGCCTTGGAGGCACTACAGAATCACCTGGGGGGGGCTTTAGGGATAAAAGATTTCTCTGGCCCCACACCTCGGGGATTCTAATTGAACATCTGTATTTTCTTCAGAGTTCCCCACATGATTCTAACGTATAGCCAGGGTAGAGGACCACTGGTTTGACACTTGAGGAGATAACTCAAAATAAGATTTTTTTCCCCCCATATACTTACATTTCCATCATCAAACAAACAGTCTACACTTTGTAAGGGACAAAATGAGTCAAACTGCTTATGACATTGCCCAGTCAATGGATTCCAAAGCAAATATTCATCAGTTTCTTGAGTTAATACATAAGCCACATGCCCCTGTATGAGGGAAAAGAGTTAGTCATTTTTGGTGGTGATTGATTTAACTCATTTCTGTATGTGGAAATTTTATGTAAGCATGTGATATCTTTGACGTCTAAAAGCCTTTTTTAGGACCTTTAAAATTTTTTTGAAAAGGGAAAAAGCCAAAGCTCCAGAAATCCTCAGGCCCAGGCTAGCATGAGGATTCAAATGAGAGACATTTTGAGCCAGCGCTGCCATGAATGGTCCTGCAGGGTGTACCCTCATGGCAATAAAATATGTTGTTCTAATAAAAGCAGCATACTATGACAATTTCCCAACAGCTGGTACTAACGTGTTCTGAGGTAGGGGCCCTTTGTCTAATTCACACAAAGATGCTATATGGACTAGCCCTGAGTAGAATATACTTGAAGACTGAGGGTGAAACACCAAGCAGGGTTAGGGAATGGAAACTTGCCTAGGGCTCTGAAAAATCAAGTGAAGTTAAAAAGCCACTAAATTGATTTTGAGAACAAGATCTGGAATTAAAGGCTAGAGAGAAAGTATATAGGAAACTATCTGAGGAATAAAAATAGTCATTATGTTATCGTTTTGCTCTACATGTATCTTTTGAAGCGTAAACCTTTCTTAGCAAAGAATAAAAATTTCAGGAAACAATAAAAAGACTATTTAACATTTATTGAGTATTTATGTACATCAGGTACTGTACTCAGCATTCTCAGCATTCACACTAATTTTCTCACTTTCATTCACTCCAAATTCTGTGAGGTAGGGATGATGATTATGTCCATCTTTCAGATGAAGAATCAGAGGGTATGGGGCTTGTCCAGGGTAAGAGTAAAGGGTATATTGCTGTTTGTGGAGGAGACAGCTGAGGCTCAGAGAAGTAAACAAGGCTGCAATCATACATCTAGTAAACGGCATTGCTGGGTTTTAAAACCCTCTCTGACCCCCAAACCCATATTCTTAACTGTGCTGTGCAGCCTGGTCTCCCTAACTCCAGAGCCTTGCTCTTTGTCACCGTGTTCATCTTCTCTACAGTAAAGAGGAGGCTTCGCCTCAACCACACAGCTGAGGGCTGCCACCCACTGTGTGAGTTACAGGTACAAATGCAACGTTTGTTGAACTATTGTTGACTGATTACTGCCATCTAGTGGCACTTAAAACTACAGTGGGGGAATCATACGGGGGAAATTAACCACAGGCTTTTAGTTAACAAACATGACAGAAATAATAAGCTTTGCCAAGGGAATGTAGAGAAATAAGTGACCATGACAAAAACCATAAACCAAGCTGGAAATTTTGATACTTATCAAGATATTTGTGGTAGAAATAGAAACAGCCCAAAAGAAGACAGCTTTCTGGAGGTATAAACTCAGGAACATACTATTAAGTTGTAAAAATTTCAGGTAGGCAAAATTTAATTTCTGGCCCACTTCTTGTACAACTGAGAACTGAACAGTGGAGAATAGGGAGAAGTATTTCTTCAGGATCTTAAAATACAGTATTAGAAACATATAAAGATGCCGGTGGTGACGATGGTTAACAACCACTCCAGCTACTACTGTGAGCCACACCACCACCACCGTTTATTACGTGCCTTGAACCAGGTGCTGCTATCACTGCCACATATTTATCATGTAATTTAATATTTCTAGTAACCCCCCGATGTAGCACTAGTACTATTTTACAAAGAAGAAAAACAAAAGGAAGTCATTCTTTACATTGCAGAAATTTTGATGAACCAACATTATTCTCCTAAATAAGTTTTTGCCCATGAAATTCCCTACCTAGCTTGTGAAAAGATGGAAGCCTGGGGTTGAAGTCTTTTAATCATGCAGCTGAAAGCTGATTAGTCTTGTTTACACTATTTAAATATTAACTCCAGCACTTACTTCCAACATTGAGGTTCCCAGGAGGACCAAAGCTTTCTTTCCAAAATACAGAAAGAAATTACAGAGAAGTATGGCATGCTCCTCCTTGTTTCCAATAGCCAAGCTGATGCAGCGCTAAGGCAAAACAAAGCAAAAGAACAGAGAAAAAAGGAAAAGAACGATGAGTAATGCAAGCATCCAACAGATTTAGAGCCCCTCTACTTCCTCCAGTTTCAAGCACACATATTTTTTACCAGGTCGCTAAGATGACTGCAAAGCTGAAAGCTCTGGTACCTTTTGCTGGATAAAACACTGGGGCATTAGAAGGAGAGAATATTAACTTGGAACACAGGGGTCATCTTTTTCAAAGGACAATTAGTGTGGATACTGTGTAAGTGACCAAATGATTTATCCAAAATGGGACATTTTTGTTTAGGACAAATATTAAACTGTCCTAGGCAAAAAGGGACATACGGACTGGCATTTTAAAAACCTCATCTGATAGGACATCTCAGTATTTTGGAGGAGGGGATCCTTTGGTCACTGGAGCTATACTCTGTCTTATATCAATATAGTGCTCTCATCTCAAAGAGAGGAAGAGATCTGAGTTGGAGCCCAATCAGGATGAGTGATTGAAACTTCTTCAACTGAAAGAGCTGAACAGCTGTGCTGGGTGTAATCAAATATAGGGTGACTGGTGAAGCAGTTGTAACAGGAGGAGAAAAGCACAGCAGAGGTGGCAGACTGGTGGTCTATAGTTCTAGACGAGAGGTATGTTTTATTTGGCCCCTGGAATGTTTTTAAAAATTGGAAGATCTCATATAAAATTCTGGATTTCTGGCTTCTCTTGAAAAATCAAAAGCTCTAACAACATATATGGGCCCAGATATTCATATGGCAATAATCTGTTGTTGCTTGGTAGCAGCTGCACCATTTAGATGGGACATGTGCTTTCCAGTTCATTATAGTCTCAGAGAAAGGGTTGTGGGGGCCAGGGAGATTGGGGAGGGGGACCTCAGTCATGGCAGTGACTATTTGCCAATCAATATGGAAGTATTTCAATGTTTTAACAACTGATATGGCCACATCAGTACACACCAGCTGAACATGATGGTGAGGGATGGAGGTTAAGGTGGATGGTAACTTGACTCCTCTGAAAGAGAAGTGTGAACAAAAGAGTGAAGGGGAGAATGTGAGCAGTCTTCAGTGTCAAGCCAAGGAGGTTCCCCTGACTGGATTTCACAAGAGGAAGAGGGAATGAATAAGAGTAGGTAACTAATGTACTGAGTTTCATCTAGATACGTTGTATATGTTATCCTTTCAAAACCCCTGTATGACACAGACAAGGAAACTGAGGTCCACAGAAGCTAAACAACTTATCTTAGGTCACCCAGCTATTAAGCGGTTGAAGCAGGAATTGAACCAAGGTTTCTTCGATTTCAAAGACTATGTTAGGTAGGAGAAAATAACTCCTGTCTTGTGACAATTTAATTAGTCACACACTCGTAGGCATTCCATGGCCAATGAGTTCATGTCAATGGGAAGACATTAGCCAAGAGGAATCCCATGCCTACTGTAACCTCTTGATTATGGGTACTGTTTGGATGGGGGGAGGCGGGGGCGGGGACTTGGGAGTACTAGTATTTGCCTGAATGGTTATTTTTATGGTTATTTTTAGCTATTTTGGAGGCTGTCTTTTAATGTTCGGCAGGATCATAATACCCCTGAACATATTCTGATTAATTCAGAGAGTCTCAAAAGTCTAGAGTTAATCACACCTTTTGGAGTCCTACCAGATTTGAATCACTGAATCACTGGGACCCCATGTTTGTGTCTTCCTTGTTCCCACTTAACAGAAGGCAGGGCAGTTGACCTATTAAGTTAGCCCTGTGCCCCCTAAATCCATTTCAGCTCAAATCGAGCCTCTAAAACATTCTAGAAAAGCAACAGGACTATTAATTCCAGATGGAAAGTGTCCCTCTCTTAGGCTCCCACCATACTAGCATTTTCCAATTAAAAATATTTATCGAATGCTTGCTAAATTTAAATCAGTGTACAAGTGATGAATATAAACATAAATAATAATCAAGTCTGCCTCTTCAGTCAAAGAAATTAAACTTGGGATGTATATGTACAGAGTAAGGGTATGGGGTCAATATATACGCAACTAAATATAATTTAAGGTGGAATGGAAGAAGTATTCTAATTAGAGTTGCCAGATTTGGGGGGAAAAATAGGTGCCCAGTTAAATTTGGATTTCAGATAAACAAATAATTTTTTGTTTGTTTGTTTTGGGGTTTTTTTTTTTTTTTTGAGGAAGATTAGCCCTGAGCTAACATATGCTGCCAATCCTCCTCTTTTTGCTGAGGAAGACTGGCCCTGAGCTAACATCCGTGCCCATCTTCCTCTATTTTATGTGGGACACCTGCCACAGCATGGCTTGACAAATGGTGCATAGGTCCGCACCCGGGATCAGAACCTGCAAACTGCGGGCTGCCGAAGCGGAACATGTGCACTTAACTGCTGCACCACCAGGCTGGCCCCTAAACAAATAATTTTTTAGTATACGTTCCAAATATTGCATGGGGCCTGTTTGTTATTTGGCAACCAGTCTAAGGAGAATTTTAATCCGAGTGCTAAGGAAGAACACTGCTATACAAGCTCTTCATTCAGACATGGGGAGACTGGGGAAAGCTGCTGGGAAGTGGTGGTATTTGCCCTAGACTTCAGGTCTGACAGTGACAAGCCATATTGCTCTCTGAAGAATGTCATATTATACTCCTGGAATTCCTGTCGACTCAAAATATTAATGAGCTATCAATTATAATGTTGAGTAAGATTTTTGGTCTTTAAGAATTATTTCTATGAATTCTTATAGCGCTGAAAATGATGTACTAAATTATCAAATGCTTTCAAATTTCACAAGGCAATGTACTACGTAAGTGCATAATATTTTCTTAAAAGCTTTCTTTTAGAAAAAAGCAAGTAGGGGCTGGCTCCATGGTCCAGTGGTTAAGTTCGTGCGCTCCGCTTTGGCGGCCCAGGGTTTCGCCGGTTTGGATCCTGGGCGCAGACACGGCGCCTCTCATCAGGCCACGCTGAGGCAGTATCCCACATGCTACAACTAGAAGGACCACAACTGAAATATGCAACTATGTACTGGGGGGGGATTTGGGAAGAAAAAAAAAGAAAGAAGATTGGCAACAGTCATTAGCTCAGGTACCAATCTTTTTTTTTTTTTTAAAGCAAGCAATAAATACTATACTTTTTAATTATAAAATGTAATTTGTTACCTCTGATGTCATCCATATATCAAAACCATCATTTTCATCCAGTGTATCAGGCATAATAGGAATCAAAGATACAAAGCGAGCAATGAGGTCCTAGAATAATATTAACTGACATTTATTGAGTGCATATTATATGCCCATCACTAAGCACAGTACTTCACATGCGTTATCATCACATTTAGTGTATCCTACAAGCCTATGAAGTACATACTATTATTATTTTTGTTTTACAGAGGAGGAAACAAGCTTAGAGTGCTAAGACAACTTGCCCAGGGTCACACAGCTAACACAATATATGGGGTCTCTGGGAATAAGCCCAGGTTAGCCTGACTCCAGAGCATGCCTGTTAACCACTACATTTCATTGTAATAAATTATTAAAATTTTAAACATGATATATTACATATATCCTTTAAAACATAACTGTTAAAAAATTGAACAAAGATGAAGAATGGCAAAAGTTTGATTTGCTTCTAGGTTCAAAGCCTATCAGGGTTATTTTTGTTAATATAAGCAGCAAGTAGATTTTGGTGGTCTGCTTTCTCAAACAACAGAAGTTATACTGTGGATTGTTCCCCCTACAGGTCTGGAGACAAGGACTCAGACTAAAGGAGGAAAGGAGGAAGGGATACAAATAAAAAATGAATTAACACAGAAAGTTCACTAACATTTTCACTGATTTACAATAGCCACCATTTATATACTGTTATGACCACCTACACTGGTCATGTTTCTGACTCATGCAATTAACTAAACATAGTTCACAATCCTTGGTAAGCAAAGGAGCTGGGATTTATATTTTTTTAAAAAGACAAAGATTGTCTCTGAAAGAAATCTAAGAGCATTACTATGTCCTTGGACTTTGGGTGGCAGGAAACAAAGGCAGGAAGAAACCCATGACGGAAAAGCAGAGTGTAGGAAAAGGCAACCTAAATTAGGGCTTTTGATTTTAGCTTCAAGAATTCACCTAACGGAGCTTCAATGGACAAATAATATAAATGTTCTGAGGAAAGCCAAAAGACTTGATCAAACCTGAATAAATAAAAGGCATAAGTGATTCTTCATAGACATCCTTTAATCAAAGCTTATTTTCTTTTTCAGGGGGAGCATTATATTTCTGATTTCATATTTTCCTTTCTCAAAATGGAAGGAGCTATGTCCTCTTTTTGAGTCTATAATGAATAAAGTTTCATTTTATATGAAATTAAATTTTGAGTGTCTCTTTTGTCAGCTGGTAAATAGATGTGCACAAAGCCACAGAGAGATGGGGTGGGAAGTGTTATGCTGGTGGTTTACAGAGCAAAATAGAACATAGTTTCTTCATTCCCACATACAACAAGAAGCAATCCTTAGAAGGACAGAACCCGTTTAAGAACATAACCTTTTATTTTGCCTAGAAGTCAAAGGAATTTTTCTGTCGTTCTTCAAAGTTTGGTAGAAAAGTTGGAAAGCTATTGTAGTCTTGTGACTGGTGTGGCAACAGTGACCCTCCAGTCCAACTGGGCAGAAAAGAAGGGGATCAGGGAGAAACGTTTTCTTTCATCTGGGGCTCAGGAGGACAGATTGCAACACAGATGGTTTCTCTCTCAGGAAACTGTCTTTGAAGGTAAAACAATTTTAGTAAGAAAGTTATACTCAAAGTTAATATAAAAAAAGTAAACAAGTTAAAATAAATGTAAATTTAGACTGATGAAAATGTTCTAAAATGTACTGTAGTGATGGTTGCACAACTCTGTGAATATACTAAAAACCACTGATTTGCACACTTTAGATGGGTGAAATACATGGTATATCAATTATATCTCCACAAAGCTACTGAAATAAATATAACTTACAAGTGTTGCATTCGAATCATGAAGAAATATATCCAGGAGTTGTTGAGGTGGATTTAATGCCTTGATATATCTTGTTACTAAGATCTGTATCCCTTCATCATTAAAAACCGTAGTTATGATTCTTCGCTTGGGAAACAGTGCCTTACAATTTCTCTTAAAAATCCGTGCTCTCTCCAAAACATCTATTTGATCTGAAAACTAGAATCAAGTTTAAAATATTTCAACATCGTATCATATTGTTCCTACAGGAAAATATCAAGAACCAATGTTCATTTTTGCCAGTTTCGAAATTATTACTAGTTTTTAAAATAGTTTTCACTTCTTTGATAGTGTATATAAAAATAACTCACTGTAAAACTTACCTTGTCTAGTTCTGGATTACAGGTGACATACGATATTTGAGGTTCAATGGTAGCAAAAATATTTAAGAAGGCACATTCTCTTAAATTCTGCCCATTATAATCTTCTTTAGGAGACACATAAGTCTTACTCCAAGTATACCCAAGCAAAACTGGTGGAATATTTACTTGAAATGTTCCACTAACCTGAAAGAACATATCAATATAATAGATTCTACGTGATGAAAATAAACATCAGTCAAATATAGTACAGCCCAGCTCAGTCTTCTCCATAGGAGGAAACAGGCTTGCAAAGGTACGAGTTGGTTCTACTAATATACACTTGTACAAGGATGATCAGCTTCTCCATGGCGAGCTGTTCACAGGCCCTTTGACACCCTGGGTCCCTGTCTAATACGTACTGTGTGGAGAGGGCAGGAATAAGAAAGGGATGAAATGAGGAAGCAAGTTACTGTACCAGAGTGATAAAAGCTCTTAGACAATCTACTTCAAGCTCAGGGAAGAGGCTAAAAGACCACGTTACATTTTGCACTGGGTGTAGAAAAAAAAAAATGTAACAACTCAGAGGTCCACAAGAGGAGAGATCTTGTGTGTGTATGTGTTAGGAGGGACAAGATAATTTACAATAATAATAACTATTAACAATAGCTAATAATTATTGAGCCCTTATTATGTGCAAGGCACTGTGCCAAGTGCTTCATATAGATCATATCATTTAATAAGGTACATACTGCTCTTATCTCCATAGATGAGGAAATTAGGGCTCAGAGGACTTAAGTAATTTGTACAAGATCACACATCTAATGAGTAGTGAAGCCAGAATTACAGCCCAGGTTTGCCCACCTTTGAAGCTCACATTCTTAACTACCTCTCTTTCCTAGAGTCTGGCCTGAGACTGAGAGACAGCCTCAGGGATTTACAAATGTAGGAAGCCCTGTACTTCCAACAGCTTAAGTCTCTATTGCTCTTTATTTGCAGCACTTACATCTGCAAAATGCTCCCTCATGACTTCCTGTGAATGCATATTTTGCAGACATTTCTACTCTCCTTCCTAATATCCATTCTCTCCTCCTTTCTTACCAACAGTTTTAGATGGCAACATGACAGCCATGTAGCAGCCAAGTCACATAAATAAAAGGTAAGAAGTCTGACAGGGTTTTCTGGGGGAAGTCTCTGTTTTACCTCCTCCTGTCTGCAACAGGAATGTGAGGTTGGAAGTGCAGTGAACAATTTGCAATTATGAGGACGAAAGCCATATAATAAGCACCAGAACAGAAAGACAAAAGGAGCTTGGATCCTTGATGATATTCTTGAGCTGCTGCACTGGCATCTAGACTTCTTTTTAGGTGAGATAACTAGACCTCTTAACCTCACCCACTGCTAATCAGGTTTTCTGTTGCATACGGCCGAATGCAGGGCTAACTGAGACACACATGATTCCTTCGGAATCAAATGCGTGAGTTTGCTTGACCAACTCATCTTTAGGGACTTGATTCAAAAGTTATCACCTCTGTAAATACTTCCCTGACCTTTCATTCTCCTCTTACCCACTCCCAAGCCTTCTGAACACCAACCCCCACAAATCCCTCCAATCCAGGAAGAGTAAGGTACTCCCTACTGCACGTTCTCATAGTACCTATTTCATGCCCCTATCAAAGCACTACAGCATTATCATGTTGTACTGAAATGTTAGTTTTCTTCTACGGACAGTGAACTCCTTGAGGCAGAAAATCCATTTCTGAATCTTCTGTATCTAGGATAGCTCTGTAAGTAAGTAACAAAGCCCAAAATGGAGTCTAGGCTGGGCTTTTAATATTTTGCTGATTATGTAGGCATATTCTTGCTAAACAACCCAACAGCAGAGCCTTCTGGGGGTATCACAGAGACAGGTGCAATCATCCACATCAGCATTATCAATAACAATGCTGAGGAGCTGAAACTCCTGGAACTCATGGTTACAAAGCAACATCATTAATCACAACATTTGTGAATCTGGTGCTATAAAACTATTATATACAAATATAAATGTTGCTTTAAAACCTAAGTCTAGCTGTCTTATTTTTTTTAAGATTGGCACCTGAGCTAACATCTGTTGCCAATCTTCCTTTTTTTTCCCTTCTTTGTCTTCCCCCCAACCCCCCCCCCCCCAGGATATAGTTGTATATTCTAGTTGTGGGTCCTTCTTGTTGTGCTATGTGGGATGCCACCTCAGTGTGACCTGATGAGTGGTTGCCATGTCCGTGCCCGGGATCCGAACCGCCGAAACCCTGGGCCGCCAAAGTGCAGCACACGAACTTAACCACTTGGCCACGGGGCCAGCCCCTAGCTGTCCTATTCTTTACGAATGAATACTCAGAAGACATAAGAAATAAATTTGTGGGCATCTCCTGTTCTATAGAGAGCTAAAACCTTCAAACACTCCAACACCCCAGGAGCTCTCATATACAGGATCATTTTAACTGACCTACCAACCTGCCAGTCACAGAATCTGATTCAAAGACAACGGTAAGTGTTTCTATCAGCCAGAGGTAAAAACACAGAATAATTAGCAAAGAATCATTTTCTATTACCTCAGATTGTTGCAGAAGAGCAGAGAAAGGGAAGACAATGGATCCAAGCCAATTCTTTCTTATATATGAATGACCACTGCAGCTCTTGAAACAGTCATTCTATTTAAATAAATAATTTTTCTATTAATTACTTTATATCATGTGATGAATAACTTCAAAAACTTGCATGTAAGTATAAAAAATTATTCTCTCTTTCTAAAAAAAACCCAAAGGGCAAAAGATATTTTTTCTCACTTTTTAATTTTTTTAAAAGATAATTGACTATTTAAAGCAAAAATAATGACCTCTTGTGGAGTTAATACATAGGTATAACTAAAATGCATAATGCTACTAACAGAAAGCACAGAAGGGGGATAGGGAAGTGTTAATATCATGTTCTTACACTATATGTGAAGTGGTATAATACACAAAGATAGATTGTGGTAAAGAATATATTGTAAAATCTAGAGCAACAATTAAGAAATTAAAGAAATACAGCTAATAAGCCACTTGTAGATGGTCAAGGTTAGAAATGTAAAGACCTTGCAAAAGTAAATGCTCCCACATCTTATCTGATCTCTTTCTCCTTCTGCTCTCCCTGCTGTTTACCTGCAGCTGGGAAGGGCTGAAGTTTGAATAAAAGCCACCAACAGCCCTGATTCCTGACTTCAGCTCATAACTATTGCCTTTAGACATGTGGGGTTCCTTATAACTCTGCACTTGACAAGTTATCCCTTCCGCTTATCAGGGGATACTAGAAGGGTCTTAAATCCAGAGGCTGACCAGCAACAACAGAGCTAAGCAAGGTGGACTGTGTGGCTCTAATCGAAAAGGTAACAGGTACACTTGGGTAGTTTTTGTAGCAATTAAGGTCTTGGACTTCTGACTGATGTGACCTCAACTGCATTAATCTTTCCACCCCAGGTCCCAGGGACACTGCAGGCTTCCTAGATCTACCTTGTCTCAGGATATAGATTACACCTCTATTGGGGTTCACTTTAAAATAAGTTCTCTATGCATTGTTTCTGAGAAGCAGTGAAAGAATTTTAAGACCATCAATGTGAATTATATATGCAGCAATAGCTAAGGAATCTATTAATACAGGAATTGTTTATAGCAAATGATAAAAACAAGACTTAATATTCTTGAGCTATAACATATGCTTAATCTGCAACATATTGGCATAAGTTGAAGCAGGGCCAGTCACTCGGATGGTTAAATTGTTGAAGTGGGGCTCCTGCTGTGATCGGTTTGACCCCTAATGATTAGGGCTTTTAAATAAATCTGAGATATTTGTGAGATGTTGTATATCTCTATCATCTTGCAAATCAAAATAATCCCTTCAACACGCAAAGACAGTGTGGATTGAGACCCCTGAGAGTGGTGCTTCTGTTACCGCCTACAAACAGGTTCTTTACCTGCCACACAAGGGGGGCCAAATAAAAACTGGAACGCCAGGCTTATGGCAAAGAAAGGGTTTTTATTTCAGGTGATATCACCTGGGAGATGAGAGCGAGCCCTCAAATTTGTCTCATTTCATCTCGTCTCCCTGAAAGATGGGAGGTTCTAAAGGTGTGTGAGGAATGCGGCTGTTTGTAGAGAGGTGGGGGGAGTCAGTGGCCTTGGTGGTCCCAGCTTTTCCACCAGCCTGCATTCAGCCTTGGGATGCTGTTTGCAGGGAGAAGGAGATGATAAGGAATCCAGGTGGGTGACCCTGGCTATTTGTCTCCATGGCAGACAGTGGATTCTGGAGCCAGGGAGTAAGCAGGGAAAGGGTGCTTATATATATGCTGGGTTTAATGTAGGGGAAATGATATCAGGGCCAGTATCACTTCCACCAACACTGCAGTGGTGGCCATGGGGCAAGGTGGAGTCTGGATGTGACGGGGGTGGGGGGGTGGGGTTTGCTCTGAACTCACAAAGAAACACATGAACCAATCTTCATGCATTCATTACTTTTATATATTGAAATGTATAAATACATTTCTATGTTATCCCCATCCAAAGAGCATTTGTGCACTTTTTGCTTTTTAAAGACATAAATAACAAATATCTGAATTACTGAAAAAAATCTTTAATTTTTGTCCTGGGATGTGATTTCTTAGGGTGCAACCCACTTTGCCCAATAGGCTCCCTTATCTTGTTATTAGGAGTAACAGCTTTATACGTTAATTGTCAACCATAGAGTTGGGACTAATGGCTTGGTGAAATGAACTGTGTACTAGGGGCCCAAATGATAAAGAACTCCCAACCATGGCTCCAAGAAGGCTGCCTTGTCAGGGAAAGGCTTCTTCTTATGTAAATTAAGATGTCTTCCTTTATGTTAATAAACAATGTAAAACATTTTTAATGTATATACTTTTATTATAGCAGATATGCTCAGTATAGCAAACTTTGAAAATACACTAAAGAATACAGAGAAAAGAATGAAAATTACCTTAACTCAACTCCCAAAGACATCACCACCATTAACAACATTTTAAAGATGTTAAATGGTAGTGAAAATACATTGAAATAATGATGACTCATTCAAAGAGGAGATTAGCATCATGGATGCTAGGTCAATCAGAAAAGGAGATGAAGTTTTATGGTTGACATAACACAATCAAAAAGATGCAGGTTTGTTGACATGGCTAAGTAATTTAACCGCATGGTATGCCTATTGGAAAAAGGTGAGCCACGAGGCTATCTCAACTTAAGCCCTTAAAACCATGTAATTCAGGTTTCTCTGATCTAACAAGCAGTCTTCTGAGCCCAGATCGGTTCCTAAGAAAGATCTCTCTTTTGAGAAATGATTGCACTGATAGACCAATTCTGATTGCTTGGTAGTTACCTTTTTTATGCTAGTTTATTTTTCCCAAGGTGCTAGTCACCTTTATTATGGGAATTTCAGATTTGCAAGATTGGTTTGATTTCCTTTCTTTCCTATCCCTACTTTAGCCTTCGTCCAAATATGCCTTATAATTCTATGACCTTGTAATTAAAGAAGTAAACAAGAGGCCAACCATCTGTGTGGAAAGAGAAATTTATTATTTTGGTCTGTTTAGAATATTACAATTGATTATAGACCATGCTTAAGCCCCATCATGCTGCAAACTGGGAAAAGAAGATTGTGTTGGTTAATTTTATGCATCAACTTGACTGAGCTAAGGGATGCCCAGATAGCTTGCAAAACATTATTTCTGGGTGTGTCTGTGAGGGTGTTTCCAAAAACATTAGCACTTGAATCAACAGACTGATTAAAGAAGATCACCCTCACCAACGTGGGCGGAATCATCCAATCCTCTGAGGACAGGAAAATACAACAAAAAGGCGGAGGAAGGACAAATCCTCTCTCTTCTTGAGCTATGACATGCATCTTCTCCTACCCTTGGACACTGAAGCTCCTGGTTCTTGGGGGCTTCAGATTCTGGGACTTAGACTAGCAATCTCCTTGTTCTCAGGCCTTTGAACTTGGACTGAATTACTCCACCAGCTTTCCTGGCTCTCCAGTTTGCAGACGGCATATTGCGGTATATCTCAGCCTCCATAATCCCGTGAGCCAATTCCCATAATAAATTTTCTTTTATATATCTCTATATATCCTATTGGTTCTGTTTCACTGGAGAACCCTGACTAATACAGAGATAATTAAAGAAGGAGAGGAGACATATACCATGTATGTGGATTGGAAAGATCAATATTGTAAAGATGTCAATTCTAATCAAATTGATGTATATATTCAATCCATCCTAATAAAAATCCTAGCAGATTTTGTCTTGTTTTCGAAAACTACAAGCTGATTCTAATATTTATATAGAAATGCAAAGGGCTAAGAACAGCCAAAGCAATCTTAAGGAAGAAAAACAAAGCTCAAAGATTTAGATTTCTAGATATCAAGATTTATAGCAAAGCTTTAGTAATCAAGACAGTGTGGTATCAATGCAAGGACAGATGAATAGGCCAACAGAACAGAATAGAGAGTCCAGAAATAAAACACATTTATACAGTTACCAGAATTATAACAAAGGGTAACTTTGTAGGGAAGTGGGGGAAGGGATGATCCTTTCTATAAATGGTGCTGGGTCAACTGAAGATCCTTATGGGAGAAAAGTAAATCTTGACCCTCTACCTCACAGACACACAAAAATCAATTCCATTTGGGTTTTAGATCTAAACATGAAAGGTAAAATGATACAGTTTTTAGAAGCAACCACAGGATAATATCTTCATGATTTTAAGTGGGCAAATATTTCTTAAAGAGGACCAAAAAGGCACCACCATTCACTGTACTGTACTATATTAAATCAAGATTTTCTTTTCATCCAAAGATGTATGAAGAAAGCAAAAAAGACAAGCCAGAGTGGGAAAAATATTATGCATATCTGACAATACTCATATCTGGACTATACAAGGAACTGTTATAAATCAGTGGAAAAATGAGCAAAATACTTGAACAGATCTTTCAGAAAAAAGGATATCAAAATCGCGAATAAACATAGAAAACGGTGCTCCGTTTCATTAGTTATCATGAAAATGCAAATTAAAACCACAAGGTGATATGACTACACTTTCATCAATATGGCTGAAATGAAAAAATCAGACAATGCCAGGTAACGGCAAGGATGTGGAGCAACTAGAACCCTCATAAACTGCTGGTGGAAGTATAAATTGACACAACCATTTTAGACTGTTTGGCATTAAACTGCTAAAGCTGAGCATATACACAATCTAAGAGCTAGTAATTTCACTCCTAAGTACAAGTCCAATGGAAGTGCATAGGTATATTTCCTGAAGACATGTACAAGTATATTTATATCAGTATTATTTGTCAGAGCCAATAACTAGAAAGAAGCAAATTATCTATCAACAATAGATGCATTAAAAAGTTGCTATATATTCCTACAATAATGTACTATACAGCAATGAGAATCAATGAACTATTGCTAAATGCAACATTCCAGATGACTCCCAGAAACACAATGTAGAGAGAAATAAGCCATTCACAAACGGACGCATACTGTATGAGATTTCAATCATACAAAGTTCAAAAATAAGCAATACCCAATCTATGCTGTTAGAAATTAAGATACTAGTTACTCTTGGGGAGGAAGTGACTTGGAAAGAGCACAAAAGAGGCTTCTGGGGTGATGCTAACAATATCCAGTTTCTTGATCTGAAGCACTGGCATTCTTTCCATTTTAGCCTGTTGTTGCTACTATTTATTTTCCCTTGGATAGAAAGCAAAATGTTTACCAGAATAAGTTTGTCAATACAAATTTAATTAAGCAATCTAGGGTTGAGTTTCTTGCATCTGAATAATCTAAACTTACCTGAAGTGGTTTGTAAACTCTAGAAGAAGCATACAGTTAAAATTAAACCTCAGAAATAAAACATTTTCAAGGGTTTTTTTTTTCAAAAATCACAGCACCAATTATTAAAAACTACAAAGCCACTTTGGTTACAATGTAATAAAACTAGAATTTAAAATCAAAGTTTACACTAAAGTCACTCAAACATTTGAAAAAGTAAAAGCATAATATTACATAACTATGAGGTCAAGGAAAATATAAACATAATAAAAACATATAGAAAATAAAAAATGAAAATAATAAGTAACCTAATACTATAAAAGATACAGTCTAAGATGTTTTTAGAGATAAATTCATAGTCTTAAAATGTTTTCATTATTTATGAGAGAGAGAGACTGAACAAACTAGACATTTAACTCATTTGGCCAAACTAAGTACAAAAATTATAGTCTCAAGGAAATCAGGAGAAAGAACAACAAAAATACAAGCTGAAATAAACGAATAGAAAACACAAGAAGAGTGGAATTTAAGATCAACTTCTATATTGGTTCTTTAAAAAATAGGCAAATCTCTTCCAAATTAAATCAGAAAAAATAGAAAAACACACTTGGATAAAGTTAGAAATAAGAAGAGGGTAGATAATAGCAGGTCAAAAATTATAACAAACTGCTGAACAATTATATGCTAATGAATTTTAAAATCTTGAAAATAACTAATTTTTCTTTTTTAAATAAAACATTTAGGGGGCCAGCCTGGTGGCACAGCAGTTAAGTTTGCTCGTTCCGCTTCAGCAGCCCGGGGTTCGCTGGTTCGGATCCCAGGTGCGGACATGGCACCGCTTGGCAAGCCATGCTGTGGCAGGCGTCCCACATATAAAGTAGAGGAAGACGGGCATGGATGTTAGCTCAGGGCTAACCTTCCTCAAATTAAAAAAGAAAAAAACCACATTTAAACCAACAACCAAGTATCAGATTAGTTTAAGTTCTTTTTGTGACCATCAGGATTTTTGTTACAGTTTCAGTAAACATACGCTCCAAATCTGGAGCTGTGCCCTGGGCTTGCTTTGTGAGCTCCAAACGCAGTTCAGTCCAGCTCTTTCATGCCCAGTGCTAAATATAGGCCACACGTCTGTAAGACTTCCAAGTCCTCAGCTTCCTGCTAGCAAGAAACTAATGAAGGGGAGACACACAGGAAGTAAGAAATAGTTGATAGCAGGAAGAAAAAACACACAGAAAAGAGAGGAAAATTGCGGCATGGGAAGAAACTGTTTTCTAACGAATATCATAGGTCAATGACAGACCAAAACCTTCTTTCAACTGGGTGGTCATCTCAGGGTTCAGCCTAGCTCTGGTCTCTTATGAGAAAATGGAATGTTTTGGCCCACAGTTACCTTGCAACCAAATCCATGACAAGAGGGCAAGAATATAAGCCAGGCCCTTTCTTTTTCTAAACAGCATGCCTAAGTTGTCACATGTAAGTCTGATACCTAAAGCATATGGATTTCAGTGAAAAACAACACAAAGCACTTGCAAGAATTTAACTGTTAATCGACTGCTATTTCAATTCTGGCCAAACTGATCATTGAAATAATTAACTTTTGAGAGAGAAAGTCTGTTAGGAGTTCTTTTGGGTTTTCCAAGCTCTACCCACTATCAGTTTAGATAATCAGAAAACTACTCGGTTTAACTCCTTGGAGAATAGCCATCACCAATTACTGTTTAATATTGTACCCTCAGCCTTTATCAAGAGTTGATGGAAATGTTTTGATAAGACTATCTGTCTGTATCTCCTGGAAAACTGGGTTGGAAGACATTGCCTTTCGTTTCTCAGTAGTTCTTATAGAAGGCACTTTCCTGAATCATGCTTCAAGGTCTAGTTTGACTTTTTTGATTCTCATCCCCAGTCCCTACAGGTAGAATTAATTGCTGCTTTGATAGTATTGCCATAGAATTTGATAAACCTTTACATTAAAGCATTTAATGAGAGCCCCGAGAGAGGAGGTATAATGGATATGCACCTTTATACTTAGTGCCAAGTTCAGTAGAAAAGAAACTGACAATTCTCTTAGAGCTTGCTATGGCACCAGGCATTGTGTCAGGAACTTTCATTTATCTATGAGGAAGACATTCAGTAATTTTTAAAATTTTATTGAACAGAACTGGGTTTTGTCCTAGGAATAATTTCATCTCTTTTGTAGAAGTGGTATATTTTTTTGTACAGACAATGAGAAATATATAATCCATTTTTGTTTATCTTTCTTTCTTGGCTGCTGGGAAGCTCACTTAAATGTAATGTTCAATTGCAGAAATCTGCTTCTCCCAAATTCTTAGTATATTTACCCCTCCTCTTCCTATAGGTGGTTTATCTCTGTTAGTTTTGAAGTGACTTGTTATACGTCTGATTTAACTTCAAGTTGCCCCAAATCCTGTTTAAAAAATGGACATATTGCATCTAAAAGCAAATTTACAAATATGTTACTAGACTTCAGTCTGACCTTAGAATTATTTCAACATTGATTATTATAATTATTCTACTTTACCTCATGTTTTTCAACAATCATTTCATCAAAAATGTTGATATAAATGTTATCTTTTATTTTAGATAAGCTTGAGAAGCTATAATCACGTCCTGGCGAGCTGTAAATAAGAAAAACATATTTAAATGCTTAATTTATTTTATTAGAGCATTATTCATAAAGGACTATAAAATTACTTGTGTTCCTTTTTTTTTATAAAGTGTAAGCTAAGAAAAAGCTATGTACTTTGAAGACGACTGCTATCTTTCATTGAAGCCAGTATGTTCTTTGTAGTTTATCTTATATCTCTCTTAAGGTAATTTGCAAGAAAAATAAAAATGTTTAAATGTGAAGCAGCTACACATTTCACTACAGCCATCCATTGCGAATAAATTATCTGTAGTGTAGTGCATTAAGACTTTCCAATTATCTTAAATTCTGCTAGTTTCTGGTATTTCACACACACAGTTAAACTGCTTTTTAGCTCTCAGCTAAAAGAATGACTGTTTAACCATGGAGCTTATCCTCTTTCCCACATTTATTTTTTCTAACCAGAAATTGGGATAGTGGAGCGCATTTCATTTTGCAAGCTGTCTGCTGATGGCTTACTTGATTGGATACATTTTTGAAGGTAGCTGGAAGGATAGTATAGTATATTACAAGCAACGAACTTCCACTCTCAGCTCCAGCTTGTGCACTGGATTTTAACCAAACTTCCAACAGCTCAGAGAAGTTAAATAACCTGCTTAAGGTAATGCCACCCCAAGTGCCTGAGCCCTAATCTGAACCCAGTTCTGACTGACTCTAAAGGTGAAGCTCTTTTCACTATACCAATTACCACTGACATTATTTGTTGAAGTTTGATGCTTAAGCAAGCAACCATACTATTTCAAAGGATCTCCAACAGTTTGTATAACTTTCTGAGATCTACAGACAGTGACAACTGAAAAATGTTAGTTGAGTTTAGAGAACAGTTTTAAGTTGAAGCTTCCTTATATTTCTAAGTGAGAAGGTGACTTCCCTGCCGTGCTCCTTCAAGAGTTCCCTTTCATTTGCAATGACCTGAGGCAGGACAGCGGGGGCAATGTATACTTACAACACTATGCTAGCAGGAGAAATGATAACTGTCATCCTCAAGACATTTTTCAGTATGTCAACTTAGTTTATTCTTTAAATCATTCAAGTCCTGCATTGTCTTGTATTGTGTATCTACTCAAACTTTCCTCAAATTTCATCATAATTTCTCCTCCAAAGTAGAGTTCACAAGGTTAATTACTATTTACTATTTATTTACTATTACTATCTATCCCATTTGCATGTGGTTTTTACTCACTAGAATGTCACGTGGACTGGGGGATAGAGCTCTTGTATCTGAGGCAATAAAAAGTGGTAGCTGAATGATTTTGCCTTAGCTGAACCCTTGCTTGTACTCTAAATGTGTCTAGTGACCTAGTATACTAATAATTTATATACTAATTACTTAACATTAAATAATATAATATAATATATTTTCCTTTCAATCAATATTTCCCTTCACACAGAAAGAGTAAAAAGGTCAGGTAAGCAAATGTCAGAGAACAAGGCAAAGCAACAAGTATAAGGTCTAGACAGGTGGCCAAATAACAAGGGTATCTGTTTAAGATCTCTGGCCCAAAACTCTGAAAATACAATTGAGCCTGTGTTGAATCTGGAAGAAAAGAACTGATTTCTGCTAACAGTAGAAGTATCCATAGCATCTAAGCTAACAAAATTCCAAGGTATACTGGTCTATTTGGTTTTTTCCTCCCAAGTTAAAATAATGGTATAAACAGGGTCTCTCTTTCCTTGCAAATCCTGATTAGGGTCTCGAGGCCTTCATGTTGAGGAGTGGTGGCTGGGACATGAATGTTCATGTAGTACAGATAATTTCCTTCAGCAGGATAGGTGTGAGAGTGGTGGGATTCTGTCAAAGCAAGGAACGACTGGAGAAGGTACTGGTGGTTGGAGGTTCTGTGCTCCCACAGCTTGCATCTGGGCCCTCAAAGCTGTTAGTTTGCTTGGAAAGTGACTGAATAACTATGGAGCTTCCTGGTTAGAGCCTATAACCAGTACTTTTTTTATATAATCTTGTAGGGAAGAGAGTAGCTGGAGGTTGAAGGGAATAGACAGATTGTTTCATCCTGGGAATCAGGACCCGCTCACGAAGAGCCAAGGTCAAGAACACAGATGCTGGAAGGAAAAGCAACACAAGAAGCCTAAGGTCCAGGGACTAAAAGGTTGGTATTCAAGAACTAGGAGAAATTTAGGAGTTAAAAAGTCAGAGCGATGTATTAAAGAACCAAGCAAAGTCAGGAACCATGTGATCTGCAAAAATCGAAGGAGCTGAACAGAATTGGCAGGAGAAGGGGGAAAGGGCATCAAGAAAAGAGAAAGGACTTTGATAACAGATGTGACTGACAATTCCTTATATTTCCTTCACCCCAGTGAGAGCCAAAGATGTACAGGAAGTGACAAGTGAAAACTGCTATTTGAACTTAGAGAACAATTTTAAGTTCTACATTTCAAATTTGCCTTGATCAGTACACTTTATTTCCAGTAACAGAAACCTATTTATACTGCTTTAGCATCAAATATGAATCCTGAGAAAGAACAAAGCTGGAGGTATCACACTTCCTGATTTCAAAATATATTACAAAGCTACAGTAACCAAAACAGCATGGTACTGGCATAAAGACAGACATACAAACCCATGGAACAGAACAAACGGCCCAGACATAAATCCCTGCATCTATGTCAGGTCAACTAATCTTTGACAAGGGTGCCAAGAATACACAATGTGGAAGGATAATCTTCAACAAATGGTGTCAGTAAAACTATCTACATCCAAAAGAATCAAATTGAACCCTTATCTTACACCAGAGACAAAAATCAACTCAAAATCGATTTAAGAGTAAGGAAGTGTGGGGCTGGCCCAGTGGCACAGCGGTTAAGTGCGCATGTTCCGCTTTGGCAGCCCGGGGTTTGCCGGTTTGGATCTCGGGTGCGAACATGGCACTGCTTGGCAAGCCATGCTGTGGTAGGTGTCCCACATATAAAGTAGAGGAAGATGGGCATGGATGTTAGCTCAGGGACAGTCTTCCTCAACAAAAAGAGGAGGATTGGCAGCAGATGTTAGCTCAGGGCTAATCTTCCTCAAAAAAAAAAAAAAAGAGTAAAGAAGTGTACAATATGTTATCATTGTTGACTATACATATTATTGTTGACTACAATTATAATGTTGTACAGAAGATCTCTAAGGCTTACATTATATACATATGAGAGAGATTTATTTTAAGGAATTGGTGCTATATACATAGCAAGAGAAATGATAACTGTCATCCTCAAGACATTTTTGAGTATTTCAACTTAGTATATCCCTTAAATAACTGAAGTCCTGCATTACCTTCCATTTTGTATTCTACTCAAACTTTCCTCAAATTTCACCACAATTTCTCCTCCAAAGCAGAACTCACAAGGCTAATTACTATTTACTATTTATTATTACTAGCTATTTATTATTACTATATATGAGAGAGTAAGGGGAGAGGGAGAGAGAGGGAGACAGACAGACACACACACATCCTATTTGGTTCTGTTTCTCTGGAGAACCCTGAATAAGGCAACAACATCTTGGAGAAGGCAAAACTATGGAGGCAGTAAAAATATCAGTGGTTGCCAGTGGTTCCAGAATAAGGATGAAGGGATAAACAGGTGAAGCACAAGGCATTTTTAGGGCAGTGAAACTGCTGTATGATACTATAGTGGTGTATACATGTCCTTACACATATGTCAAAAACCACAGAATATACAACACAAAGAGCGAACCCTAATGTAAACTGTGGACTTTGGTTGACAATTTGTCAACATTAGTCCATCGCTTGTAACAAGTCTACCACACTGATGTCGAGGGAGGCTGTGTGTGTATGTTGTGAGGAAAGGGTATATGAGAACTCTCTGCCCTTTCTGCCCAATTTCACAGCGACCCTAAAACTGCTCTTAAAAGAAAGTCTGTCGCTTTTTAAAGGATGGAAATAAAAAAGAAACTCAGTCACATTAGAAATCAGAGGATGTAAACTAAACTACAAGGAGAATATCATTTTAGATCCACCATATTAGAAAAAATAATTTTAAAAATAAGAAATATTATTGAAGATATGGCACAATAGGAACTTTCATATACTGCTGTTGGGAGTGTATATCAGTTCAAACACTTTAGAAAACACTTTGGTGTTATCTAGTAAACCTGAAGCTGAATTCAACTACAACCTAGCAATTCCCGTCCCAGACGTATATCCCAGAGCAGACGTTCTCAAAGTGTTCCCTGACCAGTAACATCAGCAACACCTGGGAACTTGTTAGAAATGGGATTATCAGGCTCTTCCTCAGACCTACTGAATTAGAAACTGTGGAGGGGGGCCCAGCAATCTGTTCCAAGAAGACCGACAGGTGATTCTAGTGCACAAAAAAGGTTGGAAGATACAGTCTTAAAAAGAAACTCTTGCACGTGTGCTCCAGAAGACAAGAATGTTCAGAGCAACATTATCTGTAGTAGCAAAACATTAAAACAAGCCAAATGTGCATCAACAGGACAAAGTATAAATAAATTATGGCATTTTAATACATTGGAATACTATGGAGAAGTGAAAATAAAGGAAGGGAGGGAGAAGAAAGGGAGGGAGGGAGGGAGTAAGCAAGGGAAGGAGGGAGGGAGCGAGGGAGGGAAGAAGAGCCACAAGTACCTACATGGATGACGCTCAGAATAATTGAGTAAAGAATACAAAAGATGATTCAATTTATATAAGGTGGAAAAACATCCACAAGTAAATAATACATATGATTTTATGAAAATCATAAAGGAAGAGAGGGAATGATAAACACAAATCCATGGTTGTTACCTCGGGGGGGAAGGAAAGGGAAAACAATTAGGTATTGGCACAGAGGGGCCATCAAATGCATTGGTAATATTCTATTTTTTAAGCTGGATGGTAGGTACACAGGAATTCATTTCATTATTTTTCCTCAGAACCTACATTTATGTATACATTATATATATTAATATCTATGTTAGAAATATTTCATAATTAAAAAGATGAAAAAATAAAACCTATCTCAATCATTATTTTCCATAAATGGCTTAAGAAAATAATTTTGTTATTGCTCTTTTTTTAGGAGCTAAGGAAAAACAGATTCCAACTTACATAAAATCTACTTTAATTTCTTCGTTCCAGCATGGATGAGATCCACTTGCAGTACTGGTTTGGTACACAGTGTGTTGAAAGGAAACTTCCACAAAAGGGTGTACAGTATCCTGAAACACATTAATAAACACTGACTAGATTTTTGTAATATTTTATATAGTTGATAACAGGTAGAAGACTAGGAAATTACTTGTTACTGGCCAACAACTGGATGGCTGACTTTTTCTGGTTTTTCAAACACCCATGATTCATTCACTCATTTAATAAACATTTATTGGTCCTATTCAATATCTGGTGCTTTTCTAGGATCCAAAGATAAACGGAACTTTCCTTTAAGGATTTTATAGTCTATCGGGAAAATAAACAGGTAAACAAATAATTGGTGATGAAATGTGAGCAATAAAAGAAATATATTCAAGGTATAATAGCTACTCAGGAGAGGAAATGATGAACTTTCTGAGGTGAGGACAAGGATTGGAGAAAATATTGCTTGGGCTTTTTTTAAATTTTTTTAAAGATTTTATTTTTTTCCTTTTTCTCCCCAAAGCCCCCCAGTACGTAGCTGTATATTCTTCGTTGTGGGTCCTTCTAGTTGTGGCATGTGGGACGCTGCCTTAGCGTGGTTTGATGAGCAGTGCCACGTCTGCGCCCAGGATTCGAACCAACGAAACACTGGGCCGCCCGCAGTGGAGTGCGTGAACTTAACCCCTCGGCCACGGGGCCAGCCCCTGCTTGAGCTTTGAAACATTAACTAATAGTTCATATGGCCAATAACATGGAGCTGTGAGGAGGCCATTCCAGGCAAAGGAAAGGGCATGCACAGAAGCCTTCTAGAACAAGCAGTAGTATGATATGAGACTGCTGTGGGATGGAGAGAGATGTGACTGACTGGCAGTTAAGGACCAGATCATTATGGACTTTTGTAGGCATTCTAAGGAGGAATTTGTACCCTATTCTACAGAGCCTGAGAACAGCAGAGCAGGGAATGAAACGGCTATAATTACATTTTATAAAGAGCACCTTCAACCGTGTTATCGAAAGTACACTGGAAGCCCAAGAGATTAGAGATGGAGAGACCAATTAGAAGCCTCTTGCAATTGAGGGCCAACATAATCAAAATGCAAGTTTATAGAAGTGTTAAATACTTACCTCATTTAAGATCTCATCTGAGGCTACTGATTGGATTGTTTCTTTATGTCTGAGGTGAGACATTGGTGACATCAAATAAGTTGGCATATCCAAGGCTCTTCAGGAAAAACAATATAGAAACATACACTTTAATTAATTTTAATATTGGTGGAAGAGGGTAGCTTTCTGCCTATGCTTAAGGAGATACGTAATTCAGTTACCCTGGATCTTACAGAGTTTGCTCTGGATCTTCATATCACAGGTGGTTACAGCTAAATATTTGATAACCACTGCTGTGGGAGAGTGGCTCCTAAATGCTGAACTACGCACTATATCCAGTCTACGACAAAGTTTTCACTCGTCCTCAGCAAACGGAGAAAAGTAAGCCAGGTGATACTTCGATATTATATCCTTCCTATTTTTGGTGTTAACATTATTCTTTCTTTTACAAATTGATGATTATAGAAAATGATGGTGATTTTAATATGTCCTTATTTCACACAACAGCCCACTGAGTGCCCACAGGAGAGATGGGTAAGATCTGATTTTTGCAGAAGTCACCTAAAATGACAAGTCCAAAACAGAGCCTACTCTCTCCAGTTTTCTACTTCCAGTCCTGAGAGGGGCCAGGGGCAGAGAATAGCGCAGGTGGCAGCAGGAGCTTCACGTGTTTTCAATATTCAGAATAGGGACAAAAGACATTTATTTGATAGTACCCAAAAATATATGTGTGAAAGTTACTTTGGGTATCTCAAACTTCTGAAAAACTTAATACATGGCAGTGACGGTTTTACAAATAGAACAGTACAGAAATTTAAATTTAAGATAGATCTTCTGCAACCCTAAAAATTGGTGCGTATTTCCTTACCTACTAACTGTTGTTTTCCTGGTAGGAATATTATAAGCCCTCAGTATTCTGACAAGAATCTTAATATCTCCATCACAGACAGTCTGTGCTGCCACTTTTTTCCTTTCTTTCCTCCACGGCTTTAACTTTCTTCGTCGTTCAACAAGCTTACAAATGGCATGTGTCAACTGGCTAAAGAGTAAAAAGTGATCAGCCGCATATACACAGATAACTTAGTTCTAAAGATATCAGTTTTTAAATTAATTATTGTAAATAAGGCCATTATTCTGAACCATATTCTCTCCATTGTGGAGAGGAGACAGAGTTGTCTTAAACCCAAGGAAGGAATCTTTTTTGGAGCATAGGAGAGATGCTATGTTTACTCTCATGTTAAGAGAGAATGTGATTGCTCTGAGCCCTTTGAGCACACGGTCCAAGAACAGACAAGAGCATGGAGAGGTAATTCCATGAAACATGATGCTCTTTCAGAAAATTATTCATTTTTCAGGAATCATTCTCTTGAAAGTGGTTAGATACTCAACTTTTTTCCATGGCTCTGAAACAGGAGTTATTAGTTACACACGCTGCCACCCTGGCAACACAAATCCATGGAAGTATGGCATTATGGTTGCCCACTTTCCCCCAAAGACTGAAAATAAAACACAATAGATTTCAGCATCCTGAGCCAATTAAAACCTTATTGGTAATACTAGGAATCTGCAAGTAGCCCCAGGGAGGAGTCCCAGAAACATGCATCCCTACTCCTGCTCCTCTCACTAAGTTTCACAGATAGGACAGTATGAGGATTGAGTTACCTCCGCCAAAGGCTCCCCGAACTGCTGCCTGTGGATCACAGCACCCTTTTATGGCTGAGGATTCAGGTTTTCTGGGGGTTTTTTTGAGGAAGATTAGACCTGAGCTAACATCTGCCGCCAATCCTCCTCTTTTTGCTAAGGAAGACTGGCCCTGAGCTAACATCGGTGCCCATCTTCCTCTACTTTATATATGGGACGCCTGCCACAGCATGGCTTGATAAGCAGTGCATAGGTCCATGCCTTGGATGGAACCAGTGAACCCCAGGCCACCAAAGTGGAGTGTGCAAACTTAACCACTATACCACCGGGCTGGCCCCTGAGGATTCAGTTTTGAAAGCGGGAGATTATAGGCTTAGTGTGTGGAGCTAATAGCAATGAATTTTCCGGTAGCAATCTCAGGACAAGAAAATCTTAGGACAAAACTACTTTGCGACAAAGATTATTTCTTTTATTTTGCTTTTTTTACCACAAAAACCATCAACAAGGAGAGAGTAAAAACTAAATATTATACAATTGAAAATGTATATTGTATAGATATACACAAAATGCAATTTAAAAATGTCCAGAGCCAGCCCTGATGGCCTAGTGGTTAAAATTTGGCACGTTCCACTTCAGCGGCCTGGGTTCAGTTCCCAGGTGCGGAACCACACCACTCGTCTGTTAGTGGCCATGCTGTGGCGGCAGCTCACACAGAAGAACTAGAAGGACCTACAACTAGAATATACAACTAGGTACTGGGGCTCTGGGCAGGGGAAAAAAAAACCCAGGAAGATTGGCAACAGATGTTAGCTCAGGGCAAATCTTTCCCAGCAAAACAAACAAACAGAAACCTCTCTATTTAAAAAAAAAAGTCTAAATATATTTTCAGTCAATATATTTCACTTTATGTTTTGTAATGGCATCTTTTGACATGTAACTTAATATAAAAATAGAGAATTTATTAGAGGACCTTGAAGGTATTAGCTTAAAGCTTTATATTTAATATTTAAATAATAATTTTTAGCATGTACCTTGCAGATACAATTTCTTCATAATCAGCCACAACGTCTGATAAGTTAAATTTGCTAACTTTGACAATTCTTTTCATTACCAACCTTCTCATCTACAAAAAAATTTAGAATTTAGAGAAACAAATAGCTTATATTTCAAGATTACGTATTTACAATGCTACTGGTGCCACTATTTTTCACTCTTAATTTTTGCAAGCAATGAATGGAAAGGGGGATTAGAGAAGTGAAAATATGGTTCTGTTTGTTACCATTATTAAAATTATTCCTAACTCTCACATTAATGTCACACCAAAGCAAGTTTCTTTCGTTCCATTTTTTTGTCCTGCCATATCCACTTCATGTCATCTTAAACTCTGCTCTCATCTGTTTTTCCACCTAACTCACAGTTTACGTGGACAGAGCTAGTCTTCACCAAAGGAGATGGTTACCCTGTGAATACGTTTCTACAACAGCCGATTATAATGGACTATAAATCTTGATCCATAAACTCAAGAAATGTGATCACATTTCTGTATTTCCTTTGAGTCAATCCTATTCTGACTTGAAGCTCTCATTCTGTCAGTTTGGCAAGATATTCAGTGCTTGAAGGGAGTCATTCCCCTGAGCCCTTGCTATCTGCAGAACTCACAGACCTTGGTTCCTCCAAGGACTGTGAAATTCTTCCTTTTAGTCTGAGGAAATCCCTCCCTTTCTCCTCTAACCCTATCCTTCACAACAGGTTTAGGCTTTCAAACACGAAACTGGGAAGAGGTGTGTCTGGAGGCAATTTCTGCTTTCTGTCCTGCCACAAATCGTCCCAGAGACAATGTTACCTAGGGCCTAATGATCTGCTTAGGGTAGGAAAATGGGGTGGGTAGGAGAAGAATGGGAAAAATATAACTCCTAAATATTACCCTCATATGGGCAACAAATTGTTTCCCCTGACGGTGAAACACACCCCTCTGACCCCACATTTCTCTCCCTCTCCCTCTCTCTCTCCCTTGCTCTCTTGACATCAAACAGACTCGGCTCCTTGCTATTCGTTCTAAAGGCCAGCCGTGCTCTTTCCTCACAGTTTTCACATGTGGTTCCATCAGCCTGGAATGTTCTTCTTCCACAAAAACTCCATGGCTAGCTCTCTCCTTCAAGTCTTTTGCTGAAGTGTTACTTTCTCATGGGCTTTCCTTGATCACCTTACTTAAAATTGCACCTCACGCTGCTACATATAAATACACTAAGCCCCCACCCCCCTCGAAGAGAACTTTTGTCCTCTCTCCCTACTTTATTTTTCATAGCACATATCACTCTCTAACCTACTAATGTTTTGTTCATTATCTGACTTCCCCCACTAGAATGACTTCCTCCAGGCAGTCAGCGGTTTCACTCAGTTTTGTTTACTGCTGTAATTCCAATGTCTAGTATAATGCCTGATTCATAGCAGATGCTCAATAAATATTTATTGAATAAATTAATGAAAGGGACAGAATGAGGAGATGCACACGTTTCAGCACAACTTTATCTAATAACCCTTGAGACTGCTGGGACTCCATTCTTTACCGTTGCAATCCTGGCCTCAGACACCACTGACCCCAGTAACACAGCACAAAGTTTAATGTACATAACTCCCAGTTCCGTGAGTTCCTTCCACATCAGGATTTAAACACCTGGGGCCCTAAGAGGCGGCCAGGGTCAAACCTTTCCAGTATCTGTAATTAAAATAATTATCCCTTGAACTTGTAGTTTTAAAACTATCCTCAGACAGCAAAGAAGTCTTCACATGGAGCTGAAATCTAATCACAAAATTTTCTTAACACTCCTTCCCAGCACTCCTATATGAAGTTCAAGCCTCCTCAGACATTTGCTTTCTTACCCCCATTCTGATCCTCTGCTGCCCTCCCTCTTGGGCTTCCTCATACATAAAGAAAGAAGAGAAGGGGTAAGGATGTGTGCTCTCTTTTCTCATAAGTAAGAACACCTCTTTATTTCCTAAGACAGAAAACTCATTATTAAAGCACATCCCAATTTTTTTTTTTTTTTTAATATAGAAGTAGTAGAGAAGAGGTATGAGGGGCAGGGGTGAACGGAAAAAACTCCTGCCAGTGACAAATGGGAGGAGCTCTTTCAAGCCCAGGACAGCTACAGTGGTCTGCATTTCCACCACCCTCTCATAGTAAAATGAGTACAAACTGGGACAGCACTCGAGGTTTTATCTCATTTGCCCATTACATAGGAAGTAAAGCAAAGTGGGCGTCATCACTGTCTATTTTGACACAAGAAGAAACGGGGGCTCAGTGAATAGGTTACTTGCCCAAAGACACCCAGGGTAGTCAGAACAGGTCTTCATACACCTGCCTGGGGCTCTTCTAGTTACACAAGGTTGCTTCTCACCTGACCTCATGAGGATCTGGTGTGTATCTCTTAGAACTTTCCATGGCTCTTTGCTTCTTTTCAAATTACCCTAGAAGGCTGCTCTGATGCTCTACAGCAAAGGCTATGTACTTAGGTGAGATCCTACTCTTGCAGAAGTTTTAGAAACCCTCTCAGCCCTTGCGGTTTTATCCCTTACTTTATTAATTTCTCAAACATTTATCAACATTTTCTGAGTGAAGGGCACTGTGCTGGGTACCGCAGATCTACAGATAAAGTCCCCGCAGGCCAGAAGCTTAGACCAGGGCTGATAAGGGGTCAGTGGAAAGAAACCAGGAATGAAATTCAGTGAGGAATTCCACCTCAAAACTGGTTTAGGCTTTGCTAGGTTGGTTTGTAAATATTGACTTTGTATTGAAGTCTATGTCTTTCTCTAATACTTCCTCCTGTCTCCTGGTAACTCCTTCATCCCTTCATCCCCTCAACTGCTGTGGTCTACCACATTACTGAGATACTAGTAAAAGTAGGGATTCTGGCAAAATGCTGGTGTATTTCTCAAAGTCTACTTTTAGAATCAAAAAGAGATGGGAAGTTGGGGCCAGCCTGGTGGCATAGTGGTTAAGTTTGTGCACTCTGCTTCAGCATCCCGGAGTTCACAGGTTCAGATCCCAGGCAGAGACCTACACATCACTTATCAAGCCATGCTACGGCGGCATCCCACATACAAAACAGAGGAAGACTGGCACAGAAGTTGGCTCACGGACAATCTTCCTCACACAAAAAGAGGAAGATTGGCAAAGATATTAGCTCAGGGCAATCTTCCTCATCAACAAAAAAAAAAGAGAGAGAGATGGGAAGCCTTTTTCTTTTTCTTTTTTTTAAGATTGGCACCTGAGCTAATATCTGTTGCCAATCTTTTTTTTTCCCTTCTACTTCTCCCCAAATCCCCCAAATACATAGTTGTATATTCTAGTTGTAGGTCCTTCTAGTTGTGCTATGTGGGATGCCGTCTCATCCTGGCCTGATGAGTGGTGCCATGTCTGTGCCCAAGATCCGAACTGGTGAAGCTCTGGGCTGCCTAAGCAGAGTGCATGAACTTAACCACTTGACCACAGGAACAGCCCTGAGAGATGGGAAGTCTTTAATGTTCATGTTTAAACAGAAGAATTTGGGATGTACTTTAATAATGAGCTTTCTCTCAACTGAAGTAACCTCCGCATCAACAATGTACATCAACAGTGTACATTTACAGATGGTAAGTAACTCTCTCTGAAAAGGAAGTCTGAACAGAACAGAAAACCCCTCAGTGATCAGAAAGAGGTGATGAGTAAGTAGACTTGTCCATCTAATTCTCTGGTACCAGGCATCCAACAGATCAGTTTTCACAAAAGTAAATGCAAACATATTGATATTACTCTTTCGTTGTTGTTACCTTTTTCAGAAAATTGGCAGAATTAATCCTTTGCGCAGTAATAGAATTCACATCTGAAATGGACATATCCTTCTCTATCTGACTTTCATATTCCTAAACAGAGAATTAAGTTAGTTTCACTTCGTGAATGTAATGGAGCTCAGATATGACATGCTGCAACAAAATATTAACTTCATTTCTGTTCATGTGCACGAGACACTGGCAATACTCTGGCATGGAAAGAAGAAAACATTTATTTCAGTTTCTCCTACTGAGAATTAGCTAAGAACATTTTATGACTATATTTTGTTTGCTTCTAGGATGAGGTCCATTTACCTTTTAAAATAGAGCAATGATTGAGGAAAAACTTGCAATTGAGAAAATTATAAGAAAAATGTGAAGATGGTAGAGAAATATTCTTCATGCATGCACTTATCTGGCCATTGCTAAAAACAAAACAAATGAAAAGTAGTATAGTACAATGGTCAAGACAGTGGGCTCTGGAGGCTAGCAATTCTGGGTTCAAGTTGACCCTGCCATTTATTTACTAACTGTGTGGTTTGGGAGAAAGTTGATTAACTTCAGCAGACCTCAGTTTCTTCTTCTGTAATAACAATAATAATACCTGTGTCGCAGGATTGTTGTGAGACTTAACTGAAACAATATCTGTGAAGTGCGTGGCACACAGTAAGTAGTCAAGATGTGCTGACTATAATCAATAACTTTAAGTTTACATCCAGCAGTTGGTATAAGATTGCTTGTCAGGATGTTTCATCTATAAAATTTAAAATAAATCTGCATCTGTTATATCTGCATTTGTGGGATACACCCCTAATACACATGGAAATCATTTTACATTATAGATATCTTTAAAGACCAGACAAAAATAATGAAGGAGATACTTTAGAACTTTCAGCCATGTTACAATAAACACGACGATCTGAAAGTAATTTATTTGTTCTTCTAATTATCCACAAGAAATCTTGAAATTAATTCTGTTGGAAAGTAACAGCTTTCACTTAATGATAAATTTAATATTTTATATCACTTTACTTTTTAAAGTGTTAATTTATGAGTTATTTAAATACTCTGGATATTATTTTGTTATGTGTGTTGCAAATATCTTTTCCTAATCTGTGAGGCTTTAATTTTAATATTATCAACTTTATTAATCTTTTTCTTTACAATTTATACTTTCTGTGGTTTGTTTAAGAAATATTTTCATATCCTAAGATTAAGATAGCCATTTAAAGTTTTCCTTTTCACATGTAATCTTCATTACACATGGTTTTCTTTCTTTTGTGAGGTCTGAATCTGTTCTGTTTCACTGGTTTGGAATTGCATTACTACAATTACAGAGTAATTGGGGAGAACTTCCATCTTACAATGATGAGTCTTCCTATCAGCGAACATTTATTCAGATTCTTTTTTACATCATCAAAAATGTTTGATAATTTTATCCATTAAGTTCTTGCATATCTTTTGTTAAATATATTCCTATGTATCTTGAAGTTTTTATTGCTGTTGCAAGGAGTATCTTTTATTGCTATCGCAAGGAGTATCTTTGTTAAGTGACATTTTTAGTGGGTTTTTAACTGGGGTGTAGAGTGCTATTTATTTTTTGTCTTGAACCTTTCCTCAAATTTTTCAAACATAGAAAATTAGAAAGAATGTTCAAATCCATATACCCACCTTCTAAATTAAGTAATTAATATTTTGCCATATTTGCTTAATCTGCCTTTTACTTATTTTTAATTGTTTTGGCTAAAATATCTCAAAGTAAATTACAGACACCATGACACTTCATTCCTAAATAAATACTTCAGCATGAATCTCCAGGAGCTAAGGACATACTTCTACACAACCACAACGCCACAATCACAGACAACAAAATTAACAACTTCCTTATATTATCTAATATTCAACCCTAGCCAAATTTTACCAATTGCTGTTTTTTTCCCCTAAAGCCAAGATCTAATTAAGGATCATGTGTTACCTTTGGTTAAGTCTCTTTGGTCTCTTAATCTAGAATACTCTGCCTTCTTTTTAAAAAATGATGACTTTTTTAAAAGATCAAAACAGTTGTACTTGCTAGCCAGTTGTTCCACATTCCAAATTTGTCTGTTTCCTTGTTGTGCCATTTAACTTGTTTTTCTATTTCTCATAAACAAATTAATCTAAAGTCTTTTTTTTTTTTTTGAGGAAGATTAGCCCTGAGCTAACTGCTGCCAATCCTCTTTTTGCTGAGGAAGACTGGCCCTGAGCTAACATCCATGCCCATCTTCCTCTACTTTACATGTGGGACGCCTACCACAGCATGGCTTGACAAACAGTGCCATGTCCGCACCTGGGATCTGAACCGGCAAACCCCGGGCCGCTGAAGTGGAACGTGTGCACTTAACCGCTATACCACCAGGCCCGCCCCTGAAACATTCTTAACCAGTTTAAAGAAGGTTTAATGAAGTTCTCTTCTGATTCTAGGATGCTAAGAGCTTTCATCATGAATGAGCACTGAATTTATTAAATGCCTCTTGGGCATTTATTAAGAGAAGAATATTTTTTCCTTCCTTAATTCTGTTAATGTGGTAAATTACAGCAATAATTTGTGTAATTAAATTGGCTTTGTAATTTGGAAGTAAACCCTACTAGATTATGGTGTGTAATTATATATTTATACACAACACATTGCTTTTCAATTTGTTAAAATTTTATTAGTAATTTTATACCTATGCTCATAAGTGATAGGCTCATACGCTCATACTGATGCTATATCCCTCAATTATGCTGAGCATTGTGTTTTGCCCGTAGTAGTTTATGGAACTGTAGAATTGACTTCAATCATCGAGAGAAGCAGCATGAGGAAACTGAAGAACTTTCCAGCTCTTCTAAGCCAAGGCCTTTCCACTGCAGTTTACTGACTGAAATTCTTAAAGTCTCAAAACCGGAGATTAACCATAATTAAAAGTTGAGAAATGCTTTCTGAAGCCAAATACCAAATGGTCTGTTTGTGAATACATATATTTCTATGTATCCATATTTGTGAAAATAACGAATTATCTGCAAATCCTATCTTTATGTGCTAACTGGTGGTGCCATGACACTGTCATTGAAAATTCATTAATTTGCATTTTCCTTTTCACATCTGAGCCACACCAAAAAGTTTTCTCAGATAATCCAGTTAGTTTAGCCTATGAATATCCTCCCATTACAACTTGAATTTTAAATGTAATGAGTCATGTATAGTTTTGTTTGTGTCTCCTCTAAATTAGGGTATAAAAGCTAAAGGATAGCTCAGTGGCAACAAGAACAAACATATACTATCTTTTTAAAATCTTTTTTTGTGTGTGTGTGTAAGATTGGCTCTGAGCTAACATCTGTGCCAATCTTCCTCTACTTTATCTGGGATGCCACCACAGCGTGGCTTGACGAGGGGTGCGTAAGTCCACGTCTGGGATCCAAACCTGCAAACCCCAAGCCACCAAAGTAGAGCGTGCGAACTTTTCTAACCACTACGCCACTGGGCTGCCCCAAATATATATTATTCTTTTAAGTAATTTTTACTGTTTTTAATGTTAAGTGGCTTACTGCAATTTCCCTTCAGTCAAGAATAAAATGAAAACAAATAGCAAAGAGTTTATCAGTTTTTTCTTATCAATTGATAATAATTCACCAAAGTTAAATTAATAAACCTATTATAATCTATTTTAGCTAAAGGCATTCATTCACTCTTTCTGACTCATAAGATGTATAAACCTCAATACCCTTCCTCAGAATCTACTATCTTTATCTAAGTTGGCCAACATCACCCCAGACTGATGATTCTACTGCACAGGCCTTTTCTTTAGAGATGGAACACTAATTCCTTTCTTCTCAAACCATCTCTTAGCAAGCTCAAGTGCTAGGATTACTACAATGGGTTATTTCTACAGAAATTAGCTCTTATAATTCCACTATTTAAGACCAGAGACGTGCTGGTAAATGTTTAAAACCAGTTCTCTGGGATTTGGAGGTGAAGCCCCATTTGTAGCATTTGCTGATTTATGGTGTAAATATTCCCCCAGAAACAAATTTAAAGCAACCAATATGAAGTCACTGACGGTGGAGTTGGGAAGAGATGCACACAATAGGCTCTCACCAGCTGGTGCTGGCAGGCTCCTGTACACCATCACCATGCAGCCTGAGACTAACTTCTTTCTTTCTTTTTTTTCCCACATTAAAGTTTCTGAAACTGAGATGTGCTTTATAATCAATGCGCAAGTTTAATTCAGCAGTGTTTCTCTCCCTTGTCCCCCAAAGTTGCTTTTAAACTGGTGATGACTTTTACAATAACAAAAATATAGTATTTACATAAATTTAGAATATATTTAAAGGATTTTGGCTGTGAAGTAGGTTGTCTGGACAACAATTAAGTTGCAAAGTCAAGCTAAGGACTTTCTGGAATTTGGGAGATCTGCACATTTTTTTTTTAAAGATTGGCACCTGAGCTAACAACTGTTGCCAATCTTTTTTTTTTTTCCTGCTCTTTCTCCACAAATCCCCCCAGTATATAGTTGCATGTTTTAGTTGTGGGTCCTTCCAGTTGTGGCATGTGGGACACCGCCACAGCGTGGCCTGATGAGTGGTGCCATGTCCGCGCCCAAGATCCGAACCAGCGAAACCACAGGCTGCTGAAGCGGAGTCTGTGAACTTAATCACTCGGCCGCAGGGCTGGCCCCTGATCTGTACACTTTTAATGCCTGAAGAGAAGGGGAAAAAAATCTACAGATTGTATCAGTTAAAAAAAGAAAAGAGGGGCCAGCCCGGGGGTGGAGCGGTTAAGTTCCCACATTCTGCTTTGGTGGCCCGGGGTTCACTGGTTTGGATCCTTGGTGTGGACATGGCACCGCTTGGCAAGCCATGCTGTGGTAGGCGTCCCACATATAAAGTAGAGGAAGATGGGCATGAATGTTAGCTCAGGGACAGTCTTCCTCAGCAAAAAGAGGAGGATTGGCCGCAGATGTTAGCTCAGGGCTAATCTTCCTAAAAAAAAAAAAGAAAAAAGAAAATAAGATAGATATAAAGCAGCAAAATATTAACTTACACAATAAGCCATATTCAAATAGAAAGCAAATACCTGGAAGACTAAATCTGGGATCTCTCTATCATAGAGGGGCATTTGCTGCAGAAGGAAAACATCTAATTGACCTGCATTTCTAAGTTGCAATAGCTGGAAACGTTTACTTTTTTTCATCTCCTCTTCAGAAACCAAGTTAAACTCATCTTGCAACTGTTCCAGACGAAAATACTTTGGAATATCCTGCCCTTTATGTTTCATATACTGTAAAACATAAATAATATAAAGTCTTTACTTAAAATATTCTTTAAAATTCAATAATTATTTCAAAACACTGTTTTTTCCTCTCAACCATGAGATGTGAGAGTTTCCATATAAGTAAGAAATGGAGCAATTTAATCTGTACAGAGATAGAAGCTGAAAAAAAAAACCAAAACAGAATCTGGCCTACGTGGCTTCCCAACCTTTTCCTGGTCATGACTTATAAAGAAAATGAAAATATCTGCTTGCACATTGGGTTAAAAGATGAGACTGTTCATAGTTCATATCTGTTTGCCCTAAGAGTTGAGAGAAAACCAATATTTCTGTACACCTGTAACCAGTTCAGAACATCAGATGGGAAGCTCTGATCCAGGGAAACTTAATTACAATAATCTATTCATGAAGTGCTTTATTCAATAAATGCAAATATCAGTACAAGGTACATGTAAGGAAGAGTGCTAGTTGCCCTAAGAGAGACAAAGATTTATTAGCTGTAGTTCCACTAGGCAAGATAAAACACAGAAATGAATAACTACAGTAAAGGGCAGAATGACATCAGAGCCATAAGAATTTATAAAAAGAAAAAAATAGTTAACAGGAGGGCAAGGCAAGAAGAGCTCACATCTAATTGAGGTTACCGGGGAAACATTTATCAGACTTGCGGCATGGGTAAGATAGTCACTGTAGGTGCTCTTCTAGGCAGAGGGAATGGCATGAATGAAGGTATGGAGAAAGCATGTTCAGGGTACGCAGAGCAGTTCAGTCGGCCCTAAGGAAGAGTAGGAGAAGGGAATAGATAAGGAGTCTTTGAGGGAAGGAGTGTATCTGTAAGTCATCTCTGTATCCCTAGCATCTCACAGTGTGATTGGCACTCAGTAGATGTATAACACATATCTACTCAGCCTGAAGGTTCGCCTGCAGGATGTACTGCAGGCTGCTAAGTAATGGCAGAGTACCAACTGCCAGGCCTAAAGTAGTAATTATGTCAGTTGCTGAGTTTCTAAGTGCCTTTACAATACTATAAACTGGTTGAAAACTGCACCTGTCAGATTTACCTTTACACGTCTCCTAGTGCCTAGAAAAATATAAAGCAAACTAGGGAGGAGTATAAGGGGGTAGAGTTTAGGAAATAGAATATATTTACAGTATTGATATTTGCTATAACTTACCATAATAAATTCCATTAAATCAGAATATTCTGGATTATTTGGGTCAATTTTGACTTCATTTGCCCACTCAAAAAGCTTCTGTGCATTAACAAGACATGGAATACCAGGAACACTTCTGGCATCTACATTCCTTAACACACTAACATAAAGAAAAATATTTTGTGAATTTGCATACAATATGCAGGTTACACATCTGTTATACAAGGTAAAACCTATCTATCCCCTGCATTTAAAGATAAAACAGGTTTAGATGTGATATCTCTCCTGGTTCTTCTCACCTTCTAACTTGTATCCTAGCTCTTTGATAAATGTCTACTTCCATCCCTTAAGAGACAGTAAGCTTCTTAAGGGTAAAGTCTGTAAATATTCATCTTTGTCATCTCCACTCTGTGCAGTAGCTAAAACATAGTAGATGGTGAAGTGAATAGAACTTATTGGATGTATTCTGTAAACCCTGAGTATACTAACTTATTAAATATCTTCTTTCCGTAGGATGCACGATATTGAAATTTAACCAAGATGTTTGCTTAAGCAAAATTAATCAAGTCCACAATAGAAAAAGAATCTTTAGGCTATATCTTTACAGTTGAAACATTCTATAGTGTAATACAATTAACTGAGAAGGATGTGCCAGAAGAGTATCTTTGGTCATATGAGGCCATCTTCAGAAGCTGGAGAGCTACAAAGATAGGCTAGACTCATAATGCTTTCTTAGTGACCTCAGCTACAGGCTAAGTGCAGAAGGAATTCAACCCTAAACAGTAAGGGTTTCTTTAGAGCCATCAATTATTCCAGTTATTTAATCTTTCTTCTCATAGATGATTTGTCTCATCACATATAATTAGAGGGATTTGGACCAGAAAATTTCTAAGATCCTTTCTATAAAGTACTCAAGAAAAATTCCAGTCTATAAACTGAGATTCCAGAAATACAGTTCTGACTCAGATTCATTTATGTCTTAGCCCAAACATGGAGACATATTTTACACAGTCTATTTTCCAACAATATCTATTCATATTTCTACGATGAGTCTTTGGAAGCTATGGCTAACAAAGCCAATGCCTAGTATGATAGGATGTAAGCAAAACTACAAATACGTGAAGTTTAAGTATTCTTCCTTTCTTTAATTTCTATTTCTGCCCTCATATTTGAACAATTTTGATGCCTTTGTAATAAGAGATCTCTAGAGCTTGACACTCTTGACATCTAGTAAAAAATTTTCCTTCTCCTGGGAACAGTCTTAGCCCAGGTCCTTTAGAAAACAAAGCCTGAGGCAAAACTTAAATGTTAATGAATAGATTAGAGAGAGAAACTTATTCCCTTACAGCCTAAAAAAAAAAAAGTTGTAATTGGATTTCAATTTAGTCCCAGGATTTCTGCCTCAGGGAAAGTAATAAAAACCTCATAACATCTCTTGCCCTTGCTATAATGATTCCTGCAGCTGCCCTCTAAGTGTTCAGCTGTGGGCTATGGCAAAACCCCTCTGTCATCTGCACCCCCTCCTGCACAACCAAATGCCAAGCAAGTAACATAATTCAGTGGCATTAAGTATACTCACAGTGTTGTACTACCACCATCACTATCTATTTCCAGAATTTATTCATCATTCCAAACAGAAACTCTGTACCCACTAAATGATAACTCCCCATTTTTCCGTCCCCTCAGCCCCTGGCTTTCTCTCTCTGTGAACTAAGCAAAAAATTTTAAAGTTACCAGGGAGAAAAGACAGACTGTCTACAAAACACCAACATTTAGACTGATAGCAGCAATGACAAATCCCAGAAGATAATGTGATTACAGCTTCAAAGTGGTAAAGGCTGGTAAAGTGGTAAGGGAAAATAAATATCAGCCTCAAATTTTATACCCACCTAAACTATTACAAGAGTGATGACAAAATAAAGATATTTTCATATATACAAAGACTAAACAAATTTGCTAGCTACAGAAATTGACTGAAAGAATCACTAAAGGAGCAGGCTTTTAGAAAGAAAAGTAAATCCAGAATGAAAGTGGGGGAGGTAAGAGATAGGGGCAAACATAACAGCCAATTAACCACGTCAGAAAATTAACTATAAATGTAAGAAAAGCTGTTTTATGTTTTAAAATGTGTTAAACAAAAACTCTAGACAACAATAACAATAATTGAGATTGGAGAGGTGTGCTTAATGTGGTATTAGCATTCTAAGATCTTCTTTTGCTTCACTGCTTTATTTGCAGCTCTGCTAGTATTTGATGAATGAATGCATAAGTAAATCAGTGAATAAACAAATATTTTGTTTGGATCTCCTTTAGCTCCATGTTTTGACTCTCACAAGTCAGTCTTGCCATTTGGAGCACCCATCCTAGGTTCCTAGAACCACTGCTCAGCACCAGCCCTTCAGCTCCCACAGCTGTAGAGTTCTGTTAGCCTCCCTCTCTGATCTCAGAGGCCCCAGCTGTAAAGTTCTACTTCAAGACAACTTTCTAAGAGAGATCTCTGGACTTTGAAAACCTCTCCTGCAATTCAATCCCTGTTGAAATCTGTGAGCTGTCCCAATCTTTCACAGAACTGCTCTCAATCTTTTGTAAACTTGAGTCCCCAAGTAAATGGAACTGCTAAGTGCAGCATCACAGAAGCCATGAGAGAAGAGACTTCAAGAAGCAAAAGGATGAGGACAGGCCAATGAATATGGCCAGGAGGTCACTGGTAGCCTTCAGGAATAAGTGGGTTGGATTAGGGAGGGAATGTGTGAACAAAAAGTGGAGGCAATGTATGCAAACCAGCAGACCACAAGAATGAGGACTTGGGCAGGAAAAACAGCCAAAAAGGGTTTTCAGGGTTTAATTAAATGCTCGGATTTTTCTTGGTTTCTTTGATATAAAAGACTAACAGCATACTAGGGAGATGGAAAAGTTGAAGATAATGTAAGAAAAAGCTATAAATATGTTAGCAGAATCCTAAAGGAGACAAAGGAAAGTTCCCAATTACCTGTATAAAAGTTAGCTTTAGAGTGAGGAGAATAAGCATCTGACTCCAAGAATAAAGCATAGACTAGTATGATGAGACAAAGACTGGAAACAGCTGCAGTGGGGACTATGCTAGGGAAATACTAAGAAATACAAGAAAATAATGGTTGGGTATTAAAAGCTTATTCACCAGCTCCAAAATGAATTACCTTTATTAATTTTCCATTTTTGTCCTAAAATGCCCTTCTCCAGGTCTCTAAGAAGATGACCTCTTTTACTTAGCAAAACAAGGACATCCATCAAAATTAAAATTATAATTCCATCTTCCTAGTGATTTCTGTCTCGTTCTCTGATTTGAAGAAAAGATATTTCTTCCAGAACTATAACTACTCATTTGTGTTTTGGCTCAATATCTTCCTGACTTTGAAGGATCTCATACTCTTTCTAATATATTCTGACTCTTTTTCCATGGATCCCATCACTTCTTGTAAGAAGACAAGGACTGCCCCAATTTTTAAGAAAGCCATACCTTGATTATGTTGTGTCTCTTATTTTCAGCCTCTTTTTCTGTCAAACTTCTTGAAAAGTAATCTACATCCACTACCTCAGTTTCCTCAATGTCAACTGTTGAATGCTACTGACATTTAGTTCAGGGTTTTTTTTCTCTAAAACTCTTATTTACCAAGAAAAGTATTTATGAACTCGTACTATGACTTTGGTCATATGCCACTGGTTTTATATATAGTGTTCTCATTGTTATTTTTTAAATAGTCTCTAATCTCAGTTTTGATTTTCTGTTTAATGCAAGTTATTTGTGGAAATTTTTTTAATTTTTATTATTTTATTTTTAAAATAGACTTTATTTTTTAAGATCTGTTTTAGGTTTATAGCAAAACTGATGAGAAAGTGCAGAGTTTCCATATGCCCCTTACCCCCCACATATGCCCAGCCTCCCCAACTATCAACATCCTGCACTAGAGTTATAATTTATTACATTTGTTGCAATAAAACAGTTGCATTTGTTATGATCTATGAACCTACAGTGACGCATCATTATCATTCAAAGTCCACAGTTTATATTAGGGCTTACTCTTGGTGTTGTACAGTCTATGAGTTTTGACGAATATGTAATGACATGTATCCACAATTATAGTATCACACAGGGTAGTTTCACCGCCCTAAAAATCCTGTGTGCTCTGCCCATTCATCCCTCTCTCCTCCTAATCCCTGGCAACCACTGATATTTTTACTGTCTCAATAGTTCTGCCTTTTCCATAATGTCATATAATTGGAATAGCAATCTTTCTTAAAAATGTTGTTTAGATGGGGAGGGGAAAGGCCATCTTTTCGTTATCATCATTCAGTAATTTTTAAATGATGGAATCCACTTGGCCCTTTATATTTACGATTTTACTCAAACATAGCACCATACACAAGGCAGGATTATCATTTTTATAGAATTTTACCTTTCTTATTTCTAGTAATCCTATTTGTGGGTGTGACCTAGAAATTAATCCCATTTCCTCTAGGAAAGTTTATTACCTGCAGTAAGCAGATCTTAATGACTGTGACATAGGTGTCAGAGGAATACCATTTTCATCTAAGGCCCATGATAGAGAATAGCTTAGTTTTCCTGATGTCAAAAGACAAAGTTCTTCGGTTCCGTTTCCCTCAAGAAGAAAGGGCACATCTGTTTATAGCGACATTAAAAATATATGAATTTTTTTAAAAGCAGTTTGAGCACATCGTAGATTTTTTTCCTGACTTTTACTTGTGGAACCCCAGGAACACAAAGGAAGTTAGTTCTGTGCTGACCCCAGACTCTAATCTTAGACCTTGCCTCATCTCCCATCTAAGATACCTTAAGGCAGACTACTTCAAACAGACTACAAAAGAGAGAGGAAAATACTGATCTGAATACATGCGATGAACATCTCTATTTTCCTCCTCTTATGACCAGAAGTTTTTTAACCCTTCTTTCTAGGAGTAGCTCCCAGCAAGAAACGACCACTGACAGCAGAAAAAGAGGCAGAAAAGCTACTCTTTATCCCTTTTTCCTACATTCCTGAGTCTTCTCCTTCTCCTCATTTTCTTTTTCATTCTCCAGAGAGCTTAACAACATTCCTTGAAACTTTTGCGAAGTTCTTAGTGTTCCCTACATATTTCACCCTGAATCTTTTATCCTGGGTCTCTACAACTCCGTTTTTCTGCTTCATCTGAACTCTAAGCAGACTATATTCCTCCCTCATTCTCTCTGAAGGCTCTTTTGCCCACTTCTTTTCTTCTCTCTCCTCCTTGCTCACTCGTTCATACATTCTTCCTTTTCACCAGATGGAAATAAACAGTTACAAAACTCCTAGGAAGGCTAAAGAGAAGGAATCTGGGGGAGAAAGGGAGGAATGGCAGTGTTCTTACAGACGTGCTAACTTAAATTTAATTGCATGAGGAGTAAAATCAATTGAAAAACAAGTGGATAGAAATATCCTTTCTTCTTTCCTCTCTCCTTTTCTCTCTTTCTTTCTCTCTCCTGCTCTTCCTCCTTTCCCTATTCAGTTCAAAGATGAATCGACACATCCTGGAGCATCTTTAGGCTTCACTAAAGGAGAAGCAGAGGCAGAGCAGTCTATCCACTCAGGAGCAGAGCTCACGTTCCCGAGAGCATAGTGCTCTTGTCTCAAATGACCTAGGAAAAGCACAGGTGCTAATTCCAAATTTTAGATTTCCCAAAGATCTGATTCAAGATAAAGTTTTAAAAAATTTAGTTTAACATCTGAAAAAAGAATTTAATTCACTTTTAGCCTAATATTGTAAATATAGGATTCTTTACTCATGTAAATAACCCGGGGTGATTCAGGATATGGAATTCATGAAGAAAATAGGGGGGAAGAAACATTTTTAATAAACTTACTGCTTCCTACTCCTCCATAAGCAGGTATGACCAGCTCATCAGAGCTAAATTCTACATATTCCAAAACAGTTTTGCTTTTCAGCTCTGTGTCGTTAGGTAAAGGTATATATAGTTTTGCCAGTAAGCGTGTCCTTTTACTTATTTCATAAACCTAAATATAAAAAAAAGATTGATAACTCACTGAAAGTACAAAATGGAAAGAAAAGCTAAAATAAGGAACCTCAATAATACATTTTTCTCTTTTTTAAAAAATACTAGAATATCAAATGGGTATTGCTCTATGGCATTTCATCCACATGATTATGAAAAAAGCAGAGAATCACATGTCCTTAAAAGTATAATGGGAGCCAGCCCGGTGGCGCAGCGGTTAAGTTTGCACATTCCACTTCGATGGCCTGGGGTTTGCTGGTTGAGATCCCGGGTGCAGACATGGCACCGCTTGGCAAGCCATGCTGTGGTAGGCGTCCCACATATAAAGTAGAGGAAGATGGGCACAGATGTTAGCTCAGGGCCAGTCTTCCTCAGCAAAAAGAGGAGGATTGGCAGCAGATGTTAGCTCAGGGCTAATCTTCCTCAAAAATAAATAAATAAATAAATAAAATAAAATGTCAAAATTAAAAAAAAAGTATATTGCCTTTTACTGGTTTCAAAGAATTAACTGAATAAAAGGATTACAAATATAGTTCTGTGAATATAGGTACATATAACACAATACCTGAATAACTTACTTTTGTGTAGCACTTTCAAAGTTCTTTATCTCATTTAAAGCTGATAAAAATTATAGGAAATAGGTACTATTCTTCCCTTTTTATAAATAAAGAAATGGAGTTTCTATATGAAACTACAGTATATTAGTTTTTATTAAAAGTGATAGAAATCCAGGTTGAATGCTTAGGAAAAAAGGAGACTCATTGGCTCATGGAATCCAAGAAAAGGCTAAACAAGCTACGAGGTTGTGGTGGGGAGGAGGAAAAGTCCCAGAAGAAGGAGTAAGGGAGTTGCTGAGTAGACAGTTCCATAGATGTCTATTGGGTCCTAAACCCAGGCCTTCTGATTCTGTATGCTGTGCTTTCTATTACAATTCCATTACTACCATAACTAGAAACCTAATTTGTTTTCAATAGAAAAATCTTATTTTGACCTATACTGCGTATATCAGTGTTTGGTGAAACAGTGATATGTACTCTAAGAGAAGGAAACTAGGGGAGTGAGGAGATGTTACTTGAAAGATAATAAAGAATGTGCCAATCAAAAAGATGATTGATTAACTAAGAACGCAGAGAAAAAGGAAAATCAAAGAGGCAAATACTTCTTCTGGTCATCTAAATGCTGTCACTGTAAGAGTGAATTTAAGCCAACACACTGGTCCCTTTGACAAAGGCATCCCTAATACAGAAAGTTTTGTAGGGGTTATAGCTCACAGACTTAAAGTAAAGTACTCAGTTCTGTTGAAGAAGTTTCTTATTGTAAATCAGTAAATTAGCTAACTAAAAAGAGACAATGAAGTGATTAACATATTCAAATGTTGAGTTGGCTTTCTGATTTTACACATCAGCCTTATGAATTTGTTTAGGGTATGTAGATGCATTCTCAGCAGACTGGCAAATCCAGTTTCTGAGACTGCAGGGCTGGAGGCCAGATCCTGGATAGAAGTAAATGTAAAGGTAGAGAATTCCACTTGGAAAAGTCTCCCAGGAGACAGACTTGTCCCTTGCTGGCAGCTATCAACACTATTGTGTGATTGAGATGGAGTGTCAAGAATGAAAATGGGCATTATAGGTGGAGGAAGTAGAATGTTCAAAAGCTCAAAAGTAGGAAACTACAAGGATATATGGGAAAAAAACAAGCTGTTCAGTTTGGCTAAAGTAAAGAATAGTAAAGAGGAATGGTAAGAAGTGAATTAGCGATAGAGTTTGGAAGATGGTGGCATAGGAGGATCCTGAGCTCACCTCCTCCCATGGACACAACAAGCCTACCTTTACCTGTGGAACAATCTCCTCTGAGAGAGTTCTGGAAAGTGGATGAAAAGAACCTCCATAATAAGGGACAACACAGAGAGGGATAGAAGATGCAGAGATACAGTCCTGCCAAGGGAAAAACACACTTTAGCTGTGGCACTTCACAGGTGGGAGCTCTCTCAAAAGTACAGAGCTTTTTCCAGAGGGAGTGGTGGATTTGAGCTCCACATTAGGTATTCCAGTCCTTAGATCCAGCATAAGAGAGATGAGACCCCAAAATGCCTGGCTTTTAAAACCAATGGAGAAAAAGCCCAGGAAAACTACAGAACTTCAAGGAAAGGCAAACCAGCCCATGCACAGACTAGACCTGGAAACCAGCACAAAAATACCAGATAGCCCAGCCTATCCACATGCCCAAAGCAATAGCAGCCCCACCACAACAGAAAGGCACATGTAACCCACACAGGGACACCCCTGGAGCTTTTGGCATGAGTAATGAGAGGGGAGCATGCTGCTGAGCCACATAAGACATCTCCTAAATAAGGCCACATTTCTGAGATCAGGAAATGTAGCTTATCTCCCTAACACACGGAAAGAAGCACAGAGAATTTGGCAAAATGAGGAGACAAAGGGATATGTTCCAAATAAAAGAACAGGACAAATGCTCAGGAAAAGAACTAAACAAAACAGAGATAAACAATCTACCTGATAAAGAGTACAAAACTAACGGTCATAAGGATACTCACTGAACTCGGGAGAAGAATAGATGAACACAGCGAGAACTTCAACAAAGAATTAGAAAATATAAAAAAACAACCAACATGAGCTGAAGAATACAATAACTGAATTGAAAACTTCACTAGGGGGAACCAAGAGCAGAGCAGATGACACAAAAGAACAGATCAGCAATCTGGATGACAGAGTAGAAGAGATCACCCAAGCTGAACAGAAGAAAGAAAAAATTAAAAAGAACAAGGACAGTTTAAGGGACCTCTGGGACAACATCAAGTGTACTAACATTCACATTATAGGCGTCCCAGAAGGAGAAGTGAGAGACAAAGGCACAGAGAACTTATTTGAAGAAATAACAGCTGAAAACTTCCCTAACCTGGGGGAGGAAGCAGACATCTAGATTGAGGAAACACAGAGAAGACCAAACAAGAGGAACACAAAGAGATCTACTCCAAGACACATTATAATTAAAATTTCAAGAATTAAAGATAAAGAGAGAATCTTAAAAGCTGCGAGAGAAAAGCAATAAGTTATGTACAAGGGAAAGTCCATAAGGCTATCAGCTGATTTTTCAGAAGAAAATTTACAGTCTAGAAGGAGCGGCATGATATATTCAAAGTGCTGAAAGGAAAAAACCTGCAACCAGGAATACTCTACCCGGCAAGGTTATCATTCAGAATAGAAGGAGAGATAAAGAGTTTTCCAGATAAGCAAAAACTAAAGGAGTTCATCCCCCCAAATCGGCCTTACAAGAAATGTTAAAGGGATTTCTTTAAGTGGAAAAGAAAAGGCCACAAATAGAAATTAAAAAATTATCAAAGAAAAAAATATCGCTGAAAAAATATCAAAGAAAAATATATAGTAAAGGTAGTGGACCACCTGTCTATAACGTTAGCACGATGGTCAAAGGACAAAAGCACTAAAGTTACCTAGATTCCTACAATAAGAGGGTAAGGGATACACAAAATTATAAGAGGTAAAATATGATGTCAAAAAAATAAAATGGTGTGGGAGTAAAAGTGTGTAGGGCTTTTAGTATGAAGTCAAACTTAAGAGACCATCGACTTAACACAGATTGCTATACACCTAGGTTATTACATATGAACCTCATGGTAACCACAAAACAGAAACCTATAATAAATACACAAAAAAATAAAGAGAAAGGAACTCAAACATAACACTAAAGAAAATCAAATCACAAGGGAAGAGAGTAAGAGAAGAAGAAAGGAACAGAGAAGAACTACAAATCAACCATTAAAAAGTAACAAAATGGCCATAAGTACATACCTATCAATAATTACTTTAAATGTAAATGGACTAAATGCTCCAATCAAAAGACAAAGAGCAGCTGAATAGATTAAAAAACAAGACCCATATATATGCTGCATACAAGAGATACACTTGAAATCTAAAGACACATGTAGACTGAAAGTGAAGGAATGGAAAAAGATATTCCATGCAATTGGAAATGAAAAGAAAGCTGGGGTAGCAATACTTATATCAGACAAAATAGGCTTTAAAACAAAATCTGTAACAAGAGACAAAGAAGGGCACTGCATAATGATAAAGGGAACAATTCAACAAGAGGATATAATACTTGTGAATATCTATGTACCCTGTTAACACAGGAGCATCTATATACAGAAAGCAAATATTAACAGACATAAAAGGAGAAACTGACAGTAGCACAATAATACTAGGGGACTTTAACACCACACTCACACCAATGGATAGATCATTCAGACAGATGATCATTAAGGAAACACTGGCCTTAAATGACACATGAGACTAGACAGACTTAATAGATATATACAAAACATTCCATCCCTAAACTGCAGAATATACATTCTTTTCAAATGCGCATGGAACATTCCCCAGGACAGATCATGTATCAGGTCACAAAACAAGTCTCAATAAATTTAAAAAGAATGAAATAATAGCAAGCATCTTTTCTGACCACAATGGTATGAAAATAGAAATGAACTACAAGAATACTGGAAAAATCACAAATACATGGAGAGCAAACAAAATACTACTAAACAACTATTGGGTCAATGAAGAAATCAAAGGAGAAATTAAAAAAATACCTAGAGACAAATGAAAATAAAATATATGAAAATCTACGGGACACAGGAAAAGTGGTTAAGAGGGGAGTTTATAGCAATACAGGCCTACCTCAAAAAACAAGAAAAAAAAATCTCAAACAATCTTACATTACACCTAAAGGAACCAGAAAAAGAACAAAGTGCAAAATCAGTAGAAGGAAGGAAAGAATGAAAATCAAAGTGGAAATAAATGAAATAGAGACTAAAAAGACAATAGAGAAGATGAACGAAACTAAGAGCTAAAAAGGTAAACAAAATTGACAAATCCTTAGCTAGACTCACTAAGAAAAAAATAGAGAAGGCTCAAATAAATAAAATTAGAAAAAAAGAAAAGAAATTACAACAGATACCACAGAAATACAAAGAATTACAAGAGAATACTATGAAAAGCTATACACCAACAAATTTGGATAACTTAGAAGAAATGAATAAATTCTTAGAATTATACAACATTCCAAAACTGAATCAATACAAAATAATCTGAGTACACTCATCACTAGTAAGGAGATTGAAACAGTAATCAAAAACCTCCCAAAAAACAAAAGTGCAGGACCAGGTGGCTTTCCCACTAAATTCCACCAAACAGTCAAAGAAGACTTAATACTTATCCTTCTCAAACTCTTTGAGAAAACTGAAGAGGAGGGGATGCTTCCTAACTCATTTTAAGAGGCCAACATTACCCTGATACCAAACCAGACAAGAACAACACAAAAAAAGAAAATTACAGGGCAATATCACTGATGAACACAAATGCAAAAACTCTCAACAAAATGTTAGCAAATCGAATACAACAATACATTAAAAGGATCATATATCATAATCAAGTGGGATTTATCCCAGGGATGCCAGGATGGTTCAACATCCACAAATCAATTAACGTGACACACCACCTTAACAAAATGAAGAATAAAAATCACATCATCATCTCAAGAGATCAGAGAAAGCATTTGACAAGATTCAGCATCCAGGGGCCAGCCCGCTGGTGCAGCGGTTAAGTTCACATGTTCCACTTTGGCAGCCTGGGGTTCACCAGTCGATTCTGGGTGTGGACCTACATGCTGCTTGTCAAGCCATGCTGTGGCAGGCTTCCCATATATAAAGTAGAGGCAGATGGGCACGGAGGTTAGCTCAGGGCCAGTCTTCCTCAGAAAAAAAAAAAAGATGAGGATTGGTGGCAGATGTTAGCTCAGGGCTAATCTTCCTCAAAAAAAAAAAAAAAGATTCAGCACCCATTTATGATAAAAACTGTCAATACAATGAGTATAGAAGGAAAGTCCCTCAACATAATAAAGGCCACACATGACAAACCACAGTTAACATCATATTCACTTTTTTTGAAGAAGAAGATTAGCCCTGAGCTAACTGCTGCCAATCCTCTTTTTTTTTTTCTGAGGAAGACTGGCCCTGAACTAACATCCATGCCCATCTTCCTCTACTTTATGTATGGGATGCCTACCACAGCATGGCTTTTTGACAAGCAGGGTCATGTCCGCACCCGGGATCCGAACCCACGAACCCCAGGCCGCCAAGAAGCAGAACATGCGAACTTAACCACTGCGCTACCAGGCTGGCCCCTAACATCATATTCAATGGTGAAAAACTGAAAGCTATTCCTATAAGGACAGGAACAAGACAAGGATACTCACTTTTGCCACTCTTATTCAACATAGTATTGGAAGTCCTAGCCAGAACAATTAGGCAACAAAAAGAAATAAAAGGGATCCAAATTGGAAAGGAAGAAGTAAAACTGTCACTATTTGCAGATGACATGATTTTATATATCAAAAACCCTAAAGAATCCACCAAAAAACTATTAGAAATAATAAATTAATTCAGTAAAGTTGCAGGGTAGAAAATCAACATACAAAAATCAGTTGTGTTTCTATACACTAACAATGAAACAGCAGAAAGATAAACCAAGGATACAATCCCATTTACAATCCCAGAAATCACAACAAAAGGAATAAAATATCTAGGAATAAATTTAACCAAGGAGGTGAAAGACCTGTACACTGAAAACTATAAAACGTTGAAAGAAATCAAATAGAAAGAAATGGAAAGATATTCCAAGCTAACATGTGGAAGATAAAACAACAACAACAACAAACACATAGATATAGAGAATAGATTGGTGATTACCCGAGGGGGAAGGCGAGAGTGGGGGAGGGTGAAAGGGTAAAGGGCCACATTTGTACGGTGATGGATGGCAGACTTCTAGTGGTGAACACCATGTAGTCTGTACAGAAGTCAAAATATAATGATGTACACCTGAAATTTATATAACATTATAGACCAATGTTACCTCAATAATTAATAAACAAATAAAATTAGAAATGTAGGTTAGAATCTGTTAGGCTAGGATGTATAGATTTATTTTGCAATTTTTGCAGCTGCTAATGGTGCAATTTATCCATGGATAGATTCCTTTCTTTCCTTGCCTCTTAGTGTGTTAGGATCATGTGCTCAGTGATGGGAAGATGAAGGATTCAAAATACACATTTATCTACTTTGAGGGGGGCAGATTTTAAAGTGGTTGCATTATTATATCACAATTTATTTTAGGTACGATAGTACGAAAGTACAGTCAGTATATTTTTTAAATAGGCATTTCAACAGAGGTACATTTTAAGACGATAGAAACTTGATAGCACAAATGAACAAAATGAATACAGCCTCAGACTGGGGATAGAACAAAATTATTTTAAGCATTGTAAAAATAACTTTGATTTAGATTTGTAATCATAATCCTCTCCCCGCTCCTCAAACTCCACCCCATGCTCACATACACAAATCTTTATTCCCTCATAACTTTTCTGTCAGGTGCAGATGCAAGTTCAACCCCATATTAGCTATTAAGACCTCTTGTCTAGACTTCTTTACTGTCTCTAATTTTTCTCTATCATTCTATTTGCTTCTTCTTTTAGTGCAGGGGTTCTTATGGTGTGGGTCTCTGGACAGGGATCAGGGGTCTGTTGCGTGTTTGTTCTTTCATCCATTCTTAAAGGGATCCAAAATGCAAGAAAAGACAAACAACAAATACAGCAAGAGAGTGAAATCACCAAACCAGGGCTGGGGCAATTTGGAGAAATCATTCGACACTTCTAATAGCTGTACTACTCATTATAGTTTAAACAGCTCTCTTCTACCTCAATACCAAATGAACGGTAACACTGCACATCCATGGTTGGTAGAATTTTAGAAGGAAGGAAACTAAGTATTTAGAGAAACCATAAATCAAATAAATTTGTGCTTATAGTATAAAAGACTATGATGGATTATAAATACATTATTTATAAATATCTTGACTACCCATATAGATTAGTCATCTCTTAATATAAAAGTGATTACTTATCATATATAACAGTAGCTAACAAGAAATTTTAAATTAAGTATGGCATAAAATAAGGTACAGAAGTAAATGACAATGGCATACCTCCAAGCAAATTGTTTCAGGCCAACATATTAACTGAATATTGAAAATTTGCTGAAACATGACTTTAAAATCACACTGTAGGGAAGATACTGAAGTACGAGAAACCTGTTTATCGTTGTACCATATTTTAATAAAATATTTAAGCTTCTGAATTTTGGCTCTCCTCTTTTGTTCATGCCTAAAAATAAATAAACCTTTAAAGGACCCTTGAAAAGCAAAACGGATATAAAATACTGTTCTTTTCAAAACATACCTTAGCATCTTAAAATATGCTCTTTTTAGAGGTCAAATGGTATCTTTAAGCCCAATAACACGTCCCTATACGTGGATAAAAGCCTCTCCTACGCAGTCAAATGTTTTTAAAGAAAGATATTCACTCAAAAATGGAAAGAAACATAAAATCAAGGTACTATAAATCATTCAGCTATTTACTTTACTAAACTATAACTTAAAAAGATTACAGCACTTACCCATAATAAGATGTCTTACGAGAGGAGAAAACTGAGGGACTTAGGAATGGGAGTGGGGGAGCTTGAATCAAGAATTCAAAAATATTCTCTAACTTTTAAAAGACACACACATGCACACATACCATGTTTTCAATAACATCAAGGATGTCGCTCTAAGTCAATAGGATTACTGTGTCCCTTTAAAGGTCTTTGTAAATCCCTTTAGGCTTTAGGTTGTACACCCTTTTTCTCCAGGACATTCTTTCTCTGAACCCAAAGATCAGAGAGGCAAGCCAGAGGTTATTTTCCCTGGGGCTTCTAGGAAAACACTTGTTGGGGAATAAATGGATCCCTTGAGTGATGTGAAACTCCTAAAAAGAGTCTTCCATCCATTTACTCATTCGTTCATTCACTCAACCAACATTTAGTGAATATCTTCTGACTGCAAGGCAACTGACCTAATCATGTTTAAGACTTGATCCTCTTTTTCAGAAAGGAGAAGACTGGTTGGAAGATAATCCTTAGGTTGAAACATAAAATCTCCCTCTGTTCTCCATCCTAATCATCCTATGGGCCCAGGATCACCCTGCCCCCATATCAGCCCATCTTCTCTGTGAACTTCTCAGAGTGTTATGGGACACAAGATTATTTACTTTTCCTATCTTCCTGTTAGCCTCTTCTGACCACTCTCCCAATTACCGTTAGAGAAATAGTTTAGTAAAATTTGTCCTTTACGTTTCCCTTTGAAAGTAGTTTTGTTTTGGTTTTTTTGCAGAACTTCAGCCCTGAGCTAACATCTGCCAATTCTCCTCTTTTTGCTGAGGAAGACCAGCCCTGAGCCAACATCCGCGCCCATCCTCCTCCACCTTATAGGTGGGACGTCTGCCACAGCATGGCTTGATGAGCAGTGCCATGTCCACACCCGGGATCCAAACCAGCGGACACCAGGCTGCCAAAGCAGAACATGGGCACATAACCGCTGCGCCACCAGGCCAGCCCCTGAAAGCAGTTTTAATAATGAGCTCATGAACTGATTATGGAAATTCCTTAATTCAGGATTATATTTATCTTCAGGAAATCTTACCTTTTTCTTCACCTGTAAACTCTTTAATTCTTCTTTAATCCCTGTACTCCTTGATTTCTATCCTTGACATCAGTATATTATTCTCTTCCAGAGAATCAATTCTTATGCAATGGGACATTTCAAATGGATAATGACAGCAATGCCACAGAATAGCAACAATTTTGAAAAGATGTAAAGCATCATATTTCCGTTTGCCTTGAGTTCCACTAAGTTTTAGTCTAGCCTCTCCAGCACAAATGTTTTCCTCCTTCTCTTTCTCCTCTTTACTTCCAACTTCCATTTTATGGCTCCTGTTCTCTTGTCCTCATTTAGATGGTCCTTTTATTTTGAGGAAGATTAGCCCTGAGCTAACTACTGCCAACCCTCCTCTTTTTGCTGAAGAAGAGTGGCCCTGAGCTAACATCCGTGCCCATCTTCCTCTACTTTATATGTGGGATGCCTACCATAGCATGGCTTTTGCCAAGCGGTGCCATGTCCGCACCCAGTATCCGACCCAGCGAACCCCGGGCCACCAAGAAGCGGAATGTGTGCACTTAACCACTGCGCCACCGGGCCGGCCCCTAGATGGTCCTTTTTTAACGTGTGTCTTACATAATAAAGTATGTCGGCCCCTTTGTGGAAGTACGTGTAGAACAGGTAAAGCAGAGCTTCATTGCTGCACTTCTCTCGTCAGAGAGAGGGTAGTGATAATTGTGCTTTTGTGTCTGCTACTCTTTATGTTCATGTTAAAATTTAACCATCCATTCATTCATTTAGTGGATATGAATATTTATTAAGTACCCACTTCTAACACTGTGCTAAATGACGTACATTCACAGTACTCAAAGATGAATTGGTATGAAGTGTCTCATGGGAGAGAGATGTTGAAAAGTTGGACCTAGTTCAGTGCTCTAAGTTGCCATTTCTTCTTTAAGGGAGATGAGATCCACAGGCCTGGAGATGGCAGAAATGGGGATCTGTATGATATCTGTTTTTGCACAAATGTCCTGTGAGCAGGGAGAAAACATTACAACTCAAAGAAGTCACAACTGGGAAGGAAAGAAGTTTGTGTCGAAGTAAAAAATTGCCCAGAGGCCCCTCTCAATACAGAATACTTTCTATGAAAGAAAAGGGGTCCCTTAACAAGCAAGAGCAACTGCATTATCTTATTTTTTACAATGGCTTTATATCCCACCTATTGTTATACCTGAACAAAAATTCCTACCATAAAAAAACAAAAACCAATCATCAACCAAACTGGTTTATGTCCCACCTCAGTCATGAATTAGAAGGGTGACCCTGGGCAACTTAACTTTCCATAAGCTTAAAACTCCCATCTCTAAGTCTGAGGATAATACCATAGAGCTATTGTGGCAACTAAATGTGCACATGTATAAAAAAAACTTAGCAAAGTGCCCGGCATATGGTACTCACTCAAGAAATCTAACATTATTACTTAAAACAATCCAATTAAAAGACAATATATAATGAAGAAATAATCCTTTAAAAATGCTTACATCGAACACTTGGAAAAGTTTGTTAATTCTGCAGTGAAAGAAAGTTGTGGCATCAAGGTAATTGGCTTTCTTCTTTCAATATCTGTTTCTTCAAGTTCTGAAGCTAAATATGAGAGGCTCTAGAAACAAAAAAAATAAGTATATAATTTACAACGTAAGTTTATTGCTTAGGATAATTACCCTTAAAATTAAACTTCTATTTCTTACATTTGTCATTTTGTTGGGTAACTGTTACGAATACCAAAATTTCCTATTCTACCAAACAATTTAATATTATAACTAGTTAAGATAAGTTGAATTTTATTTTGCAATATAGATACCTCCTGCTTTTCCCCATTCTTGAAAACTTTTCCTTCCATTTTCTTCTCAGTCTTAGACATTCCTGACAGTTCTTCCTCATCACGTTTATTCATTCTTATCCTAATTAATAATAAATAGAGTTATTTAAAGCAGAAATAATGGAAGTATTTGAGAGTTACTAGAGGTCTTGCCAAAACACACACACGCACACACACATACACACACACATACACACAAACATGTAATCTCTTACAACAAATAATTTTACATCTCAAGGAAATTATCAATATGATAAACTTACATATATATTTTTAAAAACTTCATAAGTTTGTTCTCAGTTTTCACAGATTTCTCCCTACCCAGCAAATTTACCATTAGTGTTTATAGCCCTTTTTAAAGCCATCAAGTAACATTTTCTCTGGTGAGAATAAGTAACCAAGGGGGAAGGAAGATATAAAATTAAGGACACACACCATGTTTCCTCTCATTTTTCTTCCTCCCATGATTTTTATGCTGTGAGAACATGCCATGTATAAGGGCAGGTGACCACGGTGCTATTAAGTGGTAAATCCCAGTTATACTCCTTGGTATTTATGCATAAACAGTAAGCAGTTCAGACATTACTATACTACTGCTAGATACTAGGTAACTCCTATATAGTACTTACTAAGTACATGCCAGGCAATGTTCTGAATACTCTACACATATTAATTCATTTAATACTCACAACAACCCTATGAAGTAGGTATTATTATTATTCCTCTTTTGTTAGTAGTCCAGCAAAATCCCAGTTACCTGGAACACCTTCAGAAAATAATTGATCTGGGACGACTTTTCCTGATAGCTCAGGGCTTTATTCTTTTCAGTAAAAAAAATTTGTTTTTTAATTTTAATGTTTTAAAAAGGAGATTCTTTGATAAAATATCATATGCTCTGTTGGGAATATAAAATGGTGCAGCTGCTTTGGAAAACAGCCTAACAGTTCCTCAAAATGTTAAGCCTAGATGTGCCATATGACCCAGCAATTCCGTTCCTAGGTATACACCCTAAAGAAATAAAAACATACGTCCACACATGTGAGAGGTGACGACTAGAATGTAATAAAATGTTAAATTGTGGTGATGGTTACACAACTCTGTGAATATACTAACAACCATCGAACTGTACACTTTAAATGGGTCAACTGTACGGTATGTGAATTCTATCTCATTAAAGCTATTTTAAGAATATCATATGTTTTTTGTCTTCTGAAATAAAATACAGGGAATCTAGTGTAGATATTACACACCTTATGGGCTTGAGATCAGACTACCTGTGTTGAAAACCCAGACCCAATACTGGTCAAATTCAATATGCACAAAACAAAAATACGTGAGGAAAAGGTAATGTAAGCTCTAGGTCCCAGGCTTTCTTGGCATAAGTACTGTCTTCCCTGTAAGTCTGGCTATAGGCTTATTCAGTTAGGGTTCACAAGACGAAGGCTTGTGGTGAAGTCACTAGTGGTTAACTTGACCACGAAACAGAGTTCCCAGGAGCATCTTCAAACATACAGCTTTTCTAGTTGATCAGAACGATACTTTAACTGCTCAAACTAAATGCCCCAATTTAAGGTAGCTGGGGCTAGCCCTGCTGGGGCCAACCTTGTCACTGTCGCTGTGGGATTTAGTTCAGAAGTCCTCTACCAGAAGTAAACTGGAGACACAAACCCAAGCCAAAGTCCACTGGGAAGGTCGAATGTTAAATCTAAGGATGAACAAATGCAAAGGGCCTCACACGAGATTAGAGTACATAGTAGTGAGAAAAAGAGTAGGTGACAAGCAGGCAATATTGGCCCAGAGCTGGTGTTCTGAGGAAGCTTACGGCATCTGTGGCTCTCCTTTTCTGAGGAGAGGTTCTTAACGCATGGGTGTATTGACTGGTTTAAAGGATTAAAGGCAAGACAGAAAGTTTACATGAACTTAGGTGTCTAAGATAAACAAAGTTCCACGCTGGGTTAGGTTTAGAAACTGTCAGAAGGACTTTCTAAACCATTGCAGCAGGAAAAAAATCAAAAGTTAAATATCTTTCTTAATTGCCTGAAATTACACTCATCTTTTACAGTTTTGAAAAACAAAGACCCAGGATAATGGGTTGTGGGGAAGGAACCAGTTATTTCACTGTGAGTTCACAAACAGCTTACATGATTAAGCATAGTTTTTAATCGTAACTATCTCCTCCACTAGACAAGTTTTTATGACTTACACGTTTTACCTAGGAGTATGATTTCTAGGTCTACGTTTAACTTTATAAGAAAGTGCCAAACTGTTTCCAAAGTGGCTTTCCCATGTTGCACTCCCACCAGCAATGAGAGTTCTTATTGATCAGCATCCTTGCCAGCATTTGTTATTGTCTTTGTTTTCTTTCTTGTTTTGTTTTGGATGTTAGCCATTCTAATAGGTGTGTAGTATATCCCATTGTGGTTTTAATTTACATTTATCTATTGACATGACATGATGTTGAGCATCTTTTCATGTGTTCATTTGCCATTCTTCTTTGGCGAAGTGTCTGTTCAAATCTTTTGCCTAGTTTTTAATCGAGTTGTCTTATTAATTTGTAAGAATTGTTTATATATTCAAGATACAAGTCTTTTGTTGACTACATCAAATAGTAGTCTAGCTTCTGGATTTTCTCCCAGTTACTGTGAATTCCCAGTGATTCATGGGTAGTTCCTCAGCAGACCTATAAGAACAAATAGAGAGCCACTCACCTCTGAAACTGTAACTTTATTGGGGTGCTTGTAAACCCTTGCCGTTGTCGAAGGGATTTTATCTGTTTCCAAGTCCGTAACATACTGTGCAGTAGAGAGAAGTCCTTTTCCCTTTCTAAGTCATAGAGCTGTTTTGTATTACTACAATAATTATGGTAGATCAAAAAGATGTTGATGGATTAGCACTACAAGTCATTAAAAATGGCCTGGAAGAATGTATTCCACTAAATCTGCTGGACTTCCCATCTTACGATTTTTTTTCATTTTACCCACATCTTGATATAGAGACTGAAATTCCATTTAGAGATTCACTCTTATATAACTTACAGATTTTTCACTATTCAAAAGTGCTCTGCTAAAATCTATATATTTCCAGGTTTTCTGGACATTCTGTGGTGCACTTATTATACTTTTTTCAGATTAGAAACCATTGCTTAGAACCATTAGAACCATTGCTTCAAATTTAGAGGTACTTTGCCTGATGGGTAGTGTGAGCATATTATTTGTATTTTGAAGTAATGTACTGCTTAAAAAGATGCTTATTGTATTTCATGACGTTGCAAACAAATTATTAGTGTGATACATTACACTGATTGATTTTCTAATGTTAAATCATCCTAGCATTCCTGGAATCATCTCAACTTAGCTATATATATATACATATATATACACACACACACACATATATACGAATATATGTGAATTAACCCACATCATTTTGATGTGGCCCTCTTCATCTCCAGTAAAGCTTTTTGCCTTAAATATTTATTTTATCTTACATTAACATAGCTATGCCAGCTTTATTTTGTTAGAGTTTGTGTGGCATATTTTTTTCACTATTTTTATTCTCTATCTTTCTATATCCTTATGTTCTAGATAAGTCCCTTGTAAATAACATATAATTGGATTTTGTTTTTTTAATTTTAATCCAGTCTATCAATCTAGATAAAAATGGAGCACTTAATCCATTTAGATACATTTAGGTTTAACTCCACCATTTTCTTTTATGCTTTCTACCTGTCACATCTGTTTCTATGTTCCTTTTTCTCTCTTTTCTTGCCTTCTTTTAGACTGGTTGAGTATTTTCTTACTATGCCATTTTCCTCTTCTATTGATTTGGAAACTATATCTTTTTATTCTTTTCCTTTAGAGGTTATAAGGTAAAATCTAAGTCCTTGATTTATCAAAGTCTAACATTAAGCTCTACCTTTACTTTCCTCCCAGTCAATGCAGGTATCTTTAATTACATTTACCTCCTCCATTGTTCACTCCACTCTAGAAGCTTTATATTTTAACTCTCTCTATATTTTTATACCCCAGAAGACATCATTATATCATTGCTCATTAAGAATTATCCACATATTTACTACTTTCTTTGCTCATCAATCCTTCCTGACTTATTTCTGTTTGTAAACTCATGTTCCTTAGAATTTCACATCTTTGGAATATCTCTGAGCTAGGGTTAAAGTTGTGTTCTTCCAGAAAGACTACTTATTGGCTTTGCCAATTGTCTGGTGTCACTACCAACCTGGGGCTATTTTAAGTTAAATTCTAAATCTGAGATTTTAGACCACATAAGTAGTGTAAATTCAGGTCATAAATCTGCATGATTGTGGGCTTGTGATTATGACTTTTCAAAGGAGTATTTTTCCCCTCCTGCCTAGAGTAAAGGTCAAAGACAAGTTCATTTGTTATCCCCTTTACATTCTTCCTTTCATGAGGTTTAACACCCATTATATAGTGATTTCCTATTAGACTTTCCAATTAAGTTAAACTTGGCTTTATCTTCTGTCTCTGGCACTCCATGAAGTCATTTGAATGTTAGCTCCGGATTACTAGTGCTTAACAAATATCCTCAATGTAAAATCTTTAATTTTTAGGATTTCTCCTTTCACTTTGTTTTTGGCTTTTGCAGATTCCTTACCTTCTTGCCATTTCAGCAATATGTCTCTAAAGATAATATTTGTCTTTTACCAGACATTTTTAGTTGTTTTCACTAGAAGGGTCATTCAAGAAATCTAGTCTACCATACTGCTAGAAATAGAAGCCTATTGCCATTCATTTATTTAGTAAGTATTTATTGGGTGCTTACTACTTGCCAGGCACTGTGCTGGCTAAGAGGGGATAAAAAGATAAAAAGACATGCTCTCTGGGTTCAAGAAGCTTACAGACACGTAAATTAATCAATGCAATAAAATGTCATACGTGTTATGATAGAAGCACACGCAAGCTAGAGTGTGGGCATAAATAAGACAATGGCAGACAATAGTAAGGAAAGACTTCATGGAGTATGCGACACTCGATTCAAATCAATAAATACATAACAGATATCTATTATGTTGGAGGAAGTATTTTAGGTGCTGGTAACTAACATCCCAGCAGGGAAAAAGACAGAACAAGTAATTACAAGTGTGATGAATATTATGAAAGGGCAAATACATAAGTGCTATGTGAGTATACAAAGAAAGAAAATTTAATCTAACCTAATGGGCAAGTAAGAGCCTCCCTGAGAAAGTAACATGGAATTAAATAAAATGTGTATGTTGACTAGGTGTTAGGCAGAAAACAATAAAATAACGTTGTAGAAACAAGAGGCATTAAAACAAAGATATACAGATATTAGAAAGCATAGCCCAGGGGCCGACCCGGTGGCGCAGTGGTTAAGTGCGCACGTTCCACTTCGGCGGCCCGGCGTTTGCCGGTTCGGATCCCGGGTGCAGACATGGCGCTGCTTGGCAAGCCATGCTGTGGTAGGCATCCCACATATAAAGTAGAGCAAGATGGGCACAGATGTTAGCTCAGGGCCAGTCTTCCTCAGCAAAAAGAGGAGGATTGGCAGCAGATATTAGCTCAGGGCTAATCTTCTTAAAAAAAAACCCAAAAAAACAAAAACAAAAAAACCCAGAAAGCATAGCCCATTTAAGGCCCTGGACTATAAATTTCCAAGGCAGAGAGCTCCTAACATGAGGCTGGAGAGGTAAGCAGGAGTAAGGTTATGCAGTGCCTTATAGATCAGGCTAAAGCTACTGAATGTTATCTTGAAGGTAATAGGAAGCCACTAATATGGTTTTACCTATTTAGAAAAAATCACTCTGGTTTCAATATGCAGCTTGGGTTAAAGGGAGGTATTTTAGGAGATTATTTGAGTAGTCAGGCTATGGGATAAAGACCTGAAATAAAACAGACTCAGTAGGAACAGTTATGGTTGGATGTGAGGGATGAAAAGAGAGGTAAAGAGAGGGGTCACGAATGACTTGTAGATTTCTTTCCTGGATCAGGTGATTGTGGGTACTCGGTACCTACTAGACAGTTGTTAAAGGTTAAATACATATGTGCCATTCTTAGTTAATTGTATTTCATGTGCATATCTTTTCTAGTAGAAATGGTTTTCAAATGTCCACAAACTACCCTGTGCAGCATTTCAACACCACTCCCCAAATTTTCCTGAATGGAAATCTATTACACTGCCTTTTCTCTGCTTTAATAAAAGCAATAACCACCTCAGTGATCCTCCCATACACATACACACAGACACACACACACATAGTAGTTGCCTCTATTCACCACCATTGGACCCCATCTAAAGCCCACTTTTCTTTTTCCTGCATTAAAGTTTATTCGCTCGATGTTCATTATACCAATGACTGTTCTTTGCCTTAAGTTATAGTTAATCTTATAAATAGTACTAATTTATCATTCTGTAAACACTGATAACTTCTATTCATTCATTCATTCAACTAATATTTATTGAGTACTCAACTATGCACCAGGCCTTGTGCAAGGCACACGTCAACTTTCTCAAATAATATTGTTTGCCCTTAACTAGGTTATTCTAGGAAACCAGTTATTTAAATCAACTGATACCCCTAGTGATTAAAAGTTTGTAGAACCATGTCAAGTCAATGGGTAGGGAGTCAGGGAAATTCTTTAACTATCAAATCACTCTCATTTACAGACAATTGTTATATCTTTGTGCATAGCTGAACTTTCTGCCCAATAATTACCTCTGAGTGAGTTTTCCTATGTTTGGAGATTCCTTGACACATAAATATGTTTTATCTTGGAATTATTTTTCCAGTTATTTCATACTTTCCTAACTTCTCTTCCCAATTAGTCTACAAGCCAATGGTTCCCAACTTGTAGACTATGTTTTTGTTCTTTTAAAGATTTTATTTTTCCTTCTCCCCAAAGCCCCCCAGTAAAGAGTTGTATATTTTAGTTGTGTATCCTTCTAGTTGTGGTATGTGGGATGGCACCTCAGCATGGTTTGATGAGCAGTGCCAATGTCTGCACCAAGGATCTGAACCGCAAAACCCTGGGCCACTGAAGCGGAGTGCACAAAGTTAACCACTCAGCCATGGGCCGGTCCTAGACTATGTTTTTTTTACAGCTGTCCTTAAATCTATATGCCCTTCAAGTATTGTCTGTAGTCTGAATTAATAACATATCTTGCACATATGTGTTTGTAGACTTTCAAATATATACAAACAGTTGACAATAATATAATGCAAGTCAATTAAAAAGTATTAAACTCATTTTTAATTGTTTTTTAAAAATCAATGGATATTAGGGGCTGGCCCCGTGGCCGAGTGGTTAAGTTCGTGCGCTCCGCTGCAGGCGGCCCAGTGTTTCGTTAGTTCGAATCCTGGGCGCGGACATGGCACTGCTCATCAAACCACGCTGAGGCAGCGTCCCACATGCCACAACTAGAAGGACCCACAACGAAGAATACACAACTATGTACCGGGGGGCTTTGGGGAGAAAAAGGAAAAAATAAAATCTTTAAAAAAAAAAAAAAATCAATGGATATTAAAACTACAACTACTTTCATGTTACACTTCTGTGAAATATTTTTACACAATGATAGGTCTTTTCGAAAGGCTGGAACCATTTCTGCAATTGCCTAAAGAGTAAGGATATTGTCATTTTCTTTTTTTTTTTTTGAGGAAGATTAGCTCTGAGGTAACTACTGCCAATCCTCCTCTTTTTGCTGAGGAAGACTGGCCCTGAGCTAACATCCGTGCCCATCTTCCTCTACTTTATATGTGGGATGCCTACCACAGCATGGCTTGCCAAGCGGTGCCATGTCTGCACCCAGGATCCGAACTGGCGAACCCCGGGCCATCAAAGCGGAACATGCGAACTTAACCACTGCACCACAAGGCCAGCCTGTCATATTCTTATTTTGTATCTTCCATAGCAAGTGCAGTACTCTGTCTACAGAAGTTACTTAATACGTGCTTGACAAATACATGAATGGCCCCAAACCTACCTTATCTGCCAATAATAATCTTGTAAAGACTTTCTGGTCAGCTGGCTTATTTCCAAATTTTCATTTGCTAATTTGGTAGCATTTGTCAGTGCTTTAAGCTACAACAAAGAAAAGAGTGTTTTTGTACACACAGTGGAATACTACTCAGCCATAAGAAATGATGAAATCCGGCCACTTGTGACAACATGGATGGACCATGAGGGTCCATTATTATGTTAAGTGAAATAAGTCAGAGGGAGAAAGTCAAATACCATATGATCTCACTCATAAGTACAAGATAAAAACAACAACAAACAAACATATAGAAACAGAGATTGGACCAGTGGTTACCAGAGGGGAAGGGGGAGGGAGGAAAGTGAAAGGGGTGATTAGGCACATGTGTGTGGTGATGGATGGTAACTAATCTTTGGGTGGTGAACATGATGTAATCTACACAGAAATTGAAATATATAATGATGCACACCTGAAATTTATATAATATTATAAAGCAGTATTACTACAATAAAAAAATGAGCTTTTTTGGTACATTTCATCTACCTGTTACCATCAGTCCGATTCATCTGCAGACTAGGTGTGTGCAGCAGAAGCACAAGTGTATAAATTTTGCGTATTACTGTCTTGTCTTCCAAACTATATTTCATATAAGCACCTTGGGGCAGAATTGAGAAGAACCTCAATATCCATCTAAGAAATAAACATTATACATTGAATCTTCTAGGTAATCAATTCATCAATTAATATAAACAAATGCCAATCAATAAAGATGGCAGACTGAGCACAGGACTCCACCTTATTTTCTACCTAAAATCTTATGGTTACAGAAAAGATAGTCTGTCTTTATCTATATCCATTGCCGTTGTCACATCCATATCTATATATACATATTTATAACTATATCTAGATCTGTATCTCTCTATAAAAGAATAAATGCATAATATCATAGGAAAACAAGAAAAAATAAAATGAAAAGAACGAAATATACCTAGGAAAGTATAAAACAGAGAGAAATATCCACAGAGAATATCCATAGAGAAATAAAACTAGAGGAAACTATACCCTAAAACATGTGCAGGAGAAATCTGTCACAGTTAGTGTCAGTTTGTGGCAACTCCAGGACTAAAGCCAATTCATGTAAACTTTTACTGGAAGACATAAGAGAATCAATAAATGGGAAGACACTATATTCCTGGATGAAGAAACCCAATTTTTTTTTTTTTTTTGAGGAAGATTAGCTCTGAGCTAACTACTGCCAATCCTCCTTTTTGCTGAGGAAGACTGGCCCTGAGCTAACATCCATGCCCATCTTCCTGTACTTTTTATATGTGAGACACCTACCACAGCATGGCTTTTGCCAAGCGGTGCCATGTCCGCACCCAGGATCTGAACTGGCGAACCCCAGGCTGCTGAGAATCGGAACGTGCGAACTTCACAGCTGCGCCACCAGGCCGGCCCCGAAACCCAATTTTTATAAAGATAAAATTTCTTTCAAAATTGATATAATGCAATCACAACAAAAATGGTAATAGAATTTTTAAAATAGAAGTTGACAAACTAATTATAAGGTTCGTATGGAAGATCAAATCTATAAGAGTATCCAAAAATATTCTAGAAAAATACAATGAGGAGGCACTTGTCCTACTACATCATAATTTAATAATTAAATATAGTAATTAAAACAGGGTAGGACTAGATCAATATAAAGTGGAATACATAATCCTTAAACACATCTATGTAAATATGTGAAGCTGGTTTAAGATAAAGGCAGAATTTTAAATCGGTAGAACAATTATGGTGTTTGGATATGAAGCTAACTTTTGGGGAGGAATGAAACTGAGTTGGAGCCTAAGCTTAAAAGACACAGATATAAACTCTAGATAGAAGAAAAGGCTAGAAATTACACACACACACAAACACACATAGACACACATATATTATTAGAATATATAGAAATATATCTTTATAATTTTGACTTGTCAGACACTATTGGTTGCCCTCAAATGATCATTTCTCTTGGTTGACAGAACCTAATCTTGTTCAATTGCTCAATCTTCTTCCACGTGCTTCAGAGGTAAACCCCGATTAGTCTAGACATTTGTAGCAATTTCATTCTTCTTTCCAGTGACTGGTTTAGGCATGATCATGTGATATAGTTCTAGTCAATGAGACATGAGGGGAAATCTGCTGAGGTGTGGGGGAGAGGTTGGAGAGGGCTCTCAAACTAAGATGCTATGCTGCATATTGTGTATGTGGCCAGCATGCCTTGAACTGGAGCAGCCACTCTGTAAGTTCCCATGAGAGGAGCTAACCAAGTCAACTTGCTGAAGACGAAGATTAGAAAGAGACAAAAAAGCTAGTGTTGTTAATGATAGTAAGTCATCAAATAAACAACTCTAGAGCTGCCCTAACTTGGAACTTTTGATATAGCAAGTAATATCTTTTCCTCATTGTTTAAAGCAATTGAAAGAGAGTTTTCTGTGAATTGCAACCAAAGGCATGCTGATTAATACACTTGGGGTAGAGAAGGTCTTAGGAAGCTTCGGAAGCAAACAACAAAACCTAAAATCCACAGGTAAAAAGAGTAACAGATTTGACCTCATAAAATATTTTCCAAGAGATATGAAAAATAAGTGAAAAAGCAAGTAACAGAATAGAACAAAAATATATAAAACATATTCAAAAGATACACAGCCATAAGCTGCATAATGACGTTTCTGTCAATGATGGGTCACACATACGACGGTGGTCCCATGAGATTAGAACCATACAGTCTAGGTGTGTAGTAGGCTATACTATCTAGGTTTGTGTAAGTTCACTGTATGATGTTCACACAACAACAAAACCGCATAACAACACATTTCTCAGAACATATCCCCATCATTAAGCGACTCATGACTGTACATCTTTTATAGACTTACATCCAGAATATACATTTATATATATTTTAAACTTACAGAGTAATTAGTTAAAGATATACAAAGCAACAGAAAAATGGGCAAATAATATCAACTACTTGGTAAGGACTCTGGGAAGTGGGCTCTGTCCTATACTGCCAGTGGAAATTCAAATTGGAAAAACTATTTTGGAAAGGCAATTCATCACTATCTAATAAAATTTAAACTTCATGAGCCCATACCCTTGACCAAGCAATTTCATTTCTAGGAATCTAGCCTCACAAATTTTCATATGCATGCTCAAATATATAGATACAAGGATGTTCACTGCTTTATTATTTGCAATCAAAAAAAAGTAGAAATGAGGGGCCCCCCCATGGCCTAGTGGTTAAGTTTGGCATGCTCTGCTTCAGTGGCCCAGGTTTAGTTCCCAGGTGCAGACCTACACCACTTGTCAGCAGCCATGTTGTGGCAGTGACCCACATACAAAATAGAGGAAGACTGGCACAGATGTTAGCTCAGGGCTAACCTTCCTCAGTTAAAAAAAAAAAAAAAGGAAATGACCGAAGTGTCATGAATGGGGCGTGGTTAAACACCTTAATTTCCGATTTGGTTCCTCTATTCATGGAAACAATGGCCATATTATACTAAAAGTCCAAATATTCCATATCTGTTTTAGGAAATATTCTGACATTATTAATGCATGGACTTCATTTATTAAGTTCTCCCACACAATTGCTACATGAAAATTCAATCAAGTGAATTAAGGTCTTTGAATACCACTGATTAGTAAACCATTTGTAAGAGCGAAATATTCTGCAGGATGTTTGAGGTTGCCTCCCTGGCCAATGAACTCCTACAGTTTCTTTTCAGAAAAACTGAAAGCAACCATTGTTCTAACTAGCTAAATATTTAAAGTGCTAAGGGAAAATGTTCCATGATAATTTGCCCTGTGTTAAGAAGTTTGTTTTCTCTTTAAATATTAAAGGTTCAGCTCCATAAATATAGTGAAAGCCATTCTCACCTTCTCAGAAAGCAGCTGAGGTAAATTCTGTTGCTGCCTGTCCTGGAAGCACTCATAAAGTTGGAGCAGCCTAGCACATAATACTTGTTCCTGATTGAAGAGAGGATGATGGCTGAACTGCAAACCCACAATGTTGAGATCTAATTGACAGAATTCCCTTTGACCTTCCATTTTGTTCCTAATAGAGCTTTCTAGATCAGATTTCACTGCCTTTTAAGGAAAAATATGTACACAATGTTAACTTGATTCTATTTCTTTTGAAATTATAAGTAACTCCTTATAAAAGTAACATGTTAATTACAAGAAAATTAAGAGATACAGAAAAGTAAAAAACAATAATTTGACCCTTCTTCCTTGAAATCGATTATGGCCCTTGGTTTCATAAAATATATTTATATTACAGCATTTTAATCATTTTGCTATAAATTATTGTCATCCACTTTACTATTGCATGCTAGTAGAAGTTAGATTTTCAAGTTATAAACCTCAAAATAATTTCTTATAAAAATACTATGACAAATGGTGTTTAGAACTCTTGGGTGAATAGTTCGACTACAAGATGATCTAAGTCATCTGGGGGCCAGAGTTAAATGGCAAACCCTTATTAAAACATTGTTCCTAGGAGAATATGTTGATAACCCTCTGGAAAATTCCCTGGAGGGGTTTGGACCCTCTAAGCAAATGCTAACTTATTAGGAGATCATCTTTCCTTATAGGTGAGACTATCTCCATTTGGACGCCAGATGAGATGAAATCTGTAGACTTCAGATTACATACAAAATGATTCAACTATGTTTTAGTACTCTACTTTGAATTTAAGCACATATGTTTGAATACGCAGGTGATCGGTTTTTAGTAATATAATTTGAGAGGGTTAGTGGATTACTTAGCATGTACAGCCTAATTCATGATTGCCTAGCCACTCTTGATAAGAGCCCATGACTGCATCCTCCTAAAAAGGGCAGCGTGAACCCTCTCTCTGGATCACTCTAGTGTAATAGAACACGCCCTCCAGTCTGTGCCATTGCTATTACACTGAAAAAACTGCTGTCCTACCTCTGACCTGGTGTGGCAGATCCAAGGCTTCTCAAGGACTGTAGGTCACCAGGATGATGCCTACATCTCACCCTCTCTACCCTTTCCTGAACTAGGAATCTTCTTCTTTTTCCTCATTGGGTTGAGAGGAGGCCAGGGAACAGCCATGAAGCTTCTTTTTGTTTTATCCTTATCTTGTAAGTCTCTATTTTCTATGTGAGGGCCACCTCAAGAGGAGGACCCTGCTTCCACCTTGATTCCACCTATAATATCTGGTTAATCAGTAGTAAACTGGTGATCAACCAGGCAAAACTAGGAAGGAAATAGACAGTTTCAGTTTTAAACAACCAAATTATAAGTGAACTTTTGGAAATTAAAGTTGCTAAGCTAGAGATGCCTGTCTTGTTAAGCAGATTCAGCAACTGCGTTGGTTACTTGCTTTGGGTTTCTATTGGAACCACACGAGCCTCTGCCCTTGGCTCTGTCCAATTCAGTACCTGATGACTGTGGTGCTCAGGAGCCAGAGGAGGGTAACTGAGGCGGTGGAATATCCAACAACAGTCAAAGGAAGTGAGTGTAGACCGGAGAGCAAAAGCTAAAAGTGGAAGTGACCACAGGCTTCAAATATTTGAAGAGCTGTCACATAGGTGAAGTACTTTATGAGTTTTTTAATGTTTAAATGAATATTAGTCATCTAGGAGGCAGATTTTAATTCAACACAGAAAACAATAAACAATTAGAACTGGCTAACACTGAATGAATTCTCTCAGGAGGTGGTAAGTCCTTGACTTAGGTTATAAGTAATCCTTGACATAGGTTATAAGCAGCAGTTGATTGCGGGGATTAAGTGAACTTCTAGAACTAGATAAGTGTGTTAGACCAAAAGCACAAAGACCCAGGCAACAATGAATCAAAGCCCAGAAAAAAGCACAAAAACATCCAAGCTGATAAAATCTAGGTAAATATATAAGAGGAGTCCTAGAGGAGGAAGTATAGCAAAGGGCATAGTCAAATGGTCAGGCAACACCAGTCAGCAAACAACAAGCAAAAGAGACCTGGGGTAGCAGAGGTAAAACAGGGTATCACAGTACCTGGCAGGGGCAAAAGCAAAGACAGGACTTTGATACTTAGGCAGCTATTGTCTCTGCTTCAGTTGCCTTATATTTCTTTTACTCTGGTGAGAAACCCCAGATGAGCCTTGCCTCCAAGGCTAGCTGGGCAGAGTAAAAAGTGTGGAGAAGATTAGAAGAGAACGGTAGGCAGAGGCATTTATCTGACACAAATTCCAGAACATTACCTATTAAGAATTCTACAGGATGAATTTTAATACTCAGTTTAGATGTTTGGTGAAGTGACATTTACATTTATTCCCAACTCTAAGAGTCCATAGAATACTAAAATTGCGCTTGGATGAAGCTAGAAAAGACACACTGAAGGAAAAAGTCACTTGGTTAGCCCAGTAGTTTCCAACTCGGGACTCTGGATGATTATAAAGGTTAACCTGGAATGGTGGTTAATATTTCTCCAAAACTTGTATATTTTGCATTTACTTGTTATCAACTTTCTGTTCATTCACTCGTTCATTCATTCATTCAACAAACTGCCTTGTTTCAAGGACCTCTCTTGCCAAGAGCAATGGTCTCAGATAATTATGTTAAAATATCTGTGTGCTCAGGGCTGGCCCCATGGCTGAGTGGTTAAGTTCGCGTGCTCCGCTGCAGGTGGCCCAGTGTTTTGTTGGTTCGAATCCTGGGCATGGACATGGCACTGCTCATCAAGCCACGCTGAGGCAGCGTCCCACATGTCACAACTAGAAGGACCCACAACGAAGAATATACAACTATGTCCCAGGGGGTTTTGGGGAGAAAAAGGAAAAAAATAAAATCTTAAAAAAAAAAAACTGTGTGCTATTGTCTTAAGCAAAATTTACAAAAAAGCAAAAAAAACCCACCATTGTCACCATAAAGTGTAAAAGTTATGCCATGTAACAGGAAAGAACAAGAAGATAAGTACCAGAGATTTTCCCTCCTTCTTCTTTTATTCTTTTATTATTATTTTTTTATTTTGTCCACTTATTTCCACTTTGTATCAACTTACAGCCTTATTTCCCATATATAGAATGGTTAAGGGAAGTGAATGGGCAATTAAGTTTTTGTACATAGCTCTGATTTAAAGTTTTTCAAGACAATTTTATAATATAACTATTTCTGTCTAAATATTTCGTCTCATTAGGTTAATGGACTACTAATTTTCATAATGTCTTTTAGAATACATGAAAAATTTGTTTCTTTGATTATAAGTATAATATACATTCATTTTTGAAATTTAGAAAGTAGACAAGAATATAAATAAAATAAAAATACTTCTATGTCTTACTATCCAGAGATAATTACTAACTTTGATATATTTTTCAGTGTTTTTATCTATACACACATATATGTATGTACTTATCCATTTATTGATAAATTCATTCATTCACTATCTATTTTTATAAATTAGCATCATATATAATTTTAAGTTCTGCTTTTTTTACCTCACATTTTATTTTGAGCACTTCCTCATATCATTAAATATTCCTCAAAAACATAATTTTAATCGCTATTTAACATTTCATCACAGTTTTGCCATTACTAGACTTACTAATATCATTAAAGAGTGAATTACCACAAAAACATGTTATAATTGATATTACAAGAATTCTAACCATAATTACAAATCAACTGCTGATGGTTACCTTCTTATATATGGTCTTCAGTGCTGGATTGAAAGTTTCCTTGCTTAAGTTGACTCTAAAATTCCATGACTGTCTAATAGGCGACGGTAATGACATTATCTCTCCACTTTCTTCAAACCAACACTTTCCCTATCAAAAATATTTAAGAAATATATTAAATATTTTACTAAAAACAAATGTCACATACTATCAGTGAGTAGTTTAACTTGGTGCACTTACCTCTTCTAGTTTAAGCAGACGATTTTCCATTTTGTTGCAGGTCTTTTTATATATTTCTGGCTTTCTCTGAATATAGAATCCTTCATCTTCCAAAATGCGTGGCATCATATCTTTTGGCAGTTTACGCTGGTTGACCACTTAATAACAAAACTAGATATTACTTTAAAGTCCAAAATATTGGGCCAGCCCTGTGCCATAGTTTAAGTTCAGTGTGCTCCACTTTGGCTGCCTGGGTTGGCAGGTTTGGATCCTGGGCATGGACCCAGACCACTCATCAGCCACGCCGTGGCAGCAACCCACATGCAAAATAGAAGAAGACTGGCACAGATGTTAGCTCAGGACTAATGTTCCTCAAGTCGGGGCGGGGGGGCGGGGGAAGAGGAGGATTGGCAACAGATATTAGCTCAGGGCAAATCTTCCTTAGCAAAAAAACCAAGAAAAGTCCAAAATATTAAACTGTATTGACCAAACAAGAAGCAAAAGGGAATTATCACTAAATAATTTTAAAGTCTAGAAGAAAAAAAAATATATATGCAATGAATGAGTTCTTTTAACCAATTCCCTTAAACTTAGAGAAGGCATGAAGAACAAATGTAGAAATCTTTCTATAATTTTATATCAGTACTCTTTATCTATCCAGCATATAAAGAAGCTATTATTTTATAATATGATTCACTAATGACTTGAATATTTTACTGTAAAAAAACTTTACCTGGAGAACTACTTGGCACAAAAATATTTGCCTGTTGTTTTTTGATGCGTTCTCTATAGTCTTCATATTCAGCAGCTTTTATTTCAAGTAAATCTGGAAAAATTACTTCTTCCATAAAATCTTCATCTTGGCCCTCAGAGAAGTTCTGTAAATTACCACCAAGTGAAAAACATTTGCTGTAAATATCATTACTGATCTTTGTTGAGTACCAAAAGGAAAAATAGGTATATGTGCTTGTCCCCAATGATTAATACACAGATAAATGAAATGTACTGGGACCTTGCTGTGAGTTATCTTTCTGATCCACACTACCCAGTTCAAGTTCAAGCTGAAACTATGTTATAATGAAATTTCATTGAACCTATAGAGGAACTCATTTAAGGCTTAATAGTATGCAATATGATTTTTTATAGCCTTCTTTGCAATTCTCAATGAAAGACTACTGAAAAGGAACTATAATTCAAGCCCTCCTCTCCTCTGGAAGATGTTCTGAGATACTGGACTATGATATTTCAACTACTGAGAATTCCGTATAGGACAAAGTCCAGAGACATCAAGCCACGCAGTCTTAAGCCCCATTTTTTCCCACCATTCATAAAGCAATACTACTTAAAGTGATGTGGAGCAGTCATGCTGTTTTCTGGATGGTATTTAAGAAAAAAAAGAAAGAAAAGTAAAGACTCAACATAGAACCTATGGCAGAATGATTATAGTGAAATTCTGAAATAAGTATATATAAAATCTGAATACAGGTATTGAAATGGATACTTTACTAAATATAAAAATATATACTTTTATATCACCTCAAAAATGTCATACAAAATTAGATGACTTTACTTGTCTAACTTAAAATCTACATATATCAAAAGAGAGAAGGGACAGAGTGTGTGAGTCATACAGACAAAAACCCCTCAATTTTCAAAAACAAACATTTAGGGGTAAATAAAAAGAATTAACCACAGAATTTGTTTGAAGAGAGAAACTTACATGGCCTTGATCAACTCTGTCAAAATTAAGTAAGTAACATAGTTAAGCATCACCTAGGTTCATATCAACTCATCATATTATCATACCCCCTCTCCTATCCCTGTCATGACATCAAGAAAATATTTCATATACAGATGTCTTTGTGGTATCTTGGTCAGAATTTAAACAAGGTATGACACTGACATCTAGGAGCAAGATTTGGGGATCCTCACACAGGAGATCTCTTTGAGGATTCCAATCATAGACAAAAAGAGGCTCTTTGTTCCAGCTGGAGCACCTATTACCAAGCTTCCTTTACAGCACCCCTGGCGTGGGCCAGGGCTTTCAACCTGCCCTCAGAGCTAGGGTCTGCCATGATAGCTGAGAATGTCAGGCCCTCATCTTGGACCCCAGTTCTTTATGATGATATAGGTTTCTTTTATGAACCCTACCCTACTCAATCTGTCTATATTTTTAGCCTGGGACAAGCTATGATCTCAGCCTGTATAAACCCTATCTGACCAAATATTCCTCACTTAACGTAAGGCCAGCTGTACCCCAGATCACATTCTTGGTTTTCACTACACAGCTCACAGCTGAGCAGTGTCTGTGCTGTTAGCTATTGTGTGAGAGGGAATATTAGGTGAGAAGGCATCCAACTAACTTTCCATGCATAAGTACAGATGGATACACCTGAGTATGATGTGGTAAAAAAGAGATAGGCCCCCATCTCACAGAAACCGCCTCGTTAACTGTAGTGTGATAAGCAGAACTGTCTGAAAGTAACCTTGGACCTGACTCTGGACTGCCCAGACAACATATTTGGAACCAGGACTCCGCTTTCTCCCAGCAGGAAGGGGCCGCAGTCAAACTCAGCCTCCCACAAAACAGTAGCTCTCTGCTCCCTGTGATGAGGACAGTAGTTTCCCATGGGCCCCAAAGTTACCAGCTATAGGATGGATGACTTTTCCAGGCAACTCCTCTAAACAACCCGCATCTACACCCAGACTTCCTCATGCCCAAGTAGTCTATTTGCCCCACTAACCTGATTTCTCTCATGTCTGCCTAGGAGAAGAAAAAGCAGCCATAACCACAGTGCCTGGTCCTGGTGCACTCTGCTGGGTGGACCTTCTCCCCTTTTCCCAGAAAAGCTCATTCCTTAACCCATATCATGGACTGTAAGAGTTCGGGTGAATGGGAAGACCACACACATATTTGATACTCATTTATTCAATATTCATTCAAATATTCATTGAGTGACTAATATGTTCCAGGAAGAAAATAAACAAACACACATAGAAATATACGCTAGGTGGTGAAAAGTGTTATGAAGAAAAATAAAGTAAGATAAGGGGATAGAGAACACTAGGCTGGGTGGGTTGGGGGTGCTATTTTAGATAGGGTTGTCAGGAACAGTATCTTTAATTATGTGTCATTTGAACAGCAGACCAAAAGTAGTGAGGGAGAGAGCATGAGGATGAGAGAAAAGCTTTCTAGACAGTTAAAAGGTATAAAGTCCCTGAGGCAGGAGCATGCTGTGAGGGATAACAAGGAGGCCAACGGGGCTAAAGTTGGGTTGGGAGAAGGGGAAAGTAGTAAGAAATGAAGTCAGAGAGGTACCAAGGGAGCCAGGTCATGTAGGCTTAGGAGGCTCCTGTAAGGACTTTAGCTTTTATTTTGAGTGAGATAGGAAACCATCAGAAGGTATAAGCAAAAGAATGGTGTGTCTTAGATTTTAATAGAATCATTCTGACTACCGTAAGGTATAGAAAATAGACTGTTGGGGCAATCAAGAAAACAGAGGGAGACTATAGCAATGATCCAGATGAGAGGTTGTGGTAGTTTACACTAGGGTTGTACCAGTGGAGGTAGTGAAAGTGGGTCAGATTCCGGAATACTTTGAAGGTAGAAGCAAAAGAATTTGTGATGAACTGGATATGAGGCATGTCACTAAAAGAGGAACCAAGGATGACACCACGGTTTGGCTGAGCAATGAAAAATGGAATTCCCGTTTACTACTATGATTCCATTTATATAAAGTCTGTGTGTGCATGTATGGGCATAAGCATAGAGAAAGGTATGAAAAAAATGATGATAGTGGTTTATCTCAAACCATTGGCATTTCACGTGACTTTCACTTTTCTTCCTCATGGTTTTCTGCATTAATTTTTTATAATGTATAAACTTTGTTTAAAAATTTAAAAGATAAAGTTTTTTTATTGTGGAAAAAACAAAAATAAAAAAAGGAATGAAAGGCCTGGAGCAGGATACAAAGAAAGGAGAATGGAAGAGACTTGGAAGTAAGCAGGAAGGCAAATGGGGTCCAACAGGGCCTCAAAAAGAAGACTTGTGGGATCTGGAAATGTCTGAGGTGTCGGAAGACATTAGGTAGAACCCTGGGGAATAGGTGGTCCTGCAAGAGGGGGCTCAAGGAAACTGTGGAGAGATTTGAAAGCAGAGAGGGACTGGACAAAGTACAGAGGAACAGGAGCAGATGGGGAGAGCAATGAGGCTGACACATCAGGAGGAGACGGGGAAAGACCAGTGAGACTGACTAGCACTGGAGCAAAGGACAACCAGGGAATAACAGGGGGCTGAAGAGTTTGAGAGGACCTGGGAAGAACTGATGGAAATTAGAAGGGTCTGGGACTAGACTAGGAGGGATGAAGAATGGGAATAGAGTAACAGAGATTACGGAGAAAAATGTTGGGTGCTTGGAGAGAAGGACAGGAACAACAAAAGAAAAAGAAAACACAGGCTTTGGAGCTGACAGCTTATACTTCCCAGCTCTATCAATGCTTACCCTGTGCACCTCAGTTTCCTCACCTATAAAACAGAGAAGGCAATAATGCCTGTCTCACAGGGTTAGTATAAGGATTGAATGATACAATCCACCATAAAAATTTAGTATGTCATTAGGCATCCAGTAAGCACTCAATAAATGTTAGGAATTATTAAAAGAGCTTCTCAATCCAAAGAGAAGAAGGTGGCTCAGTGATCAAAACTTCATCTCCCATCCAAGTATTTTATTCTATGCATTTAATGAAGAGTTATCTTTCCCGGGAATGAGGATGTGGCAGGAAGGGGAACAAATCCAACCTGCTCTGAAGACTGGCCCAAAGCTGAGCCCTCTTCACCACTCAGAATGAAAAACGAAAGACCTTCATCCAACGTGACTGCAGTCTGTGGGTTAAACAACAGCCAACCAGTATTCAGTGCTGAAACGAATACTTGTTCTGCTTAGAAGGAAAGAAATACTTTTGTGTAATACGGTAAGTAGCAACTGGTATTAACGAACAGGAACAGCAGGAGAGACAACGTCAAGTTATATTTACTTTTGAGTCTGTTTGGTTCATGAATTTTTTGTGTTTTGTTTTGTTTTTAAAGTTCTACTAACTGCAATAAAAAACAGAATAAAGTATTCCAAATATTCTTCATCTTCCGGAACTCTCTCTTCACTCTAATCAGAGTATTAAGAGCATTACCATACACAGTTTGATCGAAATGTGGGCTCAGGGCGAATTCTTTTTTCCTCTCCCTGTTTTTGGGTGCTCTAATGCATGTGTGTGCTCACACACAAGGTGGTGTTCCCACCTACAATTTTTTGTGGAGTCAGAGGTAAAGTATTTCTTTTACTGAGGAAGATTTGCCCTGAGCTAACATCTGTTGCCAATCTTCCTCTTTTATTGCTTAAGGAAGATTAGCCCTGAGCTAACATCTGTGCCCATCTTCCTCTATTTTGTATATGGGTCACTGCCACAGCATGGTTGACAAGTTGTGTAGGTCCGTGTACAGGATCTGAACCTGCAAACTCAAGCCATTGAAGCGGAGCATGGCTGAACTTTTAACCACTACACCACAGGGCTGACCCCCCTTTAAAGTATTAGACGTGGCATATTCTTAACAACAAACTTGCTGATAAATAAGCTCTCATTTTTCAATACTATAAAGTCTGAATCTTAAATGTAAATCACTTATCACTTCTTTCTCACATACATATTAAAATGAACTATTTTTAGGGAGGCTTGGGAGACCAATTAATTCTATAATAAAAAGTAAAACTTATAGTCACTAGGAGTCAAAGAATTAAAAAATATGTAAAATACAAAAGCTTATCTAATATCCTGTTTGTATCTACAATTTAGCTGACACATTAACTTTAAAAGTTACTCACCTTGTAACAATGCTGCATGTATAAATTGTTAGTACAGTCATGTGTCACTTAATGATGGCGATACATTCTGAGAAATGTGTCACAGGCAATTTCATCATCATACAAAATCACAGAGTGTACTGAAGGGGAAAAAAATTTGCCACCCCAAAATATGTCTATTTAACATGAGAATTATTTTAGGCTGATTATTTTTAAGAAATGAGACTCAAAAATTTTTTCTTGTTACCCCCCCCCCCTTAACTGTCTGAAAGAATTCAGGTTAAAAAAACCTGTCTCAGGAAGCAAGCTATCACCTTCACATAACATGAACTAGGTGGTAGACAGGGAGGAACCTAGAAAAGCCAGTTTACTGGGCTCCTTTCTGTCTTCTTCTGTTTCTGTGTTGCCAAACAAACACTTGTTTTCCAAACATTTGCTCCTTTTCACCTACCTGTGAATTGCCTTCCTTCCCTTTGAAGTCGCTGACTCTCTTCGCCCCCAACACCTTCTTCTGTCTTTAGCTGAGGATGGTATTTAAGGTGAGGGTTTTGGCCATTTTGGCTAGTTACTTGGTTTTCCTGGGTTTCTCCCATGTTTCCATGTTCCTAAACTTTTGTTTGTTTTTCTCCTGTTAATCTGCCTCATGTCAATTTAATTCTTAGACCAGCTAGAACCTAGAAGGGCAGAGGAAAATTTCTTCCTCCCCTACAGTACTTACTTAAACGTAGATGGTGTAGCCTACTAGACACCGAGGCTATGTGGTACTCATCTTATGGGACCACTATTGTATACGTGGTCTGTCGTTGACCTAAATGTTGTTATGCACTGCATGACTGTTTACACTTCTACTTTCCTTCATCTCTGCTCATTGAAACCAACACTTGCTAAAATCCTCAACTGCCTGAGCAGATATCCCTATCTCGTATTTGGTATGGAGATTCTTAAAGTTCAATTTCACTTCCTGTTCACCTCTTTTCTTGACACTCAATGTACTGACCTTGACAAACTTCCAAGTTTTTACTATTCATATTAAGTTACATCCAATTTAGGAACACTTCATTCATTTGTTGAATGAATAACATGTACACAGACATATTTTTTTTAGTCTGCTTTTACTTTTAAATTTAATTAAAATAATTTTTACTAAGTACTCAAGGGGGCACTGTGGAGGGGACAAAGACGAGTTCAAAACAAAACAAACAAAAAACAATCCTTGCATATAAAAATTTGTAGCGTTAAATACTCTCATTGCTTCTGGCAGAAATGACTAGTTGTTAATTATTGTCTTTTCCTCCATCTCTAATAAAAGAATCTACTTTTAGCTGGATACCTGGACATTTTTCCAACATTCCTTTAGTGGAAATAACGTGTACAACTTGCAGGTCTTGTCCTATAAGAGAGCAATCTGCAATCCTCCAGTTCTTTCCTTCTCCCTTCCCTTTGGCCAGCAAATGAAGACACTGGAGCTTTGCCATTGGACTCAGAGATGGAAACCATGTTTTGAAGATGGCAGAACTCTCCTAGTCACCTAGACTACCTAACTGTTACACTAGAGAGAAATAAAACTTCTATCTTAAGACATTTTACTTTGGATCTTTTTATCAAAACTGCTTAGCTTTTACTCTAAATAATACAGTTTCCCCAAAATATGAGTTGTTCTGTCATTTCAAGTTTCAAATATGTGATGACACATTGAATTTTAGAACAAAATCTGTAAGTCGGGGATCACCTATAATATTTTATTATAATTTTTTTAGGATAAAAAATAACGCCAAATAGGAACAGGGAGTGACTACAAATTGGCTTATGTAAGGGATAATTTTGGAGTGACAAAAATATTCTAAAATTGGATTATAGTGTTGATTGCATAATTCTGTAAGTTTACTAAAAATCATTGAATCATATACTTAAAATGGTTAAGTTTTTGCTATGTAAAGTACATCTCAATAGATCTGTTCAAAAAGTAAAAAAAAGTTATTCACCTTCGACTGTTGATATATCTTATTATCAATGAGCAGCTGACTTGAAGACTTTTCACCTTGATTAATCTGAAACACAACATTAATGAATGGTATAGAAAACATAATTTCACAGATGAAGAGATAATTGTGCTCTTAAGTCTTTTGTTCAACTATCAAGGCTGCTCAATGTTTTTCTTTTAACAAGTATGTACATGTTTTCCCCTGAGATGTCATGTAGCATTACCATGACCAAATCACTTAACTTTTCCTGGCTTTAGGTTTAAAAAAAAGCATAGGAAAGAACTTGAAGCTTTTTGGATTTAAGGAGTTATATTAAGACTGGATTTTGGCTCTTTTTTAACAAACAAAAGTTTATTATGATACATGTTGCACGTAAACAGTAAATTTGAAAACAGGAAAGAATAAATAAGCATTACCTTAGCATTTTTTAGCTTTTCTCTTACTTTGCCTCTCAATGTTTCTATTATGTTTTGATTTTCTTCTGCATCTAAATCTGTCAGGAAGCCAACATAATACAGAGTCATGACACTTTCTTATAACATAATTAAACAGCAATAGCAGCAAAAACACTTATTAAGCTAAACTGCATGCATTTCTAAGGATTATGACAATTATGAAGACTAGGTCATTCTCCATGAGAGCTTAGAATCTAAGACCAACAGATGTCCCTTCTCCATTTTCCATCTGGAATAAACACTTCATGCACAGTCAGGGCTGAATTTTGTTTCTTTTTGAGACTTTTTCCCTACCCTCTGCATCCTCAGCTATTGGCTAGAGTCCTTCTTCATAGTCAAGCCACAAAAAAAAGCTCAGATGAGCAAATCTTTGTCTTCTTCATTTCAGAGAAAAAATCCATAAGAACAGTCATATTCTGTATAGACTGCTCTACAGAATATACAAATATCAAAGGTAGGTTACTTCAATTTGATTAAGCTGGAGAGAAAGGAATCAGAAAGGAAGAGTGGTACCCATTTTAGCTAGGTACCCTTTTTACTACTTATGTCAGTTTTGTAAAATCAGTATAATACTGCTGACTCCTACTTCTGCCACTTCTCAAAGGAAATTAGTCTTGTAGTACATAAAGAAGACTCCAGCTGTCATGTGCACTCAGTCATGTGTTATTTTCTGCTCATTCATCAGATGATCCATCAGATGAACTGAGAAAGACAGGGGTTGTGCAGGCCTAGGTACAGCAGAAAATAGAGGACCTATTGGTCATTCTGTCGTGCATTTTTCTTTTTTGTCTCCCTGCCTTTGCATACTTAAAGGTTGCACAGAGGATGGTGGAAATAAAGGGTAAGTATAAAGCTAAATAGGTCATGAGACTCCTTATTCTTAACTCAGTATGCCTTGGTATAATTTAAAAATTACTCATTGGTTTGTTTATACTCTATTCCCAGAACTTAGAATGGCAGATGGCACATAGTAGGAGCTCAATAAATATTTGCTGGATGAATGAACCAGAGTTCAACCATTATGTATTTTTATCCCCAAAGTCTAGAGCTTCCTGAAGCAAGTTCTATATCTATGTATGTTATGGTGTAACACAGTTTAACAGTCTCAAGCACCAGTGAATTCTCCATGTTTGCAGAGAGAACTCAGTGGTTTTCTTGTTTTTTGCTCGAGGAAGATTAGCCCGGAGCTAACATCTGTGCCAATCTTCCCCTATTTTGTATGTGGGTTGCCACTACATTATGGCTGATGAGTGGTGTAGGTCCATGCCCAGCATCCAAATCTGAAAACCTGAGCCACAGAAGCGGAGCACGCTGAACTTGATGACTATGCCATGGGGTGGGCCCTTCAAAACTTAGTTTTATTACATGCACTGACTTTACTATGTATTTCCTTATGCCCACCTTGTATTACCCAGAAAGTTTAGTTTCTATGTGAACTCATCCCTTAAGAAACTTGTGTTCCCAGCTAAGACCCTAGATAGCATTAGTCATTTACATCTTTTAAAAATAGAAACCAATAGTATCAGAGTTGTAGTATACTTATTGAGAACCTTTTTGGACAGGCTTGTCTACATTTTCTTCTACTGCAACATTATCTAACTCTTCTGATATCTGTGAAAGAGAGGGGGAGGTTACCTTGCATCTTTTTTGTTTTGGCATTGAACATCTTTTCACAAGTTTATCAGCCCTTTGAAAGTCAATTCATATCCTTTGCCTGTTTTCTTAAATTTCAGAAATTGTTCTAACATCAAAAAGGACATTTAATGGTAAAATCCCATGGTTAGTTCTTAATGTTCATATATTGTCTACTTTATTTATCTTTTAGGAGGGTCAAATGAGATTAAACACATGAAAACATTTTGAAACTCAACACTATCAGTGTTAGCTATTACTTGATTACTCCATAGCATCTGATAACGTTGGGCACCTTTATTTTCTGAAAACTTTCTATATCCTTGTCCTCCACCCTTCCACCTCTCTAACCACTTATTCTCTGTATCCATTAGTAGTCACACTTCTCATAGCTTAAATGTAGCCACATTTCAAGGCTTAGGAGAGTACACTTATTCCCATGGCTTTCCAAATCTGTCTCCAACCTTGACTGCTCTCCTGAATACCCTATTTCTAGCTGCTTACTGGTATTTCTAATTAAATGTCCTACTATTATCAAAAACTTGATATGTTAAAATGAGCATTTACTTGTTTTACAGTTTTTTAAATTTCAATATTCTAAAATTAAATCACACCAGCAATGTTAAATCCTCTTTTAGAAAGATATGGATTATGAGTTTGTTTTTCATTTTAAGTTTAAGAAATAGAAGAACAAAAGACTCCTTAAATAACAATTGTACATAGTAATCAAACTAATGTGCAGTTTGAGTGGAAAGAGTAAGCAGAGACACATCGGTTTTCCAACCACAGCAAAAACATGGATTCATGTTTAAAGCCAAAGCAGAGTATTGACATAATCACAGTAAAGACATTACCACAATAAGAGCCTAGTCTAAAGACTTTCTAAAAGAACTTCAAAATCCACCAGTGGTCCCTGTACCATACTTAAGAACTATTGAATAAGGTCAACAAGAACTAAGATGTTCTGTTATTATTAAACCTTCAGTACTTTCCTCAACATAAAAATATCGAATTCTACTTTTGACCAAGGCACAGCAACCCTCAAGGGTGTGAGGAACATCAACACTGGCAAGTGATTTATGAGATCTCCCTTTAATTTGCAATAATCCCACTCAGCATTCCCAGGATTCTGGATACTTTTTCATAACTTCTCATCCCCATCTAGAAGGCGGGGATAAAATATGAATCTTTTTTATTTTATTTTTTTAGTGAAGAAGATTGTCTCGGAGCTAACATCTGTTGCAAATCTTCCTCTTTTTGCTAGTGGAAGATTGTCTCTGAGCTAATATCTGTGCCAATCTTCCTCTATTTTGTATCAGGACACTGCCACAGCATGGCTTGATAAGTGGTGTGTAGGTCCGTGCCCAGGATCCAAACCATCAAAACCCAGGCTGCCAAAGCAGAGCATGTGAACCCAATCACTATGTCACTGGGCAAGCCCCATAATATGAATCTTAATTGGAGTTACTCTAACATACTGGTCCTATATATGTTTCACTCACTGACTAAAAAAGGAAAAACTGTTTTTTTGAGTAAAGCAGGGAATGAATTGCTGGCTAGCTGAGAGAACAGATAAATAAATTAATATTTAAGTAAAGAAATAAATAAGAGTGATGTCAGCATCATGGCGGAGTGAGCTTACCTGGGACTCTCTCCCCTCCAACATACAACAAAAAGGAGCAACTTTATTCCAACAAAAAATATTCTAACAGCACAGGAATCCTCGGAGACTCACAGCAGCCAAACGACAGAGGACAAAGAGGCTGGAGCCCCCCTCAGAGGAGCTGGAACGGGGTAAGAGAGAACTTCGCCCCCTCCCCTAAAGACTGGGATTGCTGTGCCTGGAGGCTCCATGAGGGAAGGAATGGGGGAGGGGTCGCACATCTGCAGGATCACCCAGGATTCCCCAGGGCCTTTTCAGCCTAGAGGGAGGCGCTCTAATGGGGTGAAAGCTTTCACATGGGGTGACCTCATCAAGCCAAGACCCCAGGAGACCAGATAGGGAGAGCTGATCGGAAACAGGAGACTGCGCGCAAAAGAAAATATGCTCCCCCCAACCCGCGCTGTGCCGCGCCATCTTGGCTGAAGGCAGAGGGCTCAGAATATGCGTCTCTCGCCCCCCATCTAGTGGCGACAGGCTATAGCTGCAACCGAATAATATCACTATGTGGAAAAACTGTTCTAGCATCAAACAATTCATAAAAACTCCAGACCAGAAGGAAAACAATAAAAACACAGAAACATGTCCTGAGGACTTGGAAATAAGTAAACTAAATGACAATGAATTCAGAATAGTTGTCATCAAAAAACTCAATGAGGTAAAGGAAAATATAGAGAAACGAGTCAATGAGTTCTGGAGTTACTTCACCAAAGAGACTGAAACTATAAAGAAAAATCAACCAGAAATACTAGAGATGAAAAATATAATGGATCAGATAAAACAGAATATGGATTCCCTGAATGCCCGTGTGGACACCACAGAGAAGCAAATTAGCATAATCGAAGATAGATAGGTTGAATGGCAGCAGACAGAGGAAGAGAGAGAGGACTAAAAAGAAATGAGGAAAATCTCTGAGAAACAGCTGACACAATGAGGAAATGCAACATAAGAATTATAGGTATACCTGAAGGCGAAGAAAAGGAGAATGGAGCAGAAAGCGTGCTCAAAGAAATAATAGCAGAGATCTTCCCAATCTAGGGAATGAGAGAGAAATGTGTGTGGAGGAAGCTTTCAGCTCTCCTAGATCTGTCAATGTAAACAGACCTACCGCAAGGCATATAGTAGTAAAACTGGCAAAAATGAATGACAAAGAAACAATATTCAGGGCAGCAAGGCAGAACAAAATAACCTACAAAGGAACCCCTATCACACTTTCAGCAGATTTCTCTCAGAAATCTTACAAGCTAGGAGAGATTGGAACGACATATTCAAAACTTTAAAAGATAAAAATCTTCAGCCAAGCATATTCTATCCAGCAAACATATCCTTCAGATATGAGGGAGAAATTAAATCTTTCCCAGACAAACAAAAGCTAAGTGACTTCGTAGCCCTGAGATCCGCCCTACAAGAAACCCTCAAGAAGGCCCTCAAACCTGAAAAAAGAAAAAAAGGGAGAAAGGGGTCACAAAACATAGAGTAAAGAGACAAATATAATCAGAATAGGATAGCAAATATTCAACTATACCATTAGGATAAAGGTAAGGAAAACACCAAAAACAAAGACAATCTTATCACTTTAACAACAAACTCACAACACGAGTTGGAATAGGAGATGAAAATAATAACTTAGGAGGGGAGGAGGAAAGGGACTGAATCAGTTTAGACTAAGGAAATAAGAGGCCACCAGAAAATGGACTATGTTATGCACGAGATTCTGAATACAAACTTCAGGGTAGCCACTAAACTGAAAAACAGAACAGAGACACAAAACATAAATAAGGAAAAAGCTAATAAACCCAGCATAAGAAACTGCAGAAGTCAATAGGTAGATCAAAACACACAGGACGAGAAGCAAAGGAAATGCAGGAAAACCGAAAAACGAGTGACAGAATGACAGCATTAAGCCCTCATGCATCAATAATCACCCTCAATGTAAACGGATTGAACTCTCCAATAAAAAGACAAAGAGTGGCAAGATGGATTAAAGACCAAGATCCAACAATTTGTTGCCTCCAGGAAACACACCTCAGCTCCAAGGATAGACACAGGCTCAGAGTGAAGGGGTGGAAGACAATACTCCAAGCTAATAGCAAACAAAAGAAAGCAGGTGTTGCAATACTTATATCCAACAAAGTAGATTTCAAAATGAGGCAGGTAAAGAGAGACATAGAGGGTCAATATATAATGATCAAAGGGACACTACATCAAGAAGAAATAACGCTTATAAATATCTATGCACCCAACACAAAAGCACCAAAGTTCATAAAGCAACTATCAACAAACCTAAAAGAAGATATCAAAATAACACAATAATAGTAGGGGACCTCAATGCCCCACTCACATCAATGGACAGATCATCCAGACAGAAAATTGACAAGGAAACAGTGGAATTAAATGAAAAGCTAAAACAGTTGGACTTAATAGACATATATGGAACACTCCATCCCAAAACAGCAGAATACACATTCTTCTCAACTGCGCATGGAACATTCTCAAGCATAGAACATATGTTGGGAAACAAGGCAAGCCTCTATAAACTTAAAAAAATTGAAATAATAACAAGCATCCTCTCTGATCATAATGCTATAAAGCTAGAAATTCATTACAATAAAAGCTGAGAAAGAGACAAAGATGTGGAGACTAAACAATATGCTATTGAACAAGCAATGGATCATTGAAGAAATTAAAGAAGAACTCAAAAAATATCTGGAGACAAATTAAAATGATAACATGCCATACCAACTCACATGGGATACAGCAAAAGCTGGATTAAGAGGGAAATTCATCCCAATACAGGCACACCTTAAGAAACAAGAAAAATCCAAATAAGCAATCTCAAACTACACCTAAGTGAATTAGAAAAAGAAGAACAAACAAAGCCCAAAGTCAGCAGGAGAGAAATAATAAAAATCAGAGCAGAAATAAATGCTATTGAAACAAAAAAGGCAGTAGAAAGGATCAATGAAACAAACAGCTGTTTCGTTGAGAAGATAAATAAAATTGACAAACCCCTAGCCAGACTTACAAAGAAAAAAAGAGAGAAAGCTCAAATAAACAAAATGAGAAATGAAAGAGGAGAAATAACAACAGACTCTGCAGAAATACAACGGATTATAAGAGAATACTACGAAAAACCATATGCCAACAAAATGGATAACCTAGAGGAAATGGATAAATTCTTAGACTCTTACCATCTCCCAAAGCTAAGTCAAGAAGAAGCAGACAATCTGAACAGACCAATCACAAGGAAAGAGATTGAAACAACCATCAAAAGCATCCCAAAGAATAAAACCCCAGGACCAGATGGCTTTCCTGGGGAATTCTACCAAACTTTCAGAGAGGATTTAATGCCTATCCTTTTCAAGCTATTCCAAAAAATTAGGGAAGATGGAACACTTCCTAACACATTCTACGAGGCCAACATCACACTGATACCAAAGTCTGACAAGGACAGCATGAAAAAGGAGAACTACAGGCCAATATCACTGATGAACATAGATGCAAAAATTCTCAACAAAATTTTGGCAACCCAAATTCAGGAATTCATTAAAAAGATCATACATCATGGTCAAGTGGGATTCATACTAGGGACACAGGGATGGTTCAACATCCACAAATCAATCAACGTGATACACCACATCAACAAACTGAGGAATAAAAACACCACATGATCATCTCAATAGATGCAGCGAAAGCATTTGACAAGATCCAACAGCCATTTATGATAAAAAAAAAAACTCTCTATAAAATGGGGATAGAAGGAAAGTACCTCAACATAATAAAGGCCATATACGACAAACCCACAGCCAACATCATACTCAATGGGCAAAATCTGAGCGCCATCCCCCTGAAAACAGGAACAAAACAAGCATGCCCTCTATCACCACTCTTATTCAACATAGTACTGGAGGTTTTAGCCAGAGCAATTAGGCAAGAAAAAGGAATAAAAGGAATCCAAATAGGGAGGGAAGAAGTGAAACTCTCGCTGTTTGCAGATGCCATGATCTTATATATAGAAAACCCCAAAGAATCCATTGGAAAACTATTAGAAATAATCAACAACTACAGCAAAGTTGCAGGGTATAAAATCAACATACATAAATCAGTAGCATTTCTATACTCTAATAACGAACTAACAGAAAAAGAACTCAAGAACACAATACAATTCAAATTGCAACAAAAAGAATAAAATACCTCAGGGTGAATTTAACTAAGGAAGTGAAAGACGTATACAATGAAAACTACAAGGCTTTTCTGAAAGAAATGGATGATGACATAAAGAGATGGAAAGACATAGATTGGAAGAATAAACATTAAATAAACATTAATAAACATTAAATGTTAAAATGTCCATACTACCTAAAGAAATCTACAGATTCAATGCAATCCCAATCAGAATCCCAACGACATTCTTTACAGAAATAGAACAAAGAATCCTAAAATTCATATGGGGCAACAAAAGACCCCGAATTGCTAAAGCAATCCTGAGAAAAAAGAACAAAGCTGGAGGCATCACAATCCCTGACTTCAAAACATACTACAAAGCTATACTAATCAAAACAGCATGGTACTGGTACAAAAACAGCTGCACAGATCAATGGAACAGAATTGAAAGCCCAGAAATAAAACCACACATCTATGGACAGCTAATCTTAGACAAAGGAGCTGAGGGCCTACAATGGAGAAAAAAAGTCTTTTCAACAAATGGTGCTGGGAAAACTGGAAAGCCACATGTAAAAGAATGAAAATTGACCATTCAAAATGGATCGAAGGCCTAAAGGTAAGACCTGAAACCATAAGCCTTCTAGAAGAAAATATAGGCAGTACATTCTTTGACATCAATATTTCAAGGATCTTTTCGGGTACCATGTCTTCTCAGACAAGGGAAATATTAGAAAGAATAAACAAATGGGACTTCATCAGGCTAAAGAGTTTCTTGAAGGCAAAGGAAAATAGGATTGAAACCAAAAAACAACCCACCAATTGGGAAAAAATATTTGCAAGTCATATATCTGACAAAGGGTTAATCTCCATACTATATAAAGAACTCACACAACCCAACAACAAAAAATCAAACAACCCGATCAAAAAGTGGGCAGGGGACATGAACAGACATTTCTCCAAAGAAGATATACAGATGGCCAATAGGCACATGAAAAGATGCTCATCATCGCTGATCATCAGGGAAATGCAAATCAAAACTACACTAGGATATCACCTTACACCCGTTAGAATGACAAAAATAACCAAAACAAAAAGTAACAAATGTTGGAGAGGTTGTGGAGAAAAAGGAACCCTCATACACTGCTGGTGGGAATGCAAACTGGTGCAGCCACTGTGGAAAACAGTATGGAGATTTCTCAAAAATTAAAAATAGGAATACCATGTGACCCAGCCATCCCACTACTGGGTATCTATCCAAAGAGCTTGAAGTCAGCAATTCCAAAAGTCCCATGCACCCCAATGTTCATTGCAGCATTATTTACAATAGCCAAGATGTGGAAGCAACCTAAGTGCCCATCAACTGATGATTGGATAAAGAAGAAATGTATATATATACAATGGAATACTACTCAGCCATAAAAAAGAATAAAATCGTCCCATTCACAACAACATGGATGGACCTTTAGGGAATTATGTTAAGTGAAATAAGCCACATAGAGAAGGACAATCTCTGTATGAATCCACTCATAGGTGGAAGTTAAACATGTGGAGAAAGAGAACAGATTAGTGGCTACCAGGGGAAAGGGGGGGTGGGGGTGGGCACAAAGGGTGAAGGGGTGCACCTACAACACAATGGACAAACAATAATGTACAACTGAAATTTCACAAGATTGTAACCTATCATTAACTCAATAAAAATTAACTTTACAAAACCAAATAAATAAATAAGGAAATACATAAATAACTCACCTCTAATGCTCTTTACTATATAACTGACAGACCAGAGTATAATTCATCCCTAAGCTCTCTTATTGTTATTTTTTCAACATATGAACTGTATGATTTGTATAAAGAACCAAATTATAGCATTTTTCAGGATTATCCTACATTATATTAGACTATTTAGTATAATCAAAATCCTTATAAACTCCATTAGTACTTTACTTTTTTTTTAATATCTTCTTTTCTCTTTGAGATCTTTTTCATGATGATTCTTTCATTTCCACTTTCTAAATAAATAAAAAATATTCTTAAGAATGATATATTACTGAAAGAAAACAACTATTGTGATATTGAGATAACAGTATGCTATTTAAATTTTTTAATTTAACTAAAAACTAAACAAAGAAATACATTGTCAACTTTAGTATTTAGTAGTTGATCACTTTTAGTATTTAACAGAAATTCTGGTGAATGTAGTAAGACATGTAAAAGAAGTCAGAAGTATAACTAAAGGAGAAGACAACATTTTTATTTTTTGTAGAGGATAGGCCTTTCTACATAGAAAACTCAAAACTTTCAATCAAAAAAGTTTGGGCATAATTAGAAAGTCGTTAAGTGGCAGAACACAAGAGAATATATGTCAAAGGTAATAGTTTCTCTCTATTCTAACACAATAGCGAAAGATCACTTTCATAATAGCAATGCAAAAAAGTTCCAAAATACCTAGGAATAACTTCAATTAAAATATGGGGGAATCCCCCTCCCCAGCAAAACTGTAAAACTTTAGTGAGAAAAAAAAGATGTGATTAAACATAGAAATACTCCCGGAAGGCAGGGAGTGGGTTAAGAGGCCATTATAATAGGTTTGATGAAAGATGCTAGAGATGTGAATCAAAAAAATGGAAGTGGGAATGGAGTGTGGAGAAAGATTCATTTAAGAGGTAGAATTCACTGGATGTGGTGAGCAAATGGATGTGTAAGACAAAGTCAGGGGAGAATCAAAGACTCCCAGGTTTTGGGACTGAGCACCTGAGAAGTAGGGTCACTCTGAGTATTGTCAAAGCAGGAAGGTAGCTGACGTAGGGATTAATGAGTTCAGTTCCAGGTGTTGCTTATTGATGCTTACAGGACATTCAGGTGAGAGGTCCAGAACATGATTAAAAATACTGAATGGACTTGGAATGGAAGGGAATCAGGTCTAAGTTAGCTAAATTCTTTGTTTTATCAGGAAAAAAAGGTATTTAAGAGATTGATTTAAGGATTTTTTAAAAGAATCAGCACCTTTAAGATTCTTCTTACCAACATACCAAGATGAGACACAACAGGAATAGGATGCTGGGAAAAGAGAATTTTGAATTTACTTTCCCATCTGCAAGAACTTCTAAAACAAACTTCAAATCAATACTGATGCCTACACTTGCAAATTTTGTCTGCTAAGCTAGGGACATTACCAGTGGCACATCCTACAGATAGTTAAATTATAATAAATTATCAAATAAAACCTTATTGTAGACGAAATTATTAATCAGGTGTTTTTTTGCAGACCTGGAGATATTTCTACCCTAGTTCATTTTTCATTCCATAAATGATACAAGACAAATAAATGATTATAGATGAAATATTAGATAAACTTGAAGATCTGTATGAAAATTGCCTTTACTCTATTGAAAATCTCATGTCGAAGGAATAAAAAATTATGACTCAGACTCTTACCTTCTTACAGCAATTCAACTTTCTGTGTTAGAAAACTGGCTCCAACAGTTAAACCCAATCTTTTCTTTGAGGATATTGCTAATTTACAATTGTTGCAGTTAAAGCTTTTTCTAAAAGATAAGGAAGTTGAGAATTAGCTATTTTTGTATCAGATGACCTGGAGGTCCAGAGTCAAAGCCTGAGAATTAAAGTCAAATAGTTCACTCAATCTTTTCTGATCCACGGCAAACGGAAGGCAATTTTACGTGCATAAACATTTGCCCCTTGCTTAGCATTTAGAAATCCCTGGGTTCTGCGAATTTATCCCACAATGCTTTTAGCACTATGGTGATTCCTGAAACAAAATTTCCTAAAGCCTATTTTACGTTGTGTGTTAATTTAACATTCACTCACCTTGCTTACTTCCATCACATGCCATTTGGTTTCAGGAGTGTAAGCAGAATAAAATTACAGAAAAATCTCTAGTGTATAAAACGGTCATAAAATGCATATTCTGGTATCTAACAATGTTAGATATCTAAAAATATCTAATAAGAAATAGAACAACAAAAGACTCCTTAAATAACAACTGTACATAGTAACCAAACTAATGTGCAGTTGGAGTGGAAAGAGTAAGCAGACACACATTGGCTTGCCAGTCATGAGCTAACTAGAAATTTGTTTTTCCTTTAGTTTTCCCCCAGCTCTTGCTGGAAATCTTTCCAAATGTATAACCCACTATCCTTCCTTAGCAGAACTCAATTCAGTTCAAAATCCACTTTTACCTTCATCTAAGTTTATCTATTGCACATGGTATGATGAATCCTTTCTGATGGGATTCATCCTATATGAATGAATACAGAATTCCCTATAGCAGTGTTTCCCTGCTCCCTTATAGCAGTGTTTCTCAAATCACACTCTTCCAGACTTCTTTAAGTTGAATTGGAATACTATGCCAAAAAATTAAAATCTCAAAGTTATGATAAAATTAAGGCAGCAAATAGCATTTTGTGAAAATCAAAATTTATTAAATATGTCACCAGCAACCCTCTACCAGAATTAGGATATGGAAAAGGTGAAATTTAACAAAAAAGTTCCACAATTAGTTAAGTGTGACATAGCATTATTTCACAGTATCTTACAAAAAGCATCATGACTTCCAGGTGTTCCATTACCTGACAAGTTTGAAAATGAGTATCTTTTAGTTAACTGATCTTATTTTCTAAAATAAAAAACTAGGAACAAGTAGCCTGACAAAGGATTTTTCTGATCTGTGAATTTATATATGTCCTTGAAAGGCGTCAAAACTAAATCATCCACTGCTCTGAAGACTAAGCCCCAAATCATCATAACCTGCTCCCGTAGGTCAAGAAAGATTTGGGTCCACTTCCCTTGAGACTTCCGGTATGCAAAAATTGAAGAAATAAATGCCAAAACAGGTTTCAAAAACTGTAACATATTTTGAAAATTTATATCTAACACACATATGTGTAATAAAATTCTGCTACTCACAAGTTAATTACAGGATTTATAAAAATGCATTAATCCATAGAACAACAAGGGCCTTGAGGTCCAGAAACTGGACACAAGTCCTGTGATGTTGTCTCTTATTTAAACCAGAGAGATGTCTCTCTGTGCCTATACTTATAGTCTCTATTGCAGAGAAATTCAAAGAGGAAGCCCTTTCTGAAAGTGAGACCAAAAGGCCCTCGTGTCCACTTCCCCACCTAAGCCCTGCTCCCCACTCTCCAACATAAACCTTCGACTACAGTCAGATCCTACTCTTCTTTATACTCCCTGCCACCTCCGTCCTTTGATTTGTACAACTTCCCCCTTATTAGAGCATTCCACGTTTCAAGGCCTTATTCAAACCCCACATCTTCCAGGAAGGTTCTTCTGACTCTGGCCTTTCTATGAGCCCAAGTGGCACTGATTACACGTAATTTTTGTTCACTACATTCTACCTCATAAGTTCATCTTTCGACTTACCCTCAAGTGAGGACGAGGGCTGGAAGCATGAACTCATCTACCCTCCGCCAATCCTACCAAGGTGTTCAGCCCACAGTAGGCACTCGAAAAGTAATATGGACCCGGATTTGATGCAAATCAAGCATTGCTCTCGAATGCTGTGAAATGGAGTTGGTTATCAACTCCCAAAGAGGATGACTGACAGGTCGGCCAAGTCCTGGGGACTACGAGTCCCAGCAGCCCGTGCGGGTGTGGCCCTGGTTACCGGGGCCCCTCCACTGGTTTTTTTAAGAGTAGGGCTCCAACCAAAGAAAGACTGGAGTGTCTGACAGGTAAGGGTCGGGGGGCTTTAACGGGCAGTACTACATTCACCTTGACGGACTGTGCACGTTTGCTATGTCTAGGCAGCCAAGGCAGGACGCACCATTTACCGCCGGCTACGAGAGGTCACCAACCGCCCCGCACCGTTCCTGACGTCCGCACCCACACCCCCGCCCGCCTCCAGCGGTGCGCTTGCTCCTCGGGGCTTGACGTCAAGGCGGTCCAGGAGCATGCGCAATGCGGCCCCTCGGCCGGCCAGGTTCCGAGTGTGCGTCTTCGGGAAACTTATGTGCGCTAGTCGGTTCGCTCGATGCCTGGGCTTGTGGGTCGAATTGAGGTGCCGGAGTCTGCCACTGCCTAGCGCGCCTGGCGGGAGCCGCCGGCGTTGGCCACCCGCCGCCTGGGTGTGTGCCCCAGTGACCACAGGTGCCCCGGCGTCAGTTCTGGAAGAAACCTGAGAGCAGGGTGGCTTGGGTCGTGGGAGCCATGGTGAAGACGAACAGTGTCCCTGACGGGTGAGTATCCGCCGCAGGCTTCCCGGCCGGCGCGGGCCCGCGGCGACCAGCGGCGTCGCCAGAGGAGCGGGCGTTCCCGGGGGAGGATGCTCCCGAGCCCGCCGTGGACGAGCCGTCGCGCCTCTGACGGGCATGCGGGGCGCGCCTCCGCTCTCCCGCCGCCTCTGCCTTATCGGGAGGGGAGAGGTTCTTTGATTTGAAGCGCTTTGCATGTGGCATCCCGAAGACCGCCCTACCTGTGCCGGCGGTTCTTTTTTTTGCTATTAGTTAAGCAATTTAATCCTTTTAAAAGTCAAAATAAGGCATGCTGGACATGCTCACTCGTGTCATGTCATCTTTGCATAATAAGCGAAACAGCCTACATTTGTTTATTTTCTTATCCCAGTGAGTCACCCCATGTTAAAATAACGAGTTAAATAAACGATTCTGTGGTTTGAAATTTGCCCTGGGAATCTCTGGCGGGGATGAAGTTAGCGAACTTGCTCGCACAGGAGGCAGCACAGCGCGGTTGGGTAGGCTTTCGTTCATTCAAACGTTCGACAAATGTCGATTAGCTGCCTTCTGTGTCAGGCGCTGTGCTTGGCGCTTTAATTCTAGAGAAACTTAGTGTTTAAAACTTCTAACGACCTTGTATATTTGGGAAAGGGGAGATGTGGAAGTGAAGAAACTGCTGCTGCAAAAAAAGTGTTTCAAGTGATATTGATCCATTATGGCATAAGTAGAAATAGAAGTTCTACTCACCTTAGAATCTGAAACAACTGCACAGCACTAAAGGTGTCCGAGCCTCGAAATCATGTGGCCAGAGTGTCATTTTAAATAAAATCCTGTTGGGTCTCCCGTTTTGATTTTCTAGAGTTCTTCCAGTGTAGGAATTTAGGAACAATCTAGTGGAGAAAGAAGGAAAAAGTTAAGAAATACTTTCTTTACGTAGCAACATTATGGGCTAAATAGAATATGTGTGCATGTGCAAATAACATGTAATCTGTGGTGTTCTGTAAGTACACCTGACTTCTGGAATTATCATCGTACAGTAGTACGTGTTTTACAAAATACGTGAAGCATGTATTTACTGGGATGTATTACGATCACTACATCGAAGTGTTATGAAGTGTATCAGCCCAAATAATGAACTGGCTAAATTGAGGTTGTGCAGAATTTGAGATCTACCACCAGACAGCTTGTAGTTTAGAGGGGTAAAAAAAAAAAAAAAATCAACTCTAAGTATTTTCAAGTTTAAAGAGTATTTTGTCTTTTGGGGGAAGCAGTATCAGTCCCGCAGATATCTCATACTGTTGGCCCACATCTCACTTGCTAAATTATTTTGATTCAGTTCTTTTTTTCTTTTGTTTTTTTTCTTCAGTTTCTGTCATTTATGGGTCAGGAGATTTCACATAAAAATCTAGACTTCTTGAAAAATCAGATTTAGAAAAATCAGATCTGTGCATGGCAGTCATAGAAGGCAATGGTCATTGTAAGTGATTTGTAGCTGTCTTTAGGAAGAAAAAGTCTCTGTAGTTCTTCAACCATCCTCCTCTAAGCCTCTCCGGCACTGAGGCTTACTGTCAGTTGCCTTTTATCATTTTATCATTTCTTTATTTGGGGCATGTTTTACTTTGTGTGTTAACCTGCCTGGCATTTGAATTTGCAACTCCAGCTGTAAAGGGTAAGTGTGAGGAAGGACCTTAACTTATGGTATTACTTGTTCCTAGAATAAAATGTCATATTGAGTCCAGCCAGACAGTGCTGTGAAGGACTATTTTGTCAAAAAACATGGTTACTGGGCAAGCCCTAGTTGCCTAGTGGTTAAGTTTGGTGCACTCTGCTTTGGCAGCCCAGGTTCGGTTCCCAGGCATGGACCTACCCCACTCGTCTGGCCATGCTGTGGCAGTGGCTCACATACCAAAAAAAGTGGGAGGATTAGCAATGGGTGTTAGCTCAGGGTCAATCTTCCTCAGCAAAAAACCAAAAAAAACCCCCCAAAAAACAGAAACTAAACACTGTTACCTTCATGACATCAACCTTAGAAGATGAATCCACCTCAAATATCCCTGGAGTCCCTTAACTCAGTGAGCTGCAGTTTTGTCACCTGTACAACCTAGGTGATCATAGTATTCCCTGTCCTACCTCCCACCTCGGATTATGGTGAAATGTGACAGTGAAATATGAAAGTGTTTTGTAAACTGTAAAGCCGTTAAACACATTAGTTGCAGTAACTCTAAAGCATCAATTTTCTTATCTGGGGATTTAGATTTACTTTTACCTCCCAATGATCTCTCTTCCCAAAGTTCAAAAAAAAAGGGGGGGCCAGCCCGGTGACATAGTGGTTAAGTTTGCATGCTCTGCTTCGGCAGCCTGGGCTTTGCAAGTTCAGATCCCGGGCGTGGACCTATACACTGCTCACCAAGCCATGCTGTGGTGGTGTCCCATTTACAAAGTAGAGGAAGGTTGGCATGGATGTTAGCTCAGGGACCATCTTCCTCACAAAAACGAAAAAAAGAAAATACATATGTCCACAGACAAGAGATACTCTGGTTAGGATAGATTTAGGAAAGAATAAAAAAATGTACAATTGCCCTTTTAAATTATAGAATGTTTTGACATGAGTTTTGTTTAGAGGGGGTGGTAAGGGTAGGGATGAAGGGAGTAAAAGATATGAGAGAGAGAGGATGAGAAATGACCTTTGCTAAACCTTGCTGCTTAACAAACTTAATTTGAACACTATCAGATTTGAATTATTACAGTCATCTGAATTTGGAGTCAGATGGTCTGCAATTATTTTTTGAAATAAAAATTAATTTTCCCATGGATTTCTAAAGGGTTTTTTTTTGAGGAAGATTAGCCCTGAGCTAACATCTGCTGCCAATCCTCCTCTTTTTGCTGAGGAAGACTGGCCCTGAGCTAACATCCGTGCCCATCTTCCTCCACTTTATATGTGGGATGCCTACCACAGCATGGCTTGCCAAGTGTTGCCATGTCTGTACCCGGGATCTGAACCGGCAAACCCCAGGCTGCTGAAGCGGAATGTGCGCGCTTAACTGCTGCACCACTGGGCCGGCCCCAGAACCGGTCTATATTTTTAAGCCTTATTCTATAAACGTATTATCTAGAAATTAAAATACTGCCCTGTGTTCCACACTATATCTTTCATGCTTCAAGGGAGTAATCGTTAATTCTCCTTTGAAATTTACAGTTACCTCGTGTGAGTCTTTCATGAGTTTTTAAGATTCAATTTATTTTCTGAATGTATATATTAATGACAGAAGAGTATAAACATGGTTAATCTTTTTATTCTGAGATTCATTGATTGCCTGAGTTTCTTAGAGTTTTTATTTTTTAATGGTATAGTCACCAAAACTAATACTGATGTTTAACCTTAGTAACCAAATAAAGTCCAGTGTCTCTGGCAGCTTGACACTGAAACAGTATTCTGAAAGTTTCATTTAAGATTTGGAGATTAGTAAATCCCACCCTGCTTCTTGTTTCTATCATACTTGGTAACCACCCAAATAATTTCATGAGCATCACAGTTTCAGCATCCCTTAACTTACTGCCATGACTGACTGTCTGCAGGACCATAACATCTAAAACTGTTCAATATTAAAAATCCTAAATTCTAGCATTCTTCTCTCCTCCTTCTTTTTCTTTCATCTCTTTCTCCCTCTTCCGTATTTTTCTATACTTAATCTCTGACCTCATGAAGACCCTGTCCCTTGACTATGCTTTTATCATCATTAGCCTCTACCTAGGTTAACTTTCTTTCTTGTCTAGCCACACCACTTGGTTCATTATTTACTCACACCAGTATCTAAAATTCCCTTGGCTGTTGTCTTTCTTCCACTTTCTCCAGCATGCTCTCTACTCTTAGCCATTTGCTTTTTCAACTTATATATATATAAAAGTAACTAAATTCTAGAAGTGAAAATCGCACAACTAGGTTATTGCTATGACAGTATGTCATGCTCCATAAGGTAGCTCAGCCTTTCTTTTCCTTTCCCGCCCACAGCAACTGTTCTAACTTTTATCATTCCTTAAACCTTCTACCCCACTTTTGACCTTGTACTTTCAGCGGCTGGCTTTGCTTTTTCAGAGGAAATAGACTCTCACACAGGAACTGCAACACTGACTGCCAGCTTCATCAGCAGATATCCTTCTCTCCTGTCTCAGATGCAGAGGTACACTTTTTTCCTATCCACAGCTGATCCTATATGTGTCCTAGATTCCATTCATTCTTTTTTTTTTTTAAGATTTTATCTTTTTCCTTTTTCTCCCCAAAGCCCCCCAGTACATAGTTGTATATTCTTTGTTGTGGGTCCTTCTAGTTGTGGCATGTGGGACACTGCCTCAGCGTGGTTTGATGAGCAGTGCCATGTCCGCGCCCAGCATCGAACCAACAAAACACTGGGCCGCCTGCAGTGGAGCACGCGAACTTAACCACTTGGCCACAGGGCCAGCCCCTCCATTCATTCTTACTCCCCTGGGAGACATCATTTAACCTTTCTTCATCTTTAATATAACCTTTTCCCACCTCCCGGCACTGGCTTCACCTCCCCTTTCCCGCAAAAAGAAAACTCCTCCACTTGGATTATTTTCTGATTTCTGCTCTCTTTCTTTCCTCTCCTTCACAGCCAAACTCGTAGAAGGAGTAATCTCTCCCCTCCCTCCTTACCTGTTAGCTCCTCCATCCACAGTGTTCTGGCTTCCATCACCTGTTGTGCCGCCAAGGACTTTCTAGTTGCCAAATCCAGTGTGTCTTCTTAGACCTCCGAAATGCACTTAGCTCTGTAGAGAGACAACTTCCCAGTCTTGAAGTTTCCTTCCTTGGTTTCTCTAACATCAGTTTCTACTGTTCTTCTCCCACCTCTTAGATCACTTTTAATTTTCTATCCCAATTCCTCTGGGTCTTGCTCTAATCTCTTTTTCTCGGATTTTTTAAGTTCTCCTCTTTGGCATATAAAGTACTCAAGTTCATCTTAAGAAGAGCAAAAAGCAAAAAACCCAAA